CAACAACAACAAAAACATGAGAACAACAAAAAAACATTTGAGTACCAAAATAGTCTGGAAAGAGGTGTGGCAATCTTCCCAGCATTCTTACAGCTGAATCTAAGGTCAGGTTAATCTTTTCAGCAGGAAACACTGGGAGAAGCAAACTCAGAATAGTTACTAGTTTCATAATTTCTAGGGTGCTGTACAAGTATTTGGAGAAACATGACTTCAGATTACTTCTTAGAGTCAGGAGCAGTAAAGAAGGATTTAAAAAGAGATCTGCAATTTGCTGCCTCAGAGAACAACCAGAACCAGTTGGATGCTCTGTGATCCAACTGTTAGTGGCTTTTCACACAGAGCTCTGATGGAAAGGGACTAAGGGACATTTTTCCTTTGTTGTCCTGAGCTTGACAGAGGTATGTGCTATGCAAGATAGGCTTTTCCAGTAAACATAGATGATTATTCTCTCCTGCGTTGCATCTGGTGTGAAGGAGTTCTGCAGGCTAAATATTTTGAGTGGTCAGGTGTTTTCCTTTTATTGATATTAAATTTGCTGTGTTTTATGTTAGATATATTATTTTTCTTTTGTCATGAGAACAGATAAATAATTCACTCTTGTCTATACTATTCATTATTTGGTACATTTACACTTTGCTACTCCTCCATGCTCTGAACTGTTGCCTGTCACTGAATTTCCAAAGTTTTGGTTACATTGTTAGGGCAGCTGGAACCAATCAATATTTCATGCAAAAGCCATAATATCCTAAGTGGCATTATACTGTTCTCAAATATTGGGCATCCTGCTCCTAATGTCTTCTAATATTTGGTTTGCCTTCCTTGACTATCCTTGAACAGAGATCCTTATAGATCTATCATAATGACAGGCAGCTCATGACCCTGAAGCGTTATCATTAACAGAACTATATAAGCTGTAATCAATTGCTGCTAGCTGGAAGGACAGTGCATTGATCAAACAGAAATTGTATCTGCAAAATGGATGTAGATGTTGACAGACTACAAGACGCAGCTATGACCTCTTGGCGCCCATGTTAGTTTGCACTCGTTTCACTTGACCTGTCACCTCCACTGTTTGAAACAAGGAATTTAGTTCAGGTGACATCATTTGCATCTGCAGCACATCCCAGAGTCAACAACTTTGGAAAAATTAGTCAGAGATCAACTCTCTTGACTGGAATTGTCACCTGAAACAGGCACTCTTCTTACAAGGACTTGCTATGACTCTAGCTTTGTCTTAGTATATCATATCATCTCTAAAAGTGAGTATGATAAAGCTATCCTCAACAAAATACTTTTGTCTCTCTTCATTAAAAATGCTTATTTAAGAGCTAGATATTACAAGGTTTCTGTTTTGGCAGGCAACTCTTGATTTTATTCTTCAGTGTTCTGCTCTTGGAATGTAAATTTATATATATATATATTTTATGTATATATATATATATATATAATTGAAGAATGTTTTTAAAAGTTTACCTGACCTCTAGTGTGGGCAGGCTGGCAGATGGATGACTTGCAGGCCATATAATACCTTTCATTATCAAGTGCATTTTTCAAATATGCTAAATAGGGTTTTTTTTTGCCTTTTTTTTTCATTCTATATAAAAACTTTTTGACAGCTCTTTAGAATCAAGAGCAAAAATACCAGAAGTCTAAATTTTGTTCATAATAACTGATCCAGACTTTGTAAGAAATTCAGCTGATATTTTAAAGTGTTAAAGACCAAAATTTGAACAATATTTATAGGGCAACAAATGGAATTAAGCTGAAAATACAGACAGCAAACTTGAAAATAAGTTTTGAAACACATAATGCTTCTACACTAATACTTTGTATCTTTCTACCATGCTTCTTTGAAAAAAATCTCAAGGAAACACCTGTACAACTGGGTCAAGAGACTTGGCACATAACATTTTTTCCCCCCTCTATAGACTGGAAAGCAAACCAAGAATTACCATCTCACCTCCCATTAACATACAGGCAAATTATAATAAGAAAAAATCCAGATTTCTCTCTCACAAGGTTGAATGTGAGGCTTCGTGAACACTCTCTTAGCAAGTCTGCAGAAGTATTTGAAATAGTCTCATTCTTGGCAAATTACTTAAGTCTACTTGTTCATCTGACAACTACAAGGATGTTGGCTACGTTTAGAAATGAGCACTATACTTCAAAGTAGTGACACATTAAAAAACTCCTTTAAAAATGACATGCCTATAAAATATAATCACTTGGTATTCATCTTTTCTTTTTAGTATCACTTTAATCTTCTACAGTTTGATCTAGCTTCACGTAGAACACTGTACTTTTGGAGGAAAAAATCCTGGACGAGGCTTACCTCAGCAGACAAAAGTGAAGTGATACAAAACCTGTTGTCAAAGGTTTTACAAGTAAATGTCATTAGAATTTAGATGCCTTACAATTATTTATTCTGCTCCTTGTACCTGAACTGTGTTCATGCCTTGATTCTTTCCCCCATCCATGAGAGCTCTGAACTTTTAGGCTAGTGTAATTTTTTCTACAAAGTCCTTTAAGTTTTGCCTCCCCTGTCTGATGTAAAAATAAAGTTACTATAAATAACACAAGCATATTTTGGTTTTATTTTGGAATTACTGCTTACTGTATTAATAGTAATAATTGTATTGCCCTTGGTCCTTATTATCTTATCATAACTAATTCAATTCATTCTTCTGAAGAATGGCAATATGTATGACGAAAAAGAGCAAATCATTTTGCAGTGGAGTTACTGATACTTGGTTAAAAGTTCTCATATGCTTTCCAGATCCTTGTGAACTTGGGTGTTGCCGTAGTTTCCACCATGAGTTTCAGAGGTGTTCAGATGCTACTTTTGAAAAACCATTTCAGTGATTAGAGTTTAAAACCGCTTACTACCATAGTTAAAGTTTTCAGAGTTTATTATTATTATTTATTTATTATTTTTCCTTTGGGTTTTGAAGAGATTAAGAAAAAAGTTCAGCAGCTTTCCTACCAGGGGACTTTTGGAGGAGAATATGAACCATCTGTTTGTTCTCTGCCCTTTTTCCTAATTAAATTTTTTATTGAGGCCAGAAATTGTTGTTTCCAGCTGCTCAAGCAATCCAAGGGAAGGGGCTCATTTTTCTTTACCTTTTCCTGGAAAGAGTCCAAAATTCTCATCTCTTTGTGTCTCAACATTAGTTCCCAACTGGAAATATGAGATGTGACATTCCTTATCTCCATCTTTTCCTTCACATTGTTCTTCTGTACATATTGAGGAGTTCAGAGCATCCAGAAGAGTGATAAGAGATAAAAGGGTAAAAGTTTCAGCTCTGAGCCTCATTCACTGTCCTGCCAAGTATTAGTTACCTAAATATCATGTCCTTTTACTGAATCATTTATATTAATTATTGACCATCGCAAGAAGTGAGGTCAAGGTGATAGCAGGTGTGTGGTTAATAGTGTGTTTTCTGGGATATGATTGAAACTATGCTCTAGAGTATGATGGTTATTAACATTTCATGAAAATAGTAGACAGTATTTAATGCAAGTTAAAAGATTTGCAACTTTACCTCTAGGGTAGCAACAGTCTCCAAGAGATAAAATGAAAATTATGAGAATCAAATTGATTCGGTATTCTATTGGGGTATTGTTATGATCTAATTTGTGGTTTATTTTTTAATCTTTAGGACATGCTACCAGTAATGTTGGTGACCATCTAGAACAACCACGTGGAGCACTAATATGGGATGAAGCATTGGCCTGTGGACAGTTAGCAACATATATCCCACTGTGGAGATAGATAAATAAATTTTAATAGAGTGAATTGAATGAAGACAGATGTCACAATCATTGTATCTACAGAAAAACTAGCATGCAAATATCACATCATACCATACCACTTAAATGTATCATACTACAGATACAATGGCTGGTTTGTTTAACAGTTTAATAGTTGCTGTTCAGATGCCAATGCTCAGTCTTTTAGTTCTCCAAAATATGCTTTAAGCACACACACACATCAATGCACAACTGAAGTTAGCAGATGCGTACATGGTAACTGTAGCATGGCTGCTGAGTAGTAATTAAGCCAATCAAAACTTAAGTTCAATTTTGCATCTCAATCCCAAACTAGAGATCCCAATACGATGTACTATGTCCATCAAAACACCTGTATTTTTTTCTTAGGATGACAATACAAAGCAGATCTTAACAGACCTGGAAATCTAGGAAGAAGGTTTAATAGGTATAAAGCAATGGAACCTTAGAGCAAATAAAACCTAAACAAGGTTTAGATGCAAAAAGTGTCACCTTTGCTAACTTTCTCATAAGAAATGACAGCAATCTCTGAAAGAACAACAACAACAAAAAACTCAATATATCCATATGCAAATAATTAGCCAAAAACCTTGAAGAAGTCATTGATATGGTGGAATCTCTGTTTTTGTTTGTTTGTTTCTGAACTTCCAAAGTACAGTCATGGAGACAGTGAGCGCTGATGCATTTTTATCTAATGCCAAGCAAGATTATATGAGATGTAACTTTTTCAGGGGGAGGCTGGTAAAGAGAGTATTTTTTTTTCTAATTTTATACACCAATGTAGAAATGGAAAATATTTGAGGAATGTATGAAATAGGAAGAATGGTGCAGTACCAGATTACAAAACAATAAAAAACAACAACAACAACAAAACAACAACAACAACAACAAAACAAACAAAAAGGCAAAAACAAACAAACAAACAAAAAGAACAGAGCACCAGTTACTTACCAGTTACAGGAAACTGTGCCCTAGAATTCTGTTTTTGTTCTTCAGCCGTCCCATTTACTTCTGCAGAATTCCTCATATAAAATATTTGTGTTGGTTTATACGCATTTCGCGTATCTTAGTGACAAAAAGTATTGTAATTACTAACACTATTTTTATTATATTATGTTAAAAAATAAGAGTATCTTATTTGATTAAAATCTTTCTACTGTGTTTGCATTATATACTGTTCATTTTTATTCATTTCTCTGGTTGTTTCCCAGGACATCTACGTATCAAGTAGGTAATTCAAGATTTCCTATTTGGCCAGAATGGAATGAAGCTGACTTGAATGCAGAAAAATGGGATGCTGGAAAAGTTGGAAAAGAGAAAGAAAAATCTGGAAAAAGTCCTATTTCAGTAAGTGTGACACAAATGCATTTCTTTTTACCATGTTGTTTTTTGTATCTCTTTAATTTCTCAATAACTCAAAGTAATTGTCATTGATAAGTATATTCATTTCCAACTTTATTTTCATTAAATTTAAATAGTTGCCTACCAAATTAAATGCATAAACTAAATGCATTGTGCATTGTTTCATTGTTGCATCTGTTAATGTAAGTATGCACTGTTAGAACATTAATGGTTTAAAAAACCCCAAACCCCCAGATCTATTTCATAACATAATTAAAACTGGGGATTTGGGAAGAAGCCAAACTGTCCTAACAGGCTGGAGCAAACTCTTTGCAGTTTCTGGGGGCAAAAAAGCTTGATGCATCCATCTTTGCAAAGTTTTTATGGGGAAAAAATGCAAGTTGATCTCTTTTCTTCTGCATGCCTCAGTTTGTGGACATGTGAAACACTATCTGCAGTTCCAGAGTGCAGAGAACAGTTTGAGGTGATACAGTTATATTGTATAAAGCAAATCACCTACCATATGCAGAAAAAAAATAATCCTAAGTCTTTCCAATTTTGGAACAATGTTTGAGTCTCATCTAGATTTTTAATTCTTCAAACTGATTTTGTTCCTTTGTGTACTTTAAATATTTTGTTGCAGATTGGTATGTTGAAGGAACTTACACAATGAAGCAAGCAAGAAAAAATGTGGGAAAATACTGTTTGGGGGACTTTGGTTTGGTTTTATATTGTTTTTTTTGTTGTTTTTTTTTTTATGATTTCGCCTTCAGTAAGTACTTAAAACATCAAATGTTTTCCACCCTAGAAACTCTTTTTCAGTTGGTCTGTAGAAGATCAGTAGTACATAGTATGGGCTATGAAACACACAGAAAAGGATAATATGCCTAAAACTTATTTAAAAATCCAGACACAAGTAGAATGCACTAACCACGTAAATTAGTTTCTCAGTCAATGCAAGCAGTATCAGAACCTCATCCTACACTGTGCTGTTAAGTAAACAGGTATTGTATATCCTGATGCCTTCTGTTTACACAGAGAAGTATCACTTTGGAAATGGAAATTTGAAAAGTATATGAAGCCCTTCCTTTAACGGGCTAATTCTTGAGGCTGTATAATTATATCTCTCTTTGATTTCTATGGCAGTTTTAAATGCTTGGAGTCTGCTTTGTTGGTGTGTAAATATTGCTTTAGGAATTTAATTTCAGTCTTCAGTTTAAACAAAAATAACATTGAGAAATAGTGAGTTAGAAAAGTATTTAGAAATAACTTGGTAGAAAGGTGTCTGAATTAAAACCTTATAAAGGTTTTGTGGAAATTTTTCTCAATGGTGAGAAAGAAGGAAAACATTTCATATAGACCTGGTTAGACAGTGCAGACCACATAGCTCTCTCTGAATAATATAATCAGCTTTTTTTTTTCTGAATTCTCAGTTTGGACTTCACACTGTTTTAATTCAGAGTTATAGAAACTATTAATACCTTTTTATGTTATTCTTACCCTGAAGTGAATTATCATGTGAACAATGAATTATTTTAAATATTGTGAAAGATACAACAGTATAATTAGTTTTAAAAAGTGTTCCTTTTTTATGCATATTTTATATAGCATGTCTTTGATGATCCTGAAGGAAAAATAGAATTGCCAGCCTCATTAAAAGTGCATTCTTGGAAACGGCCACAAGAGTTTTTAATAAATAAGGTAAGAAACTAGCAAGATCAGAGTGGACCATTGTGCATCCAGGAGATGGTGATCTGTACAGTGGTTAACCTGCATGGGCCCTGGCCTCTGCTGCACTGTGCTGTAGGCACAGCATGACTGTAGGACGAGCTCAGCCAGCACATTGAAACAGAAGAGTTGGTAGGCATCTCCCACTTAATATCAGCCACCTGCATGTTCTTGCCTTTATCTAGAAGGGCAGCAAGAAGTGTGGATATCCTTTCTGCTTGATGGTAGAAGTGATGAACAGAGCTTGTAAGAAAGACCTGTGAGAGCTAAAATGCTATAACAGGTCAATAACACCAAAATGGAGTAACCCATTCTACAGGGGAGGTCTGCACAGTGTGCTGTGAGTGGAGAAGAGGCCTGTTTGCTGCTGCATATCTTCTCAGCATAGAAACATAGAACAGCTTGGGTTGAGAGGGACCTTAAAGGTCTTAATCACTTCCTTTATGGTGTTAATTCTAATAAATAGAAGGTTAAATGAAACTTTACAGAGTCTGAGTGCACCAGCACCTCCTGGTGCAAGACATCATGGTAGTGTACCCTTCCAACTCTGCTTTGCTTTTTTTTTTCCTTCCATGTTCATTTAGAAGACACCTGGTGAGAGAGATGTCTTCCTGTTTTTCTTCGTGTTCCTGTTTTCTTACTTTTAAAAATCAGTGTTATGGCAAATCAAGTTCCCTTTGTTCCAGCTAAGGCATCTTGAACAGACATATGAAGTAAATATCTATACTGAAACTATGGACTAGCTTTACCAGAAATACAATACTTTTTCTCACTCTCCCACCTTAAATATTGCATTTCTCCAGTATGCATTCAGAACATGTCCACATCTTTGACAGTACTTGTCTGGAAGGTAAACATAACATTTTAAAATTGTGCAAAGCTCTTCTTCACTTTCTTTTTAAAAGGAATTGCAAAGTAAATAAGCAGCCTACCATTTTAAAGGTTGGAGTGTTCTTCAGTGCTGTTGCTAATCTTAAGGTTTAAACATTTTTTTTCTTTAGATTAAATGTTGAAGTTTTTAAGCACTGTGACCACCATTAAAACTTTTTTTTAGTCTTGTCAGTTTTCCTTTTGTCAGCTTGTCAGTTTTATTTCTTATTAGCTAAACACTAAGCAGCTCCAAGATTCATTTTTAATGGAGGAATAGGAGGAGAAGTCAGGGGAGTAACTGACAAGACCAAAAGATTGGATGAGAAATGCTGCCAACATACATAAACTGAGTAGAGGGATCTGAAGGATAAGGGCAGGAGAGTTGGCAGCCCAGAAAGCCATGGAAACATGTATCTGTATTAAAAATAGCTTTTAGACTATCTTTAGACCACTGTGAAGAAAGCAATTACTTTCTTTAAGACCTGACTAAAACTTTGGTGCTTGTTGTTTTAGTACAGCATATTTTGGATCAAGTAGTTATGATTACTAGGAATACTGTAAGTTATTCAATATTAATGCTAACCTCAAGTGATGAAATACTATTAAGATGATATATGTTACTGCCTAATCTATAAGTAACTAGAAATAAAGAGTAAACAATGCTATTTAGTGTGTTAAGGAAAGAATCAAGCTGTAACCACCACTAAGTGATGAGAGGCACAGAGATATTTAGTTTGATAAATTACAATCCTATTACTTCTAAACTGCTTACGTAAAGAAAACTCTGTACACAAGTGACAGTCCTCAAAACTACATGTAATGTAGTTAATGTAGTTAATGTAATGTAGTTAATGATGTAGAGAATCATAGAATTGCTCGTGTTGGAAGGGACCTTAAAGGTCATCTAACTCCAAACCCCTTCCGTAGGCAGGGATGTCACCCACTAGATCAGGTTGGCCAAGGCCCCATCCAACATGGCCTTGAACACCTCCAACTCCTCCAGGGATGGTGAATCCACAGCTTCTCTGTGCAACCTGTTCCAGTGCCTCACTATCATTACAGTGAAGAATTTCCTCCTAATGTCTAAAGGTTTAATAAAGTCAGTGTTCATACTGACTAATGCTTATATTTCTACTGGTGTTACCAAGACTGAATTCAGACATGAATATTGTTGCTTAAAAAATATCTGTAATTATATTTTGAGTTGAACTCTTGAAAACATGTGCTACTATTAGGAGAAAAAAACAACTAAGTTTTGGTAAAGTGGTCCTCTGTCTAATGTTCATCCACTTCTGATGAGCCAGTCAGCTTGCTATAGAAGAAACAGAAAACTCAGTTATTATCCCTCCCCACCCCACCAACATCCGCACAAAAGGGGAGGAGTGGGGGCAGAAAGAAATGTATTATTGTCTGTTGGTTTAACGGACTGAAACAACCAACAGGGGGTCAAAGTAAATGAGGAAAAAGAAGGGACAACATAGAACAACTCCTTTTAACAACAGCAAATCGTTGAATTGGTTTAGCTATCTTGTTCTAACCCTCGCTCTTTAATTTAAACTGAAGTTCTTGCACACTACTTTTAGGTAAATTATCCTAAAGATAACTGTGACCACATAATGAGTGATGACTATGGAAACCTGATATATTTTCATTTCCTGCCTTAATTGCACACAGTAATGTCATACTTGGAAACACATCATAAATATCTTGTGATTAATAAATGAATACAATTTATTTAGTTATTTAGTGTTAAGTATACAAAATGTATGAAGTATAAAATTTTTCATTAACCATTTTCTTTATAATATCTTGACCGTAGAGAAAAGAGAAAGTAAATAAAAATCAGTAAAGTCTGTTTGCAAAGTAAATCATTAAGTTGATAACTTGGGTCTTTGTGAATTATCTTTCTGACCTCTTGTAGTGAGCCTTTGCAATTAAAGAGCTGGGAGCATAGATGGTCCTTCAGGTTGTTTTGTAGAACTTAAGCATATTTCAAAAATACATTGCATTTTTTATATTTAAAATATATTTGCAAATTATTTGTAATGACTTTTGATAACACTGACTTGAAAATAATTATGTTGCACTTTCTCCTTGATAATATATTTGAAATTATTCTTTTAAACATGAATGCAAGTTTTTCTTGTGGAATTTCTTACTCCATAAGAAAAACTTGCATTCATATTTAACAGAATGATTTTAAATGATCTTTATCATAGAATATAAGACCAGAAAAAGGTAATAAAAAAGTCTAGGCTACTGCATGTCACAGGGAATTAAGATTCATCCTTGTTTTGCTCTAATGAACTAATGAATTTAGTTAGCCTAAAATATTTCCATTCTCAAATTGCTAAACTATTGTGTGTCACAAGCATAGAGAGTAATAGATAAAGCAGCAGAGACAATTAAGTGAGTTGTGTTCCTAGGCCAAATGCATGGTGTAAGGGAATCAGAAAAGAAAGATGCCAGACACCTGTCAGCCTGGCTGGAGGGAAAATTCTTAGAATTAGAACTTTAATCTAATTAGTTCAAGCCTGCACCTATGAAGAAAAGTAATCTTAGGCAAATTTGTTTTCTGCTCTTTGATGGTACTGTATTGCCCCTTGCAGTATCAAAGTTGGACAAACTTTTAGCATTCAGTAAGATGTTAAGAAAACAAGCAAACCATACTTCTAAAAGATCTTTTGAACCTAGGTGGAGGGCCAAGGAAATCACAACATTATGATCACTATTGAAGTGCAGAACTGCTAATACTATGAAAAATTTGAGGAAATTTCAGTTTATATAGTTATATATTTATTACATTTGATATTTTTTAAATCTTTTGGTAAGAATAATAATTCCTTTGAATTCTGAACATCTGTATTTTGACACTTTTAAGAAATACCAAGTCAGGTAAAAGATTTGTAAACTGAAAACCTTGAGTTTGCAAATATCATGCAAAACATCTAGTTTTTGTATGTCATTAACATGAAATACTACTGTTCATTTCATTTTTTTCCTGATAATTTATCTATGGACTTTTAACTAATTTACTTTCTCCTAGATTCCTGTGGTGGTCAAAAATGAAAACTCATGTGATCTTTTTTTAGGAAATGAACATTTATTTTGTAGTGAGGTAGGTAGAAATGTGTGAATATCTGTTTATTTATTTCTTCTTCTCATCTCTTTTTAATCTTTGCTGTCCACAGAACCACCAATTTATTTTATTTCAAGTTTGTTGTAGTAAAAATTATTCTTATTCTTGTTCATATAAACCATTTTACATGTAAGAAAGCCTGGTAATACTTTTAAAACTGTAGCATACATCCATAATCTGTATGTTAGAAAAGCACACACTCTGAAGCATTATTAGTTAAAACTTGTATTTCACATGTTAAAAATTTGTTATAATATGTAATCACATGTACCCATTTTTCTTTGGTAAATGATAAGCAGCATCATTTCTATTGTGTTTTTACCTATTTACAGAAGGTTTCATGTCATTGTAGATAGATATGATTTTAAGAAAAATTGTGCAAGTATTTTTTTTAAATTATTATTTTATTTTGCATGAACCATAGCTTTTATGTCACTCCTTCCTTTAAAACAGAAGCTATTTTATTCTTTCATCATTGTAATATAACTTGATTCTATTTTCTTAGAAGATGTAAGTAATTTTTTTTTTACATATTTCTGTTTTCAGATGATGAGATGGATTATAAGTGAAATTTGTGCAGTCTGGAGGATATATAATGGAAAGGACTTAACTAATGGAACATCCACAGTATTTTGGAAACCATGGGAACATATTTATGCCTTATGTAAAGCTACTAAGGGACACATGCCTCTATACAATAGCTATGGCAAATACATAGTGAAACTTTATTGGATGGTGAGTATTTACTTTCAGCAATCTAAAATTCTGTGCAGCTAGTGTGGCAAATTTTAATGGTTAGGAGAAGTATTTGTAATTACTGAAAAGATATACAAACAAAATTGTGTTGACAAATTGTTGATGCCTGTTAATGACGATTCATTGTACAGTGTATGTGATTTTTGTACAACATAGAACCTAATAAAACACAGTTGTCACTTAGTAAGACAAAATTATTTTTGCAGGTTAAGTCAAATAGCTGCAATTAATCTCTGAAAAAAAAAAAGAATAAAATGACTACTGTTTCAGTGCTTCTTAGATATTATATGAGTACTTGTTTTAAAGCTCTCTGTAATGTTAATCAAAGTGCAGTAGAATTGTATTCTTGGGAAAACATACAAAGTACTCTTCTTTTTTTTTTTTTTTTTTTCCTCTTCTACCTTAGGGGTGCTGGAGAAAGATCACCATCGATGATACTATGCCTTTCGATGAAGAAGATAATTTGTTACTACCAGCTACAACCTCTCAAATTGAACTTTGGCCAATGCTGCTGTCCAAAGCTATCATTAAGCTGGCAAATACTAGGTATGTTTAGTCAGTTTAGTCAGTTTAGTCAGTTTAGTTCACTTTCAGTTTATTTTGTGAAGTCACGTGGAATTTGAAAAGAGAACTGTTTTAGTATATGTGGAAAATGTATTTTACTAAAAGTTCTGTAATGAGAAATATACGCTTTTATGAATGCTGGTGCAGTAAATCAGTAAAACAAGAGTCTCTGTGGATAAGGAAGGTAGAGTTTTTCCTTTTTAAACGTGTCTGTGTATTCATGCACCTAAAACTTTTGGGAAAAAAAAAAAGTTACCTCTCTATCTGCTTTATTTCTTTTCCATTATTCCCAAAGGCTTCACATGTGGTTTTCTGCCAAATGGCAATATCCAAGACATTTTAACAAAGTAGTGCTTCAGATGGTATGGACGATTAATATATTGCATGTTTATAAGAAAATACAGTAGAAACAAAATACGTTTTTGATACAACCAGCTACTAGTTAAATTTAGAATTAAAATAAGTTGCTAGAAAATGCCTTTACAAATTGGAAGAGAACAGAATATAATGGAGCCTGATCCAAGAGGACTGAAGATGGTAATCTTTAGTGTCCTTGATGGTTGTCCTATTGGGACTGTCACTGTCCTGGTTTCAGTTAGAACAGAGTTGATTTTCTTCCTAGTAGCTGGTAGAATGCTATGTTTTGGCTTAGGATGAGAAGAGTGCTGATAACATCCCGATGTTTAATTGTTGCAGAGCAGTGCTTATACTAAGCCAAGGACATCTCAGCTTCTTGCTCTGTCCTGCCAACGAGCAGGCTGGGGGTGCAGTAAGAGCTGGGAGAGGACAGACCCAGGACAGGTGACCCAAACTAGCCAAAGGGGTATTCCATACCATCTGACGTCATGCTAAACAATATATAGGGGTGGCTAGCTGGGGGAGGGGGCCGGACTGCTTGGGGTTAGGCTGGGCATCGGTCAGCGGGTGGTGAGCAATTGCATTGTGCATCACTTGTTTGTACATATTAGTAGTAGTAGTACTATTATCATCATTGTATGCCCGTTGGCAGGACAGAGCAAGAAGCTGAGATGTCCTTGGCTTAGTAGACGCACTGCTCTGCAACAATTAAAACATCGGGGTGTTATCAGCACTCTTCTCATCATAAGCCAAAACATAGCATTCTACCAGCTACTAGGAAGAAAATTAACTCTGTTCTAACTGAAACCAGGACAGTCACATACTTTCAAAGTGAAAGAGATAAAGGACTGCAGAGACAGAATATTTGCCCTCCTCTGGGACAGGCAAAAGGGGATACTGTTTTCAAAGGCAGGAAAGAAAATCGCATTCCCCCAGCTGAAGAGGAGCTGCAAATACATTCTGATAGGGTTTCTGCTCCAGCTCACCTTTAAAAGAGAATAGGCTCACAGTGGAAACAGAATGTAGAAGAGGAAAGAGGCACTCAAGATCATTGTTATAAGAAAGGAAAATATGCTTTGGAAAAATAAAGGGGTTTAGAAGTACTTCAGTGTAATTTAAAATTCTTAAAATTATACTCTTTTTAATTCAACATGATCTTTACAATTATTAATACTTTTGACTAGAATAAAGAGGGAAAGCAGTGATGTTTTTCATCATGAAGTACAGTATAAATTACAGTCTTTATTTTTTGTGCATTTTTATGAAGAGTATATTTAGAGGGCCAGGTATTGTGTATTATACCTTATGTTTAAGATTTATCAGACCTGTAAGTGTTATAGGAGTTCAATTACTTACTGCGTGTACCAGGTTATTTTCTGTGCTTTGCTAGGTATTTCTTTTGATTAGGTATATTTTAATACATTAATGTTACATATTCTTTCAAATGACAAAATGTACAAATTCAAATGTGAGACATATAAGAGCTTTTATTTTAAACAGTAACAAAAGTAAACATTATAGATATGAATATATGATATAGTTTTATATATATATATATATAACGCTTGCAGAATGTTTTGCAGCATTTATTAGAAAAGCAATGTATTATTTAGAGATGCTTGACCTAAAAGAAATAAAGCTTTTAAAATGCAGTATGGAAAATAGAGTATTATAAGATACTTCTGACACTTTTGCTTTTAGTGCTGCTGTTGTGGGCTGTGTGGTGATCCACTTGCAAAAAAGTGACCTGGAAATTGGCCCATGGTACAATCAATTGGCAATTAGGGCCACAGGTTCCTGTGAGATGAGTAACGACCACCAGCTGTTTAAATGATTAAACTTCAGAAAAGAATTCAAATACTGAGCTGGATAGTCAAGCCTTCCCATTCTGGTTATATCAACAGTCACTTTGGTCAAAGGAATGATCTAGAGTATTTCCACATTGACCAGGGAGTTGCCTATAGCTGCCTGTAAACTCTGCCAGAGAGCATTTGAAATCCAACATTTCTCCAGAGCACAAGAATGGCTAGGTGCTTGCACTTTTAGCCTTGGTCCTCTCAGGATTTTCTTACAGAATTATTTCCAGAGAGTAGGAAACTATATCCATTTGAGAGAGTTGACTGTGATATACTGGAAATACTGCCAACTGTTAATAATCTGGGAGTTGGAGCAGCTCTTCAGGAAAGGGAAGTTCTAGATTCAGATCCCCCATGGGTCTGGTGGGATTTCAAACCCACATATCCAACCCTGCAAAAAGAGAAAGAGACTCTACTTCATACAAGTATACATAGGATGCTTGCTAACCATACTGAAACTGCTTTTGCACAAGTGGGAACGCTATGATGGGCGTGATGCAAAGGCACAGCAGCAAACTTGAATTTTTAGGCTAGTAGTCAGCTATAAATTGGAAAACTAAAATTGCCATTAAAACTTGTTTTTCAGCAGTCTTATTTTCTGTTTGGGCCTTGTACTGCTTCTACAGAAAGCAACATAGACTACAAAATCTGGTGAGCTGGTTATATTATATTTCTGTGTAATGGTAGGTTTTGTATTACAGTACACAAGAAAATGGAAAAAGAGAGCTGGAGGAATTTACAGTTCTACATGCACTGACTGGATGGATACCAGAAGTTATTCCTCTCCAGTAAGTTCTATTGAACATTTTTGATAATGTTAAATATTTACTTCTGTAAAGCATTATGTATAATAAAGCTGTGCCATGCAAGTCCTTTAGCATCAGTTTTGCGGAATGTAAGGTTTTAATTCTAGAACTTTCCTTCTAGGAAAGCATTTTTTTTAGTGTTTTTATTTGTAGGTCATGCAGTTGATTGTAAAGCTGTTTATCATGTTAAGCTGCTGCTGATTGTTCTTCAAATTAAGTTATTTTGAATTAATATTGAACCCTGTGATGAAATCAGGGTTAGAGAAGTCTGTTTTGTTCTAGCGTACAGATATAAAATGTTTGGCAGTAATACTAATAACTTTATGTGTATTAGTGTGATTAGTATTATTATATTAGAATGTACCATAGAAAATATATTACATGAATTGGAAGTAATCAACTTCAGCTATTGAGGTGTTTTCACATTTTAAATTGAAACAGTTGTTACGCTTTTATTCCTCCAAATGAAATTCCAACCTATAATAATATTTTTTCTTGTTTCCTATGTGTCAAGTCCGTTCAATTTTTTTTTTCATTTTTTTTTTCTGCTTGACATTATTTTTGTTGAATGAATGAGTGAGGTACACATTCTAAATATATATATATATTTTTTTTTAATGTTTTTTTTTGCCTTTTGATGAACACGTTAACAAATAAATAGATACAAACTTGGTTTATATATAATTTATTTAGGATTAATTGTTTATTTATAAAAGCATTTTAATATTAAATAAGTTCATTCATGCTTTATTTTAGCTCTTATTTCCACAATCACAATTTTATGTCCCACATTATTCTTGCAATTTAAGTCTTTGATGTATTTGGGTATTACAGTAGTGTGTCTGTAGCCCATGGACTTAGAAATCTCAGCAATCTTAATTTTGTTTCTTTATGTAGTTTATTTTTAGAATAGCAACAACAAAAAACAGTATCAACAAATCTGGCAGTTATTGCAAAATTTAACTTGCTTGCACTAAGAAATGTGAGTGCCAGAGAATGCCACAGAATCTTTGCAACAAAGTATAAAGATGACTTTAGCTTGTTGTACAATTAATAATTTTATTGTAAAAAGAATGTTTCATGCAATTGGCTTGCAATTTATTCATGGGCATGAATGATTAATTCAGTTTTAGGTTATTTCAGGAATTACTGACTTTCTGTGAAGCAACAGCACAACAACAACTGTCAGGTCCTGTGAAAACTCTGTTGTAGCCGGTGGAATCAGGGGCAGAGGCATAGAACTCCTGGTGTTGAAATAGCTAGGGAAATCCTGTTTGAAACTCAGGAAGAGATTTTTAATGTACAGAGCTAGAATAAATTATACAGGGTAGTTGGAAAGAGGTCGACAATTTTTCCTGCCATAGCTTTTATCTACAAAGTCAAGCAAGTGTGTTTCATTTACTAAAATAAAACTGCCATTTTTCCAGAGTTGGACTGTCAGTTGTATTATAACTTTGTCTAAATGAAGATCACACGTTCTTATCTTATTGCAATTGTCATTTTCATTGATATGTACATGTGTTTGTTTTTTAAGGCCTGGATACTTGAACAAAGTCTGGGACTTTTTGAAAGAGATTTTGCCAGAATTCAAGTTGACAAATAAGGAAACTTCAGAACTTGATAATCCTCGGACAGATACAAAATGTAAAGAGACCAAAGTGTCAGATTTAAAAAATGAAGTTTCATCTGTGAATAAACAGCCAGATAAACCTGAGAAAGCAGAGAAATTTGGCAAAGGTCTGTAGTTGTAGGTAGTGTTATCTTTGTATGTCAAGCTAGCATGTAGGTAAAGTTAGCATAACCTCTGCCTTCGAATTCATCTATCTTTATTATACCTCATGCAAGTCTGCAGGTTTCTTACTTCACTTAATATTTTGCAATGGTATAAAATCAAAGAAGTTTTATTTTAACTGTGGACCTCATTAGAAGCAGTATTAGACTCTTCTTTCATGAAAACCAGGCTTCATTTTCTGGCAGTGAGTTCTTCAGCTCTGTTAGTCATTCCTCTGAAGAGTGGTTCCATGCAGAGGGATAACAATCAGAGTTTAGTTTGCCCAAAGGCAACTGGTTCAGCACTGTTCTGACCATCCAGAAAGTGTACAATCCGTAACGGATATTACCAAGAGTGATCACCTCTACATTGTACTGACAAGTACATAATATAAAGTCTGTCTGCACTTTTATTTGCAGTTACTTTTCTGTTTATGCTACCAGGTATTAATTTTCTTCAAGAACTGCTAATCTTATTTACACTTAAATGAAGAAACCTAGGCTTAAAAACATATTTGTTACAGTATATTAATCCACAATGTTTATATTTGAGTCTTAGTTGCTGTTTTAAACTTGGAGGCATGGATGCAATTTCACAACACTTTTAATGTTATTGGAAGGTACAAATCATAGAACCACAAAATCATAGAACATCCGAAGTTGGAAGGGACCCATGAGCATCATTGAGTCCAACTCCTGGCTCAACACAGGACCCCCCAGAAGTCAAACCCTCTTTCTGAGCGTAGACCAAATACTTCTTGAACTCCAGCTGGCTTGGTGCTGTGACAAATTCCCTGGGCAGCCTGTCCCAGTGCCTGACCAACCTTTGGGTGCAGAACCTTTTCCTAACACCCAGCTTGACCCTCCCCTGTCCCAGCTCTATGTTGTTCCCTCAGGTCCTGTAACTGTCCCCAGACAGCAGAGATCAGAGCCTGCCCTTCCAGTCCCCTTGTGAAGAATCATAGGCTGAAATTTATTTCTATTTCTTCACTGACTTCAAAAAAAAAAAATAAAAAAAATGCATTTCTCAACTTTGAAGCTCAAATAATAATCCTAATGTCAAAAGTGTTATAAAAATATTTGAAGAGACTTAGCTGAGGGACTAGTCAGAGACTCACAAGCACTCTTTCTATCATCTTATGACTTGTCCACCAGTGTAGAAGATATTTCAGAATTAGGAATGGACATGAACAAGGGAGCACTGGGAACAGCTCTGTTACACATCCAACAGGGTGCTGTAATTTATTCCCAGAAAATGGTGTAAACTTAATCCTGCCTAAGCTTTAGGAATTATTAGTAACTGAAACAACTAAGAATCAGGGAAGCACAGCATTATAGTGAAGCTCAATAATCTTCCTACTCTGAGGCTCCAAGTTGTGTTCTGAAGACCCATTAAAATTTTGGGATTTTTTTAAAATTATAAATGTATTTTTCTGTAATCTAAGTTTTAAGGTTGGCAGATATTTTTTCATCCATGTGATTTTATAAGTGATCCTGACAGTATCCTCTTTTATATTGCTCAATGCTTCCAATATTTTATTTTTTTATCAAATATAATTTTGCTAATATTCCTTCCTAAAACTTGTATTTTCTTTGCTGGTTATGTATGTTTGTTTGTCTGTTTTTCATTTTATCTATCTATTTATTTATTTATTATTGCCTAGAACAATGTAATTATTATTTATTAGGGAAAAAAAAGTGATAGAAGGGGTTTCTTTTTTTTTTTTGAAAAAGCTTTTATTGAAATGTCTGTTGCAACTGTGGAATCCACTGGGAACTTAGGCCAAGTCTATGTTAGATTGTTCTGGAAACTACTGATACATGGGATCAGGGATGTGATGAAAATGTTTGACACAGTGCCAGGACTTCAGGAATTCCATACAATATAGTGGAGAAGTGAGAATTGTGCACCAACTGTGTGACTGAAGCCTTCCTGACCTTTTCAATAAATCAACGTTTAAATCTTGAGAAAGTCTTTTTTTTTTCCTTTTTTTCCTTTTTTTTATTTTTTTTTAACTGAATGACATATCTCTTTATCATACCTCAATTCCTCTTCAATTCTGAAGTTTTGTTTGTTTGTTTTTTAATTTAACTAAAATGTTATTAAAGTATTTACACAGTATTAGATTTTAAGACTGAAAAATTTTATCAGAAAAAAAAAAGAAAAAAATATCTTTGTTTTACGTAACAGAAAAAGCAGAACAGAAAGAAACTGGGAAGAAGAAAAACAAAGACGGAGAAAAAGAAAAAAACAAGTCAGCAATTCAGTCTTCACAAATACAGGCAGAAGTCCAGGGTTCTCCTCAAGCCTTAGCTGAGAGTAAGTGCTATTAAAGCTTAAAAACCAAATGTAAGATATATGTAAATAAAAGACTTTGCTTTTTTTTTTTCATTCTCTAACTTATTTGGGAAAAGAGTAAATATAAAAAAAAAAAAAAAAGTGATTCTTTACAGACTGTATTAAAGACTTAAATCCTTATATATATTAAAATACATATTAAAATTCTATAATTTATATTAAAAATAATATTGCAGAAATTTCTCTTTGATGTTGAAATATAAAGCAAATCTACACTGAACATTTAGAAGTTGTTGGCCGGTCATGTAGGACCAAGATTTGTTCTAGATGTAGATTGCCTTTTTTATTAGTAACTATAATAATAATATTCTTCTGTAGTAAATTATTTGCAATATCTACTTTATTCAGTATATTGGAATTGGAAAAAGGAGGAATGTTCCTTGCTGAAGAGTAGGGTGGCCAGTAATAGTCATTTGAATTTATTGAATGATTTAATTGTTTAATAAATTTGTTTCCTTTTTCCTGAAAATATATTTTGATTTTTTTTTATATCAGTACCTCTAGGGTACCTTAAAAATCAAGAAAGTTCTTTCTGCATTAAAATTTAAATATTTTTAGACAAAATATAGTTTTGATAAACCACATGTAAATTTGAATTGGTCAATTAGACCAATAAGAAGTGTCATATTTGTTTGCATAAAATATAAAATTCTTCATAAATGTTACATTAAGCTGATCTTTGTCATTGTTTATATCTGTAAATATATAGCATATCCATACAGATAGCAGAAGGAAACATATTAATTGTAATATTACCTAGTTGAAAATTAGCAGGTGAGTGTCAGTGGAACAACTTTCTTTAAGGTTATAACTACAAGGTAAAAATGTATAAAAAGAATTAAAATCAGTTTCTTATTATGTAAATCAGTTTCTTGCTCCTGATTAAAATTGTTTATTTAAATCAGTTTGACTTCTATCAATCCAGTATTATTTTTCATCAATGAGTATATACCTTATTCATTTGAATTCCTACATTATATACTAGTAACAGAGTTAAAGAGAAATAAATTCTTAAATTAAATGTGAGCAGTTAATAAGTTTGCAAACAAAACTTGGACTAAAAGCTTTTTTTTTTTTCTTTTTTTTTTTAAATCATAGTAGTTGTGTAATAGGAGATGAGGCATTTCACTCAACCATGTTGTGGGAAAATAAAACAAAGGAGAAGCAGAAGTAATAAATTCTGGAAATTATACCAAATCTGTAAAAGGGCATCAAAAATCATCATATTGTGTATTTACATATGAAGAAACCACATGACATTTTGGTCTTTCTTCTGCCATTTAAAGCACAGTGCATTCTGTTTTCTTAAAGACCCTTAGTGACGTGCAAAGTTATATAGAAAGATTACTAGCTTGGGGCTAAAATATGGCAGATCAAAGAACTCTTTTATCCTAGATCTGTTTCATAAGCAGAAGATGAAATGCATGCATTCTAAAGCCATGAAATATTCTTAACCTTTGTCAACCTCTGTTAAGTTAGCAAAATGTTATTTTCCTGAATGAAGTTGTTTAATCAACATCAATGGGATTAAGAGATGTGTAACATAATTTTATTAGAACTTTTAAATCCTGACAACTTTCACATGTGTCTTTTAAAAGTAGTATTAAAAAGTATGGGTTGTTTGTTTGTTTTTTCCAGACATTACCAAAGCAAAATAAAAGTATCAGAAAAGAGTTCTGGAAAAGAACCGAAAGTATATATTTCACTACTGAACTTAAAAGAATTTGAATAGAATTACATGTGCAGATTGTAAATTCAGAAGGCTTAAAATAGGGATAAAACTTGAGATTAAACTGCAAAGAAAAAAAAAAAGCAAAATATAATTCAAAATGTTACTTGAAATAGTACTGGACTGAATTATAGTCCAGTTTATAGGCACAAGAGAAAAAAAGTTGTAGGCTATATGAAACAGCCTGCAATGAGTGGCCCAGGACAGTAGAACTGTTTTTGTGCATGAAGTAACATTTGTAAATAAGTCTGAGTTTAAAGTCAGACTCTGGAGGCAGCAGCTGCAAAATGTTTCTGAATTGTTCTTGGAAATCAGTGTCTTTACTCAATGCAGCAGCTCTTTTCTTTTTTTTTTTTTTTAGGTCAGTGTTTTGAAAAGTACTTAATTTCCAGCTCCATAAAAGTGCTTATTTCCCATGTTTTCGCTGTACATATTCAGTATGGGGACTTTAATTTTTATTTTTTCCTGGGAAATATTGGAATTATTTCTAAAAAAGCATTGGCACACCAGTTACTTCTAAGTGTTTAGAAACTTCTCTTACAGGCTTAGGATTTAGCAGGGGTTATAATGTGCTGGTGGGTTGACACCATCTGGCAGCAAAGTGCCCACCCATTTACTCACTCACTGTCCACCAGCAGGATAGGAGGAAAGGATCAGAAGAGCAAAAGCAAGAAAAAAACTTGTGGGTCGAGGTAAAGATACTTTTCAATAACTTTTAATACATGGAAAAGAAATAATTAAGGGGAGAAAAAAGCAAGTGATGGAAAAGCAATCACTCACCACACTCAACCTGATACCAAGCCAGGCTCTGAGCAACAGCTACTTTAGGAAAATACCCTCTCCTGTTATTGCAGTGTGTAACATTGTATGGGATGGAATATCTCCTTCATCTATTTGGGTCAGCTCTCTCACTTACGATACCTTCTAGACTCTTGCCCACACAAAGCTTATTCTCTCAGCAGAGTGAGGACTTGACACAAGCACTGTTCAGTGACAGCTAAAACATAGGTGTGTTATCAGCATGTTTTTGTTGCAAATCTAAAGCACAGCATGATGTGGGTGGTTCTGAAGAAAATTAGCTCCATCTCTGCCAGACATACTACAAATATACAAACACAATTCTGAAGCACTTATGCACTCAAACCAATGCCTTCTGCATCTTTCCAAATACTACATGCATTGCAGGAAGCATTGTCCCTACTTTTTTTTTTTTTTTTCTCTATTTATCCTACTCTGTGCAACCAGAAGAATAACCAATCCTCCATCTGATCAGCCAGGGCTCTTCCTGCGAGCAACCAGCTCTTTGGTCCAGTATCCAGCCAGTCCCTGAGATGCTTTTGCAGACAATTCATTTCTCCACTTGTCAGCCTCTTCTAGTAACAATTTCTACTTTCATACCTGGGGAGTCCATTCATTCCATTAACAGATTTTATGATGGTAAGGTGTGAGTTATGTAGCCTCTTGCTCCTATAATGAGCCACCACTCCAATTTCCATTTATGTTTCTAGACTAACAATTTTTCTAATGATTTTGGAACTGCTGGAAAGGGAATACTATTCTACTTTAAAAGGCACTGACCAGGTATTTGGGAATTTGTTCTACAAACTAGCTCTTTGTGTCTGCTTAGAAATAATATTTTCTGTGTCACTTTCTACTTCACAGAAGTGCTGGGAGATTATAATAATGTTTAAAAAATGTTAGTTTTACAAGTAAACCCATAATGTTAATCATCAGAGTAAATGAGATACGCAACACACATTAAAATATCCATAAAGTTTTTTTGCATTTCCCTTTTGCCAGTTCAAAAGTTTTTACTTATAAGTGGGGACCAGAGCCTAATATTTTGATTTTGTTCTTTTTTTTTTTTTTTAAATGCATGCTATCATTCTGAAATATTTATGTAATATTTGAATTATGAAGAATACCTATATCACTTTTCTGAAGGCTAAACAGAGCTCTCCAATAGGCAAAGTTAATTCACGCCCAACTCAGCAGCAGGGGTTAGTGTATGAGCTGCACACCTCAACAGAACGATGTTGAAAGCCAACCAAGCTATTTTGGAAGTTAAAACTCAGCATCAGCTCCTGTATGATACTCAAAAATATTTAAGAGAAATGTAGGGATATAGTGAGAAAATTATTTGCAAGTCTTCAAAGCCTATGTTTTTTTTTTGTTTTTGTTTGTTTGTTTTATAAAAACAATTAAGAATGATTATAAAGTATAACAATATTCATTCTTGGCATTTCTTTTTAATTGACTTAATTGATTTAAATGGCATTTCTTTTTAACTGACTGTTACGTGGATTGATTCCATTGATACTCTCCCTTTTTTTCAGGGACTGAAGTATTTGTTCAGATGGTGTAGCAATCACCTTCTGTAAATGAGTTTGCAGTGCTTCAGATGTAAAATATAAGCACCTACAAGGATTCAGAAATCTTTAAGGACACAGTGCAAAATCTTTATATCTACACTGGTGGATATAAATAATAGGCTTTGCGGAACCTAACTTTTTGTTGTACTATATGTTATGTCATTTTTCATCTGATAGTGTAATCTTATTAAGGCTATCAGTTTGAAATAGATTTTCCAGATGGGGAATACCTGGTATGCATGAAATACCCATGTGTGAGAAATGCTTCTCATGTGCAATGAGATTGGTATGGCTTGTGGCATATACTGTTCAGTAATGTGTGGTACATCATGGATACTACTGCTGTGTTTTTAACAGATCAGATATGTCAGTAAGGACTGAGACTCAACCTAGATTGTATTCTTGCTTTTGAATAAATTGAAAATTACAGCTAACACAAGCTGTGGTTAATAGTTACCAAAAGCATACAGAGAGAAATACTAAGAATCCAGTGGAGAGTAACTGTAACATAAGCTTATGTTTTATTGAGAAGATGAATTCCTAAAAGAATATTCACATTGCAGAGATGTTTTACTTCTTCAAGACAAAGACACTGCATACCTTGTAAATAAATGTATTTTTAAAAGCCTGATAAATTATATTTTTCAGAAACTTGCCTAACTTTTGTTTTCCTTTCTTCTCATTTCCATTTTCTATTTTTTTGTTTTGTTTTTTTTTTTTTTCCTTTGTATTTCCATTTCACAGATAATGTCTATTCTTAATGCAACTTCCAGTTGAGTACTCAGTAAACATAGGTAAAAATAGGAAATAATTATCCTATATTTGAGGTGGAACTGAAATGAACAAAGACAAAACATTCTGATGAAAGAAAAGTATCACAACCACTCTATTGAAATCCTGTCTGCACATGCTTTCTTGGATGTTTAAAGAAAAATGCAGGGATGCTTCTTCCTGAGCGGACTTTTAGGTCAAACCACAGACCCATATTTCTAATACTGTATTTTTTAGACTTTTAATTTTCCTTTGGCATTTGTGTACTGTCTGTCAGCCAAACAGCTTTGGATTCTCTAATTTCAGGATTTACCAATGGCTTCTTTCACAGATACAGGTATGAGAAGATTGAGCAGTTGCTTAGTGCAAGGGATTTCTAGGGGTAATGAAGTGTAGGGAGTCACTCCAGCACACTTTCTAAAGTTGTTACCTCAATTTTTCCATCTCCTTGACAGCATTAAGAGCAGCAACCCTGTTTTTTGACCATTGTTTCTCAAACTACTTATTTCAGTCTTTATACCCATTGGTAGAAGTAGTGAGAACTCTGACTTTTCATTGTTTTGCCAGCAAAACCATTTTTTGCTTTCACTTTTGAGAAGTCTTTACCTACTACTTGCCAATCAGTATGCTTTCACTTCAGCTGTCCAGATGTGTACTAGGACTTTCATGCTAGTATCTAGTATTTTTAAAATTTGACGAAAAATAAAAGAACAAGTGCAAGAGCTACTTCTGCATTTCTATGTTGTAGCTATTGTTATTCATTTGTGTGAAAACAGTAAAATATGTAATAGTAGATGATGATCTAAATACACAGGGACTAAAACAATGTATTTTTTACATCCATGGCTTCTTTTCTGAATACGTTACAATAAGCTCTTGTTTTGAATGGAATAAGAGTCAGACAAAGAAAAAAAATAATGGAAACAAGGCAGAGAAACTTAGGGGAAGGAACTACAATGTTTATTTATGGCTTACCCTGTTCCAAGACCTGTTAATGTTTTCTACCTAGGTTCTTCTGTACGAACCCAGCCAGATATGGCAGTATATGCTGACTTTATTCCATTACAGTTTGAAGCGGATGTGTTTTTGTTAGATCAAATGGTAAGATTCTGTACTCTCAGGAAAACAATGCATTATATATTGTATCATCTGAATGTTTATTTTTGTAACAACTACATTGTAAATAATAATAATAAATAATTATAGTGTAGGAAAACAATCACCAGGTAATTATTATCAGTTAAATTGGTTTTCATGCCTAGATTGTGGACATGCTTTATCCTACCATAACCACACTCAATTTTTAGTTTTACTTCACTTTCCTCTGGATTTCAAGTGCTGAAGTCTGAGTAACAAGGCATGGATGAGAAAATGAATCATGATGAGACATTTCTGAATGGAAAGAATAATTATTTTAAGGGTTACTTGAACAACGTGAATTTTAGTATTTTGTTTGTTTTTTTTTTTTTCTTTTTCAGGCTATAAATAATTATCTCATACATTTTCTGTTATGATGTTCTGTATGAAATAGCATGTTTATATTCATTTTTATCATTGGTGATGAAAGTGGTGGAAGCAGCTGGAGAAAGTTTAGCACTTCAAGAAGCTGAAGTAAAAGCAATTCTTAAATTTCCACTTAGCTACTCATAATCTGCAGAAAATTATTTTAAATACCAAAGTGGGCTTTCTTGAGATAATTATTAGCTAACTTTATTTTAGCTAATAATCTAATCTAATCACATTCTAATCACATTTTACATAAGTAGAACATTAAAATGTAATCTTCTTTCTCAGAAAACCAGCAAGCTTCACAGAAGGAAGACAAGAAATTTCAAAAAAAAAATAAAATAATAGTTTGCATGTCTTATGTTTTAATACTCGGAATTTCTGCTCCTTCTCCTCCTCCTTTTCCTCCTCCTTTCCCCCTCCTTCCCCTTCCCCTTTTCAGTGCAGCTCATTTTGTGTTATTTTGAAGATTAGGTTGTTCTCTGTGATTTTATTTTAATTCAAGGTCTCAGTCAATGCTGTCTCTTTGCTAGTAGTAAGTAATATTAGTCATCCAAAACCAAATTGAACACAGTGACACAGGGGCTACATCCTTCCTGCCACCTAAGGCCTTGAGTCTTGGACTTGGCCACAGTCTGTTAGAGATTACAGAAAAAGAGGCATGACAGATCACATAGGATGAGACAGGTGAATCTATATGTCTAAAAAAGTAAAGACCGACAGGAAAATGGAAGCTGACAGAAATTAAATATTGAAGTGTAGTGGATTTCTTGTGGGCCTTAGTTTGTTTATTTGTTTGTTTTGTTTTGTTTGTTTTTTTTTTAAAAAAAGAAAGAAGAAGAAGCCCATTTTCAAGCTTTCTTTGGGGGTCTGGTAGGCACTACATCAATGGAAGTAATTATAATTTGGAGAATGGAATAATTGTTTTGGATAAGGGTTGCTTCCGAAACTCAGTAGAAGGTTTGTCATTGATTTTAGTTGTGCCAGAATTATCCTCCAGATTTTTTTTCTGTTTCCATTTTGGCTGTGTTTTCAAGTGTGTATGTCCTTGGATTTATGTAGTAAATGTAATTGTCTTAAGTTTGTTCAAACAAGATGAAAAAAAAAATCAGTAGTTTCTGTTATGCAACTATGCTTCCTGCTCAGCAGCTGATGAATTCTCCTTTACAGCACCGAACTGGCCCTCTTCAATATCCATCCAATCTCAGATGGTTTAGCTTGCATTTTTAAGTTATTAGAATGTGTGTGTACCCTGTCACCGCTCCTGTAAAATATCTTTATAAATTCAGAGATCATCGGAGGACAATATATCGCTTATGTACCTTAAAGCATTTAATTTGATCCTCTCCCTTTAAATAACTCTGACAATCACAACCACAGTCTCTTCTGCACTGCTTGCAATTATGCCACCTTGGGACCATCTGATGATGAACAGGTACAATCAGAATCTGAGCTCATGAATGAGTTAAAGAAGTATGTTATAGGTGATTTATCTAGCAGTGAAAAGAAGGTGTATTTTTCAAAACAAAGTAAGGATGTACAAATCTTGAAACAGAACATTCAACAGAGAAAATATAACAGACTTTCATATGAGACCAGTATTGTTTTAATGGGAAGAGCACCACTCAATGTCCACAACTAAAATTGCTCTTAAGTCCTTTACTAAGGGCTTTGGTATATATGAATCAACTGTTGTGTCTTCAGTGTGTTGTCTAATTAGCCATAACGTAAAAAGCTTAACTTTAATTATGTTATTCAAAGTGATATTACATTATGAAGCTTAACTTTAATTATGTTGTTCAAAGTGATATTACATTATGAAGATATTACATTATATTCATCATCAGAAGGTATCTAAAACACCAGTTACTTTCAGAATTCTACTAATTTATAAATTCAGCACAAATTATTTTTCAATAAATAAAAAAAAGTACTTTTAAATATGTTTATTTGAAGCAAAATGTTGTCAGTGTTGTTTCCTTACTTGGACACTTTGGTTCACTTACGCTTTTTATGACACCCAAAGAATATGATTGTACAAATATATTCAAAGAAGTGATCAATTTTTTCTGAAATTTAAAATATAGGTAGACACTTCTAAGTATTCAATTTTGCTTTTTTATATTGATCCTATATAGAATGCTTTTGGATAATGTTGTCAGGTGAACTGTTCTTGCTTCTTTTGTTATCTAAGTCATTAGATGCTTCTGTGCACATACTGCTTTTGTTTGTTTGTTTTTTGATAGAGAGGGGCAATGAGAAAGGAGAGCTGTGCCCAGTGAGATTGTCTTTCCATGTTTCATAGGCTGGTTCTTCAGAGAATCTGAGGCAATATGGGCTTTCACAAATATATAGCCATCCTGTCCTGGTTACTAGAACGAGGTCCTGCCCTCTGGTAGCACCACCACAGTCACCACCAGTTCCTCGCTGGAAACGTTTCCGTCAGAAAAAGAAAAATGTTGTGATATCTGACTCTACAGGTTTGTCTACACAAACCTCTGAAATAAATTTGTAATTACATTTTAATCATTATAAATGTTCTCAAGCACATACTTATCATCTATTAGCATAATTTCAATAGAACTGTGTTATGTATTACTTTTTCTCTTTTCTCTCTCTCTCTTTTTCTTTTTTTTTTTTTTAATTTCTGTAATACTTTGCTTTAGCTCTATTACTCTATTATTTCTTAAATGCTTTGAGAAATGTCTTAATCTGTTGCTAAAAAGTTGTACTGTACTGGAGAAAATTCAGAGGGAGTATTATTAGAGTAGTGCAGAAGCTCTGAGGCAGAGCCATGAAAGCTTCTAAACACCTGTTGAATATTTAAAGTATGTGACTAGCCCTTCTGCAATTATTCACAGTTTTAACAGTAAACTTATTCTGGGCCTAGTCTAGACTGCATAATGAAATTAAGTATACAACGTGAGATAGCATGCCTGTAAAGCTTTCATATTCAAGCTAGCAAAATATGCCGACATAGGAAAAAGATCATCGAAGGCAAAATATTCTGCCACTGTTCTGAGCTATTTTGTTAACTTTACATATAGGTTAAACACACCTTTAATATCTTGGAAGCTGAGAGTCAGAGAGTTATGCATTTAATTTGCTCATGATACACCACCTAAAGCCACCCCAGTTGTTCTGTTTTATTCAAGTGCATGTCATGGTGTTCGGAGATTATTTCCTGAAGTCTTTGTATAATTATTTAGGGGTGAGTAATCCCCTGTGGAAATCATCTGTCAATTAAGTATTAAATATTTCTTATGAATATATATTTATTTTTTCCAGAGCCTGTGATAAAGAAACCTGAACAATATATCGAGATTGCTAGCCTATTTTTGAACTACAAATTGAACCCTATCACAATACCAAAAGACGTGTAAGTATGCAGTATAGTTTCAGCAGCAACATCCATTTTTTTAGTCTTTTTCACTGTAAAAACACAATGGCTTATTCTTATTTGGGTCACAGGAAAAAAAAAAATCAGTTCATGTAGTCTAAAGCACATCAGGATCAAAGCACTCTATTGATGTCACATAATAATTTGGCAATCAGTGAACGTTTAGGATCAATATCAGCATTACAATAGACAAACTACTTACAAAATGTTAATAAACTCAAAAAAAAAAAGAAAAAATCTGAAACCTTTCCCGCAACTGGTCCTAAAACTTCTAATAACGCACAGAGACATACACATACTGTTTTGATATTTCTTCTCTTGAGCCTGAGTCCAATTTGTATATTGTTTGGAACCTATCTATATGTAACATGTATTGTTTGGGTTGATAATAAGCCAGTAAGATATTTTTGGAAGAACAGCATTTGCACATGAAAAAAATGTCCTTGGATTATTTTGGAATACTCAGGGAAAATCGTTGTTTTGCTGATTTAGTTGCTTTTTCCTGATTAAAATATGGTAAATTACTTGTTTTCAAATTGTAGGAGTAGAAACACACAAAAATGCTTAAAGCAATATGCATAAATACATTATTGAAAGAATGAGAGAATAAGAATTAAGACGTTATTTTTAATTTATTTATTTTTGTGTTAACATACATTACATTACAAACATGTTTGTATGTTATTTTATATATTTATTTTCATATTCAATAGATTCCTTCATGGTCAAACTACCCTGTTTTGTCAAGAATGGTTTATGTAATATTCTAAGTTTCCATGAGAATTGGCTAATTTCATCTTCTGTGATTTAATTAACAGGTAGAAAAGAAGAATATATAGCAAGAATTAACATTTTGTTAAAGTAATATAGCTGCCTAAATAAGGTGAAGGACTTAGATAAACAACTGGGGCTGAAATTGTTTTTAATCTCTTGCTTTTATTCTAATAAAACTTTTGAAGATCTCAAGGGAAAGATAATTGTGACACGTTACTGCTAAAGATTTTGATGTTTCATTATATCAGTCCTTAAGAAAAGAGTTAGGTAACACATACTTACATTTTTCTCTTTTTTGTTGTTGTTGTTGCTGCCGTAACACAATTACTCACATCTAATTGTCATGTTTGCAGCATTGTTTTGATCTCATTCTGCTAGTTTACTTGACAAGGAAAGAATTGTTTATATTTCTATATTTCATTCTTCTGCCTTCACTGAAGTTAGAGGCAGAGCTTCCATCTACCACGGCAAGAGTTGGCCTTACAAAGGTTTACTTAGTTATCACATGTTTTATCTGTCTGGTACATTTGGAGACTGATTTCTGAGGAGAAAAAAAAAAAAAAAAAGAAAAACTATTCTGACACACACAAATATATATATGTGTGTGTGTGTGTGTATATATATATATATATATATTTTTTTTTTTTTTCCCTGTCTATGGGCCATAGAAATTTATTCATTTCTGGTATTACCATCTAGTTTTCCTTAGCTGGCTTGGGTTTTATATTTTAAGGTTAGTTAATTAGCCAAGCATAGATATATGTGTGGTCCCAAGCCACTAATGATAAGGAATATATGTGTATGTACTTTTTGTGCTGCTCTGTTGTCAAAATAAAGGAGGTGCAAATTATATTGACAGAATTCTGTTTAAATTCTGTTGAAAATAGTAGTTACAAAGACCAAGAGCAAATATATGTATTAAAGTGTCTGAGTTTTCTTTTATTATTTAGCTGCTTCCCACAGTCTACCATCAAAAAAGGATTTAATTTACTGACCCAGCTCTATACTGTCACTGAAAATGCTGGTAATGTAAATGACAGTAATGTGGATATGAATCAAAGTGAGAGACACTCAAATGCAGAAGATTATTCTCAGGTAAAAATTTTCTTTATATATATATATTTTTTTTAATTTGACCTAATTTTATATTGCAAAGGATAGTGAAAGATGAAATAGAAAATCCTTGATTCTTAAATATACATTTTATAACATATAGTTTTTTTTGTTTGTTTGTTTGTTTTTAGCTTAGTAAGCTATCTGCCACTTCCCACAATATTTAAGCAAATTCCCTGTTCATTCCACTTTATAGCTACATTGATGTATGGGAAACCTTTACTAATATTTTCCATTTTAAACTAATATTTATGCTTTTATTTTCTGTTGTTGTTTGATTTTTTCTTTCTTTAGATTATCAAAGTAATATTGCTAACACGATAAATTCACACAAATGAGGATTTCTCAGTGCTTTCTCAGGTTGCCTCCAAATTTCTTCAAACAGATTCACTAGGGATAGCACACTGAGCACAGTTTGCCAAGCTGGCCAAGGAAATGCCTCCACAAAAGGAAATGGTGATCACTAGAAATTACTAGGTACATGTTGCCACTGTAGTTTTCCATGATAAATAAGGTTAATCTTACCCCAGGTCAGTAAAATGTTACTAGGATGAATTCAGATCTAACCACTGTTTGTTGTTATTGTCATTTAAAAAAAAAAAAAAAGGGATCGTACCTTGTTCTTTATATAAACAACTAAAGTCTGTTTTTAGATATGGGTCTAAAACAACATTATTTGTAGTGTTTAAACCTTATGTTTTGAATGGAGAAAGGAGATTTACAAACAGAGACTTTCTGGAAACTATACTATTTCATGCAAAATATTATGTACAGGAAAATTATTTGCAGCATGGAGAAACAGAGACAGAAACATTCAAGTGATTGAACAAACAGAGTTCCACGGATGTCATTTTACTAGCACAACACCTACAAAAGAATCCAAAGTGTCAGTGCCATTATCTCTTCAATTTCATACTTAGTGCAGCAAACACCACTCATAAGAGCATCTGAGAGCATTTTTCTCTTTGACTTTCTGAAAACTGAGGGAGAAGCCAGCCTAAAAAATGCCTTTCTCAAAATCTGAATCCAACTTAATAAACAAATTATATCTGGGGGAAGATGGGGAAGAAGCATGCCCAACTTCTAAATGTTTGCTACAGTTCTCCCCTTCACATTCATTTTCTGTCACAAGTAAAGAATGAGTGCCTCTTCTATAGTTTTTTTCACTTGTTTCTTTTGTTTGTTTTTTTTTTTTTTTTTTTTTTTTTACTTTCAATATGATTACAGTATAGAAAATAATTTAAGAGACTCTATAAAATATATTTATCCATAGTGCTGCATAAAGGAAAAACAGCATCAAAGCGCTGATCTTTACAATCTTGCAGTAAAGATGATCCAATTTCAAAATTTCTGCAGTACCTTTCTGGGACAAACTGATAAATACATATGGGGATAATATTTGTGGTATTTCGTTGACGTAGGGTTTGTTACAAAATGTGTTTGAAGACCACAGAACTTCTGTTGAGGATAGTGTTAAGTATCTTCATGGACAAGGGAAGTAATAATTTATTTTGTAAATTTTCAAGTAAAGGGATTTTTTTTTCTGTGTACTTTTTGGATTACCTATATACATGTTTACTCTTCAGAGTACAGTATAATGCCATTTTTATATTTCAGATCTGAAACTCAGTGTTTTAAACTGCTGTATATCTATATTGTGTCTAGAAACTGTATCTGTGTGTGGATATATTTATTTGGTATTTATTATTTAAAAATAAGACAATGTTGCAGTGAAAGAGAAATCTTTGCAGTAGAATATATTTTTGTCTATTTTGCATTTTGTGTGTGTTTTAGAAACAAATAATAGCTTAATTAGTACTTCATAGCCTTTTAGAAGTCTTTTTAATAATTGCAGCTTACAAAAATCATTACAAAAGCAGCAGGGTAAAAAGGTGCTGTAAGTAGTATAATAATTATTGGTTGGATTACTTTTGTCTCTATGGCAGTACAAATACAGATTTAGATAATTGCAAAGTAATAGACATTTATGTACTAGGAACACAGAAGTAGGATGTCACAGAAGTTGGAATGTCACTGACTTTCTCCTCTAGTTCAGGAGTTAAGAGCCATTCTGAGTGTGGAAAGCTGGTATGTCACAGTAGGGCATTCAAACAAGGAGAGTCAAGGGCAACTAAGAAAATACATGAGAGACATTGGTAAAAAATAATAATAATAATAAAAAAATAAAAAATAGAATGGTTTGAAGAAGAAAAGAGTGTGACAGTCTAAGGGCAATCTGATTCAGACATGAAACGTAAGAAGTCATAAGCAGCTAATTAGCTTATATTTGAACCTTACCTTTGCCTCAGTTTAAATCTCAGCTGAAAAATACTGTGCCTATTAATAGCTGTGGTACATAGGTAGCACTGCATTTGAACTGACTGCAAAAGAAAATAAAGTTTTTAACTTACAGAGCAATCTTCTTTATTTCACCTATTAAACATTGTAATCAAGAAATTATATGAATACCTTTGGGAAATTCATTATGGAAGAGCTTTCTTTCCATATTCTTAAAACTTGAAACAACAATATACATCTAAATCATTTCTTGTTTGTCTGATTTAAAATCAATTAGTGTTTAAAAAAGCAAAAACTGAAAGAGAAACTTTAATATCCTCTACTCACTATGTAATTGCTAATTTGTAGAACTTCGTATTGTTATATTAATCATGAATAACTTTGTTTCTATTTTAAGCTGTGTGCTTGATATTCAGGAGAGACCTGCTTTAATAGAGATGTAGATCTGGTAAAACTTTTGGGATGGAGCAGTTTTATGCTTTAATGGAAATCTGATATGTCAGCTACTGAGCCAGATCCTCAGCAAGTTTAAATTGGCATATTTAAATCAATGTCAATGAAGAGGTGCTGGACTGTCCAAAGAAGGACAATGAAGCTGGTGAAGGGTCTAGAAAACAATTATTTTGAGGAGTGGCTGCGGTAACTGGGGTTGTTTAGCCTAGAAGAAAAGAGGCTCAGGAGAGACCTTATCATGCTGCAGGGTTACCTTAAAGGAGCCTATAGCGAGGTGGGAATCTTTCTCATCTCCCAAGCACCAAGTGATAAGATAAGGAAATAGCCTCAACTTGTGCCAGGGGAGGTTTCCAATAGGAGAAATTCTTTACTAAAAGAGTTGTGCTGCATTGGAACAGGCTGCCCAGGGAAGTGGTTGAGTAACCAACCCTGGTTGCTCAAGAAATGTGTAGATTTAAAACTTAGTAGCATGGTTTAGTAATGGACTGTAGTACTAGGTTAAAGGTTGGACTAGATAATCTTACAAGTCTTTTCCAACGTGAATGATTCTGTGATTCTACAAGCATATGGAGCTACATCACTGATTCCTTGTTCCTAGGGTCTGTTGTCACAGAAACAGAGAATAGGGAAAATTGAAAGATAAAATTTTAGGAGCTAGACATGCCTTCTTTGAAGAATATTAATTTGAAAGATGTGGCATTATTTCTCATGTCTCAAAGTTACTTATGCCAAATAAAAGAAATGTTCAATTATATTTTTTTTCAAACACCTTTTTTGTTTTCCTGATTTTCCCATCCCCTCTGATTTTTTAGTTCTTAAGGCTTTGTGGATGTTTGCTAGGAAAAAATCCTTTAAAATATCTGGGTTTTGTATTTAAATTGATTTTGAATCACACTGCTATTCAGAAAATGTGTTTTGTAAATATTTCTTTAAAAATTCCATAAAATAGGGCCCAGTTAAGGGGCTTGTTTTTTGTTCTTATTCAACAAGAACATACTTATGTTCTTGTTTTTGTATTTATGTATGCAAGATGCATTGCAATGCATTTGGAAGTATGTTTTTGGTTTGTTCTATTTAGTTGCAAAAATTTATTTGTGAAATAAATACCTGCCAGTTCTAGAAAGTTTTCAGAATTTTAGGTTTTTTTCTTTCATTTTCATTCATTTTATCTACCTTTGGGGATAAAACAAAACAGAACAAAAAACGGCCCTCATACATAATTTGCATAGTATGTATTGCAGTTGTCTGCAACAGTAATTTTGGCAAGCTTTTTTGAGAAAAAGGTTATCCTAGAACAGTGTTTTCTTGCAGCTCTCTCATTCAGAATCCTACTTAAATATTGTTTATTGAGATGAATTATTTAATACAAGTTATCTGCAAATTCATTAGAAATAAATATTTTTACCTTCTTTTCAAGGAAATGTTGAATGCTAACAAAGCAATAAAAGCCTAGTCCAAATACATTTCACATCAGAATTTGCAATGGCTATTAAATAATTTAATGGACCTACTTGACTGCTATACCCAGAAATCCTAAGAAGAATACTCTGACTTTTTTTTCATGGCTTCCTCCATATAAAGTTCTCTGGCAATGTTACTTACTAGAACAGAACTATTAAAATTGCCACTCTTTTCCAGTAATTTAATCACAGTACACTTGTTCTTTGATGCTTATACTTTATTTTTCAGTGTCATCCCTATGTATACAAGCTCCAACTTATCTTTTGCTTCACAACTGATGTCAGTCTAGTTAGTTAGCTTGTTCAGTTTGTGCTTTTTTCACGTTACCTGTAAATTTCCCAGACTCATGTCATAACAAGCTTTTTCATCTCCTCATCATGATCCTTCTTAGCACATAGTTCTTTAAGGTCTATTAAGCTCAGCGAATTGGTGTTGAGTTACAGGATGGCTAGACAGAAAAAGAAAAAAAAAAATCAAATTTCTTTAAGAATGTTTGGAAAGTAATTTCAGTCTGCACAAAGTGAAAACTCACGACTTATTTTTTAAGGAAAAATAAAATATACATGGGATGTTATACATCTGAATTAGAAAAGGGACTTGAACACTCAGTTTGGACATCTGTGGTATAGCAAATCTTCCTGACATGCCCATAAATATCTATTTGCTTATAAAGATTGGGACAGTTCCAATATCAGAGGCTGAAGAAAATAATACTGGATATTAGTAATTCAGTATGTTTAAGCCATTTCTGTACCTCAGTCTGTGCACATCTATCAACTTTGCAGTTGTTCTTACATTTGTACCACTGCCTTCTTTTGAAAGTCATCTCTGTTACCTTCCACAACACAGCTAAAAATAAACTAACACATTTTAAGAAAACAGTAACTCGGGAACAGGCAAAAAACAATGTGTCCAAGTGACTATTTTTAAACCGCTTTAGTGATATAGCTCTCAGGCCAACATCAAACCTAAAAATGTAACACAGGGCAAGATACTAAGAAACGTATATATATTTTTTTTCCTTAAAAATGATGTTTTTGAAGCTTTATTGTTTCATCTGCAATTATATCCAAGTAACTTATTTTTGGAAGAAGATTGTTTCCAGAAAAAATGGTGTGAAAGGTTTTTTTAAATGTCTTTTCTACAGTAGAAAAAAGATAGTTGTTTTATAAAAATATCAGATAGCTTTTATAATATTTTTTGTTTTATGCATTTGAGTAAAATAACAACATAGCTAATGTTAGGAGGTTAAACTATACAAATTAATCTTTGAAATGAATAAGACAGATATAAATCTATGAATTACAATTATTTTTACAACTATGTGTGAACAATTATAAAACCTAAAAGACGACTAATTAGATTTTTAAGTTAACTGGCAAATTTGCCTCACATTTTGCATTTAGATTTCCTATTGATATGAACAGTAAGTAACTAAACTCTTCCTGAATCTCTGTGCATCATTTCATATTTCACAGCAGGATCCAAGTCTGTCTTTAAATTCCTTCTTTATCAGATACTATGGCAGAGCAGATTTGGCCCTTCAGATAATGTGTGCTCATTAAAAGAGAAAAATGACTTTAGTTTCTCTTTCTATGCCAGTATTTTAGATGCTATAGCTGAGGCACGAGAACTTCCTTAACAATCCTAGTCATCTCAGTACCACTGAGATTTAGGTAGACGGACACATCCCATACCATTAAAGAAGCAGGCACCTTATGACTACACTGTGTCTGTACTACAGAAAAGGAAGTTGACCCTGCGACTCCTACTACAGAAAACTTGGCAATTCTGGGACCATGCAGGTTGAAGACTACCGTGCAGAATAAAAGACAGCTGTATGCACGGGTACTTCTGCAGTCACAGTCTAAAGAGGATATGTAGTCCATGCATAATTAGAGATTTTTAGACCCAAATGTCACAGTGCATTCACAACTCAACAGGTGATCACAGCTTGTCTTCTGTTTTGTACAGTTGTACATACAGAAATTTGGAAAGAGGAGCTAAAGTACACAGGCCCTTAGATGCAAAATCCTATTGTCTCCTCTTCAGTTCATTTGCTAGAAAAAAAAAAAAAAAGCTAGAAATGCATCTAAAAAGGACATGTAAGATGTAATGTTTCAATTACCAAATTGTTCAACAGTTAAAAATTTCAACAATCTATGTATTTTAGTCTTAATTGCTGTTTATGTTAGATCTCTTTTGAGCTTTTACTCATGAACATTCTTTAAAAATATATATCAGATTTAAAGTAAAGATTTAAATTTTAGATTTTGTACTGTGCAATAATAAGCCTTTCAAATTCTCTTAATAAAGAAAATACTGCAGTTACATTGTACATGGTATTATTATTTTGTACTATTTTGGGACAGAGACTCTTAAATCTGTAGTTTATTCACTCAGCTCATTCCTTTAATTAGTTCAGAGAAAATAAAGCACCTAGAACTTTGACAGTGGTGAGATTTCAGAGCTTATTCTGGGACTGTGGAGGTGCTGTAAAATGCTGCAGGAAGAATTTTATTGCAGCTAGGAATTAAAGTTGAAAGCCCTGTCTTTCCTCGAAGGATGCATTCACAGGTTCCTGCATATTGTGTGGGCAAGGAAAGTCTGTAATAAGAGTCAAGGCAGATCTGAAGTTACTGCACAATGACAATGTGCAAAGTTTAGGTATAATTGTGACCTAGGTGGAAAGAAAAGAAACTTGCAAAGTTGTTTGCAGGCTTCAATATTTACAAAGGTAATACTAGTACAGTTAAACCATTAATAGTGTAATGGAATATGGAGTTTCCAAAAGGCTGGCTAACTGGATTTTAAGTTTAGTGCACATAGATATTGTATTCATGTTAATCCAGCTTCTTGAGCTTGAAAATGGGATTTTCAAGAGAAAGAAGAAAAGAAAAAGAAAAACGGCAGGTAACTTTGTATTGTACAGCTGATACAAAACTGAAGATGCGATAACAATCATGCATGCTGTCTCCATTGCCACTTGTGTACACTTGCACAGTAAGAAACATTTGTTAGAAAAAGGAGCTCTCTATATACTCTCCAAGAATAGAAAATTAGAATAGGATAGAATCAGGTCTAGAATAGAACTAATTAGTTCTTAGAATAGAACTTATAGTCAAAGAAAAGTGGTAACAGAGAACATTTTTAATAGTATAGGAGTAGGCACACAGAACATCTTTTATCCGAGACTCACATGCACTTCTCTAGATAAACATCACTTCTCTGTCTCCCTCTCACCTTCCCTCTCCCTTTCTTCTCCTCAGAGATAACTTACTAGCTTGTTTATTACAGCTCAGGAAGGACTGCCCAAAAAGCAAATATTTTCTTTAAAAATATTTAAATATTTTTTTTTCTTTCATGCAGGATCAGCATAATGCAGAGACCCCCACTGAAAGTAAGTATGTTTGAAATTTATATTCAGACTTTGCCAGTCTCATATCATTTGGCTTTGGTGCTAACCCTCATTAAGAATATGAACAGTCATGTTGTTATGGGTGTTGGTTTTACGGAGAAAGACTTCAAAGAATGGGTGTAATTGCATAGAGTGAAATCTTCAGATTGGTATTTTAAAAAATCCCTGACTTACAAGAATTTTTTGAAAAACATACACTTTACACACTGCAAAGTTATTCTGCAGTAAAATATACTGGATTTTGTACAGAGCTGTTCTGATCACTATTTTTTACTTCTACTTAATTGTACTTTTTTTCCCCCCTGAAATAAAAGAAAAGGAAAATAAAAAAGGACAACTTCAATTTTAATAAATGCTATGGTTTTAGGTTAGTGTTTGAAGAGTGTGCAGATGGAAAATACTGAGTTATTTTTCAATATAAGTTGTTTTTTTTTTTGTTTTTTTTTTAAGTGAATATTTTAGCAGTGTTGGCGGGAGAAGTTATGTTCCTTCTTTGTCAGTGAAGTGACCAAATAAGCTTTATGTACAACAAACCTCTCCAACACTTTCTGATAGGGTTCTTCCTTCTACCAGAGTCCTGAAAGTGAATCCCAGAGCAGAAGAACATGTGAAATGTGAATAACCTTCATGCTTTACTTACACTAGGATTCACACATGTGATATTAATACTTGTTTTGTTTTCACCTATTTAGTCCCTATAGAAGTCTGTCCAATTCACCTTTGCTTTTTAAGCATTTCTGAATGTTGATTCTCATGGGGGGAAAAGACACAGAACATAGTGTTTTAAAGATGTTTGATTTTGTTCTCTGTAAAATAATGTGATCCCTTCTTCCAGTAATTGAGAAATGTGATAACTAACCTCTCAGTTATTAAAGCATGTACACAGTTTCTTAGCTTCTAGAGTAATTAACCACAGTAATTTCACGCAACATGAATGTTCATGTATTTTTAAACTTTACTCATTTCTTGGAAAATTGTGCAACCGATCAACCAGCTCTAGTAACTCCAAAATAGGATACAAGATAAGCTCATAAAGAAAGACAACCACACAAAAAAACACTGGGCCATGCTTAAAGTATAATGAAGACTGAAAATACATTTATGATTTTTAAATATCTTGAAGCAAATGTGAGTCATTCCTGCAAAACCTATCTTAATAAATACTAATAAATATCTTTTACAAATAAATAGCTTTTAATCACTATGTTCTGTACAGGTAAAAGACAATTTTTACATTAAAACATTACATTTTACATAAGAACTGTTAATGATTTCAAGTGCTGTAGTGCTTGAATATCTTTTCTTTTGACTTTTTATAGGATTTTTATTAATATCTCTCCAGTAAATAGAACCAAAATCTCACTGTATAAAATTCTATAAGTTAATGAGATGGAAATAAAATTCTTCAGCTATTGTCTCACAGTTTTGTACCTCTTTTAGTTCTATTCCAAAATTCAGTAGAAATGTAGTAGTTTGCAGTAGATGTCTCCTTAAAGCCTGACATGAATATGTTGGGATGTTGGAGTATTTCTGTAGCTGTCACTATTAATTGCTTCTGAAGCTAGTGCATCTCAGTAGCCAGATAGCTGTCTTTTCTGCTTATTCAAAATCTACTCAGGAATGGTAGAAATTGGTGCTAGAGTAATAACATGATAAAGTTTTTAACAGTTATCATTCAAAATTTGTAAAAATCAGACTGTTGGTTGTTAAAGTGGATAAAATCCTAAAAAGTGAGGTATCTTCATCAACACTCAGCAACATATCCTGAATGGATGAGATACTTCTTAAATGTTTCAAAAGTAAGAAATTGAAACTGAAAGAACAAGAAAATGCAGGGTTATCTAAAAAAAAAAATATATTTTTAATTCCATTGGGGAAAAAAATCCCTCAGTCTTTTTTACAATCTTTGCATGCTGCATTCTGAAAAACACTTCTTGTAGCCAAAATAGCCAGAAGAGAGAAATCTGATGACTTATTCTTTGGCTTAGGTAATCTGGACATGACTCCCATTGTTGCTCTTCTTTTGTATAAATCAATCAACTTTGCGTCTATCATCTAGTGGAAGATCTTTTTGCTTTATTGTGAATTTTTATCAGCAAACATCATGAGAAGAGTTGAGAAATCTCTATGATACCTATACTGGTATGTTGTGTATGTCCACAAAATATCACGTGATAGTCTTGTGTTTTGTTTTATAACAAGCTTTCTCATGCTACAGAGAGTTGTGGGCAGCTTTCTCCATGAGGTTCGTATTCTCATAGCATAACAGAGGAAAATGCGGAAGTGGACATGTTTACATCCTCTGACCTATAATACTAATAATTCACATTACTACTGTAACAAAATCCTCTGTGCTGATGTTAGGGTTTTCCTCACAATCTCCACTTGTGTGTTGTCATTTCTCTATGTAAAATCCATTTATTACGTCTTTATATAGTTAATAATCATTACTGGATTCAAAGACTGGAGCTCTATGCTCATATTAGGTGGTATGATTGTTTTTCTTTAAATAATACACTTTCTTTTAATGTCTTAATTAATTATTTACAAACCCCGTTTCAAAAAAATCATTTTAAAATAAAAAACTATTGGGACAGAAGGCTTACTAATAAATCTTGGTTTAATGCTTTGCACTGTGTCATGCACTGTATGTTGTGAGGGTTATTTCCTATTATTCCAAAATGATTCACTGAGACTTTCAATTCCACATAATGTCTGAGAACATGAATCATGAACCAAGACTGAGGGAAACTGAGAAATCTTATTTAAAATGTTTTATTTATCACTATAGGATTTTTAATGCACGTTTTATCATTCTTAAAATCTTTTCAAAGTGTGCAAAGTATGTGAATGAGGATCCAATAACTTCAGAGCTTGGTTACAGGTCATCAGACAGCTGAATACATGGACAGTCTGATGTCAGGAAAGTTCCTTCTCTTCACTTACAGCAGATTTGACAAGCATTCCTATTGAGGGCAGTGCTATTTTACAAGCAAATTTAAACATATAAATGAATGCTTTTCCTGCTCTTCACTACCTTTTCTTTTTTTTTTTTTTTAGGAAACTTTGTCCTCTCACATTTGTTGTAAATATGGTGCATCACTGTCTTTCTCTCGAATGTCCTGAGTAGAAAATCATAGCTTTACAAATCTGCCAGAACAACAACAAAAAATGTCCTAAAACATATAATTACACTTAATTGTACTCTGTATTAAAATGAATGTTCACATATTTACACTTGCTCTGTCTGCTCTGCTTTTACCATAAAGCAGCTATATACAAGATAAAGTGCTTTTCTATGATTCCTAATTGCTGTTGGTGCAGATAGTGAATCTGATGTAACTCATTCATGTTATCACATTATTCTCATGATTATATGTTATCTCACAGAAATCTTGCTGTTCCAGTATATTTATCCAGAAACATGATGACACTAAAATACAGTCTGGAAATGATAAGATCAGAAAGTGAAATTTCAAATAAACATGCTGGAATTATTCAGTGTGACGTTATTGTTATACCTATGAGATATATCGAAGTAGTACGCTTCAGATGTAGAATATTTTCTAGATATTTTCTCTGATTGTGTGGAGAATCTTTAAATTTTCCAAAAAAGAGGCTAGAATTGGATGTTCTATTGAAGTTGGTAGCTGGAGTTACTTTCAGCTTTGCAGTATTATATAATGCTTTTTTCATAATGAAAATGTAATTTGGTTTAAGGCAGCTCAGATTTAATATTTCAGTTTCTTTGCACACATGAAGGGGAATAATGCACCTTGTCCCAGCAGAGTTTTTCATTAATGGTCTGGTCCTTTCAAACCTGGCCTTCTGTGATTTTGTGAGAATCTATGACAAAGCAAATAAATAAATAATAATAATTTAAAAAATGTAGTTGAATGAATATCAGTATTTCCTCATATTTTTTTATGGTTGAAATGCATTTGCAATTTATGTTCTTCATTGCTTTCTGTGTTTTGTTGTAGACCTCTCTATATTGTTACTTTGAGCATGTTTAAGTAGGGTTCTCTCTCATTTACAATCATCAGCAAAATATCTTATTGTGCAAAATAATAGCTAAAATGGTGTAATAGATACACATATTCTGTTCATGATGGTAGAGTAACATTTTTGGATAATTTTTTTTTCAGACCTCCGTACTACTCTCTCTATACATATCTACATATGTCTAGGTCACTATCAAACACATAGCATTAATAATTTAAAATACACATGGTAATTTAGAGTATTTACAAGGTAACAAGTGCAATGACTTTTTGACACATTTTGTGTCTGTACAATATAAAATACTTTCAGAGGATTACTTACCATATAATTTTCCCCATATAGGAATGCAAGGAGCAGAGATGAACATAATTCTTCAGCTATCAGCACAGCATTGTAGGAAATTCATTCTTTTGCTGTCATATTTAGTTAACTCAAATAGTTCTTTTCATTACCCTTTGTACAACAAATTGATGTTTCCCCCTCATAGTTAACTTTGTGCTGCTGAATAGCATTGTTTTAGAATAGAAATTGCTCAGTACTTATAATCCAATTGTATTGCAGACTGTCCACCACCGAAAGGGGCTGACTCTCCTCCTTTTCCCAATCTTTGACTCTATATCCTTTCCTTGCATCAGAACTGGTGATCACATGGGTCTTTGAGGACTCTGAAATTTCTGCTCTAAATGGGAAACTTCCATTTTTGTACATCTATTCCCATAAACCAGTTTGTCTACAGCTTTTTACAAAAAAAAAAAAAAAAAAATAAGCAGAGAAATATTTTTAAATTTTGAAAAATTTTGAACAGTTTTTTTACAGGGTAGTATTATCATGTATTTGGCTAGCAGTCCCTTGAATTCATAATTTGTGTGTTCTCCTAAAGAGCTAGTTCATGACTACAAATAACCAGATAAAAAGTGTCCTGATACTGAATGTGTCAGCACCCAAAATGTAGTCAGTTTGATGAGGGAGCTTGACTTACATTTAAGCATCTCAGTAAAAAGCCAGAGCTTGAAAAATAATGAGCACTTATCAAAACCGATGACAGCTTTTGATGTTAACTGTCTTAGAAATGTCTTCTCAATTTCTTAAGAACTTTACTCTTTCTAATAATTCTGAGATTGTCATGCAGTACGATTTTTTCTTACCATAAAAATAGGGATTTGTGTAATAAACTCTGCTAATCTGTGTTTGTATTCTACTCTTTCTTTTTTCCCTTTTTAGATTTATTGTTTGAGTTTTTATGTTGGTTTGCTCTTAGTTGTTCATCTGCTTTTATTTGTTGTAATTTGTTGTTGTTGCAGTGGATGTTTTAGTATTACGTCTATAATTGAGTGTTTTAACTGATTAATCAAGTTACTTTTTTTCCTCTTGGTCTTGACTGCAGCATTAATCTTTGTAGTTTGAGTTCTAGGCAGTATCAAGTTCTTGAATTTCAATGTGCTCTGCCTTTTTCTAAAGATCTTTGCCAGGTTTAACTTTATAATATGCTTACATTACATCCCTGTGTATTTGATTAGTATTTGCATTTGTTCAAGGAATAAATTAGAAGATAATTACGGGCAATTATTTTCTGAAATTATCTTCCATATGTCAGTCTTAAAATAATAATTTATACTGAGCAGCTCTTAAGATTTGCTTCAAATTTATTTATAGTTTTATTTCATAAATTATATCTTCACTGTAACACCCGGTGTTAGCAGTTTCTCATAGCTGGAAGTGTCACTTCTTGCATACAATGTATGTAAGCAGCTTGTTTTATTTTTTTCTTATATTTCTGTATGGAGCCAGGAAGCTCTGAACAGAATATTCTTTGGAATACAGGGATAAAAAAGGGTGAAATATGACATTTTTATGTCATACGATATTTTTCTAGTGGGGAAAATTCAGCCATTTTATTGACACTGCTTTTGCTTTCCTTTAGTTGTACTGGGAGGGCTAAGGTTTCTGCTGGCCCCAGTCTGCATGCATAATCAACAGAAAGGTTTATGTATGGACTTTTAAATAAGGTGGAACATTATCTTCTGTTCGAAGCCATCAGAGATCTATTGACCCAATAGATTCTAAACACAGTCTATTGATAGTATTCTAGCACTGGTGTTCAAAATGAAGAGAAACATCGAGCTGTAGGAAGATGGCAATGGCATAAGGCCATTGGCAATGGCATATGGCATGATGGTAATGGTAGATGGCAATGGCATAAGGCATAGTTCATCTCTGGTGACCCTTTTTGTGACAGGCAGATTTGTAAGCCACTGTGGTTATTTCTCTAGAGGCCTGAAAGCTGTATTAACTTATATCTAAGAAAAAGCCTAGGTTTCACAGCTTTCAAGAAGTTTTTCCATACTGTAAGGGAGAGAAAAAGGTCTTTGGCACTTTTCAAAGAATCATAGAATCATCTAGGTTGGAAAAGGCCTCTAATATCATCAAGTCCAACCATCAAGCTGACCTACTAAGTCCCATCACTAAACTATGTCCCTTAGTGTCATGTTCCCACATCTCTTAAATACCTTCAGGAATGGGGACTCCACTGCTTCCATGCCTGTTCTAATGCTTCACCACCCTCTCTGGGAAGAAACTCTTCCTAATATCCAATCTGAATCCCCCCTGGCACAACTTGAGGCTGTTTCCTTGTACCCTATCACTTGTCACCTGAGAAAAGAGACTGACACCCTCCTAAATGCATCCTCCTTTCAGACAGTCAAAGAGAACAATGAAGTCTGCCCTCAACGTCCACTTCTCAAGACTAAATCTCAAGCCCCTCGGTCACTCCTCAGAAATCTTATCTTCTGACATCTCCTTACATTACACTACTTCTCATTCTTGAAAAATAGTTGCAAAAATAATTTAGAACCATTTATATCCGGTAAACTCATTATTCAGCAGATCGCTATATGTTTCACTGATCATGAAATATTACAAAGCATATTTAAATATAAATTATGCATTTTTCTAATCAGCTTTCTGATTTGTAAAAACCTGTTTGGATATTACCTCATGTTTTTCCTTAGGAAACATTCTGATTTAATAGCTGTTAATGTTTGAACTCTTCTATTCTATTAATCTCTGCTATTCTGAGCTCTCCTCAATACTTCTTTTTGGAGAAGACTAAACATGTCCTACAACAATTCAGATGAATCTCACAGAGTAAAGGCAGAGAAAGGTGATCTTTCAATGCAAATTAAAATGTTATTAAATAATTACAAAATGTTTCTACATGACAATTCTGTGTTGATATTTTGGTATACATATGACAATAGTTCAGATTTTTCTACAAGAACACAAAGGTAATATTGTTCAAATTAACTTCTGTTAACAAGTAGACTTGTGTGTGTAGTATCAAAGGAGTACTACCTAAGTACCAGCAGCAAAACTAGGTCTTTATGTTCTCACTCTCATATATTTTTTGTCTTCTGGGGGTTATAAAAAAATATGTCATACTGCCACACCAGCTTTGCAATGAACAGAAGCTTTGGACAAATTGTTATATATTTCTTACATGCTCATTTCAGATGCAGGCAACAAGAACCTATACAGAATTGTTTCAGTCATCTTTTGAACTTTGTATTTTATTTTATTTTATTTTATTTTATTTTATTTTATTTTATTTTATTTTATTTTATTTTATTTTATTTTATTTTATTTTAACTCTTAAGATGTATGGAAAATACCCTAATAATTTCAGGATAATTTTTCAAAATAAATATAATTTTACTTTGATGTATATATTATCAGTGTATTGAGTCTGTGTGTCTTCTTATCTCTGCAGAAGAATTGCATGAAAATATTAGCTCTGATGCAAAACAAATGTCAGAAACAGCTGATACTGATATGAACAGCCAGACAGAAGATAAATCAAAGGAAGAAATCAAGTCAGAAATTACTTCTGTTTCCAAGGAAACCTGGATTAGCTTTGAAGACTTCTGTGTTTGTTTCCAGTAAGAAGCAGAGGTTTTGTGTTGTATTCCTTAAAATGTATGGTATAATAATGATAGAATGTGAAATGTGACCATATAAAACCTATTTATTCTCAACAGATCTTTTTTGTGTAACTATCCTTCCTTTTTAGGGTAGTCCCAAGGCTTCAGACCAGACTTATTGTCTCTATTGGCAGTGAATCTGTAGGTGCAACCCCAGGCTGTCTTGGGTGTGCCCTCCAGAATACTGCAGAGAACACAGCCATCAGCTTCATGAAGTGTATTACACACTGTATGTAATGTGGGTAGAACATGGTAGGTCATGGAGCACAAAGCAATTCGGATGCTCTAATCTGACACATCAGCTACTGGTTGGCCTCAGTCTGTGAACGTTACAATTCTAAAGCAATGGAAGTTGTTGAAATCTTCCATATTTGAAAGGGAAAAAATTCTAAATGTCACATTTTTACTCACACTTAGCACTTGGCATTATGCATGTGTAACATATAAAGCATAGACAAGACAGATCAAGACAAGTGCAACATTGATGTTGCACATCAGCCCTTAGGTAAGATTTTTTTTTTCCCTCACTACTTCAGAACTTACTCCAGAAAAGAAACTTTGTATTCTCCCACCAATTTTAAAATTTCTTCTTTTAAAAATTGTGTAGTTTACTTAGTATTTATATATATTTCAGACCTGATCTGTATATTAAAAATAAACACCCTTTTCTGATGTCCTTTAAAATCATTCTGCTATTTGTAATTGTCATGTTGATTGCATGCTGTTCTTGCTGTCATTTTTCATTTCTACCTTCTCCTGGTACCCACCTTCCCTTCTGGGGTATCCCTTTAACTTCTGTTCTCTGTATTTAAGGAGCCTGGAAAAATACAGCTCCTTTGGACAACCTCACATTGCTGACGGGAGTAATTTTCTCAGAGAAAACTCTCACTTCTTTTTTTTATTTTTTTCATTTTAGTTTGTAATTGGGATTTTTTTGTGTGAAGTTTTTATTTTCATAAATTAGTGTTTTTCTTGAGCAGATAAGACATGCAGGGGGAGTATACAAGGGAGAAGGTATAACTTTTATACCAGCAGCACTGCAGGAACTAGCTTGTTAAGGCTTGTCTGACTCATTTTAGGGACCCCAGGCTCAGAGAGATACAGCTTTCGGGGGGGGGGGGGGGGGGGGAAGCAAAGACTTTTCCTTTTAATTCGAAGTCCTTCCAACAGTGTGACATAGAGTGTAAAATATGGATTCTTAAACTTGTCCCCCTGTACTCGGCTCTGGTGAGGCCGCACCTCGAGTACTGTGTTCAGTTTTGGGCCCCTCGCTACAAGAAGGACATCGAGGTGCTTGAGCGGGTCCAAAGAAGGGCGACGAAGCTGGTGAGGGGCCTGGAGAGCAAGTCCTATGAGGAGCGGCTGAAGGAGCTGGGCTTGTTCAGCCTAGAGAAGAGGAGGCTCAGGGGTGACCTTATTGCTCTGTATAAGTACATTAAAGGAGGCTGTAGCGAGGTGGGGGTTGGCCTGTTCTCCCATGTGCCTGGTGACAGGACGAGGGGGAATGGGCTAAAGTTACGCCAGGGGAGTTTTAGGTTAGATGTTAGGAAGAATTTCTTTACTGAAAGGGTTGTTAGGCACTGGAACGGGCTGCCCAGGGAGGTGGTGGAGTCACCATCCCTGGAAGTCTTCAAAAGACGTTTAGATGTAGAACTTAGGGATATGGTTTAGTGGGTACTGTTAGTGTTAGGTTAGAGGTTGGACTCGATGATCTTGAGGTCTCTTCCAACCTAGAGATTCTGTGATTCTGTGAAATGTTAAAATACGGTTGACATTTTGTAGACTACAGCAATATTAAGAAATACCAAGCATTTGTCAGTTTCTTACATTCCTGTTCTAAGTGCATATGAGTTAACTTATTTTTACAGTGAACTGGTAAAGCGTTTGTTACTAAAAGCATCTCTATTCACTTTTGAAGAATTTATCACTCGAAGAATTTAGGTGCATAACATTTTAATTTTTACCAGTCAGTTCTGTTGAAAGCATTTCCTTATCTGACTAGTCTATATTTCCCACACCATCAAAACAAGATGAATTTTCAGAGTTTGTATCACTTTTGGGAAATCAGAAAAACTCTGGTCATTGTAGGAATTGATATTTCAGCAATAAATCATGAATAAAATATCTGAGTAATCAAAACATTTATTTTATGTAAGACATTGGACTTCACATTCAATGTCATCCATCCTAAATTAACACTGAAGCCAAAATATTGTCCTTGGTTAAATCAAGGTCAGAATATATATATGTATTATTTTATTTTATTTTTTTATTAGGAATTATGATAAAGTTTCTGAAAGTAACTAGTCACCAGGTAATTGAAAGAGGTATTAATAGACTTTACAAAAGATTCTACCTTACCATGAAATGCTTTGTAGAAAACTTCATTACAGTCATTTTTAGGCATGGAAATTATTAGCTTATTACAATTCATAGATTACAGATTAATAGGACAAATTAGCGGTTTGACCTCCAGTGGACTGCACTTTATAAGTACAGCAAAAGTATTAATTATTATCAGCTGCTTTCTCCAGAGATGAATTGTACTGTCCTTTTATGAAGCAAAAAATACTGAATCATTTATGAGAAATAGCTGTGATTTATGGAAGATTATAATGCATTTACTAAGTAAAATTAGTATCTTATGCAATGAAAAAGACATTTACCTGAAATATGTCATTTATACTAAGATTATTTTCCCACTTTTTGTTTTTTATTGTTTTCTTCCTAGGAACCTGTATGTTTTCCATAAGCCACACACATATACTTACAATTACCAGAAGACAGAGTTTAAGGTATATGACTATATTGAGTTTGTACATACTTTTAAAAATTTTTGTGAAAACTTTACGTAATTCAATAGTATATATTTTCTAAATTTCATTGGTACACCAGATAGAACTGCTATTACTGAAAAAATAATAACACTTTAGGATTATTATAGTCAATATAATGATTATGTTTGCTAGAAAATACCCAGAAGTGTTTCGTTGTGTTTAAGACAAGGAGAAAAAAATGTTGTGGATTGCCATTGCAGAATAATTCAAGACATATTGAATAAGTAAATCATAAAAGTTGGTGGTGAGAGTATATTTTAGAGTGAAACACATCTCTATACATTCTTTATCTTGAATGATGTCTGCCTCATAGCTATTTAGAGACTTTTCTAAATTAATTTCAATAATGATTCAGCTTCAGAATCCCCTCTTCAGTTCTCATTCATCTTCATCTGTCACCTAGTACCCAAATCAGGGGTCTGTTAGATTAGTCCTCCGTTTTTTCTTTACATACTAAGTTCTATGATCAAGTTCTGATGCGGAACTAACCCGCAGTTACACTGAAATAATGATGGCTTTTAAACCTGCCATTAGTTCATATTATCAGAATGTTATTCAACATGTCTGAATATCCTGTTCCAGCTCTAGTTGCATGCTGTAACTGTAGTGTAATTACATAGTAATTTGTTAAATATAAACTCCAGGTATGAATTTAATGTAAAATTCTGTACTGAGAAAGTTAACTACATGGATTGTACTTCATAATTGTAGTGCCTCTACCCCTCTCTGTATTTATAATCAAATCATAACAAATTTTAATCGAAAATTACACAATATACTTCCACAAGCCGTAATCAAATACAGTCTATATAACTTTCTGTGGTGGTGTGCTAAAAACGTATCTAATCACCCTTTGCTATAACATCATTCTATTTTTTACATTGATAAGCATGAGGTGTTTACACTATTAGGCAAATTCTGTATCAGCATTATAAAAAACACTTTAAATTATGCTACAAAACCAACAGAATTTTATTCCAGGATCAAACACCAAAAACTTACTTATATGTCTTCAGGAAAAAGCTGACATATTAAAAGTTCTGAAGCAAAGAAGCTTATTCACCTTCAGATTTTGAAGAATATCTAGGAACAGCAGAGTCATTCTACAGTTTTTGATATTTGAACAAGAATTTTGTATTAAAGTTGAAAATGCAAAATGTTGCCTCCGTACATAATGAGGCAGAATCAGTTATGTTTACCAATTAAAAGAGCCCTTATTTCTTATAAGCTTACTGTATCTAACTAGTCAGGAAGTTGCAACACAAAGCAAACATTTTGTTCTTCTGTTAAATGCTGTTTCTCACGGGGAACTACTGAAGTACTACATGTAAAGAAAATCATGTAAAAGTAGATGAATTCTCATTCAAGAAGCTTTTACGTTTTCTTTTATCTCCTAAATGAACAATATCATTCATACATGCAGCATGAGGCTCTGGGCTTGAATGATGTCTGCTGTTTGGAGGACATAAGGACGATTAATTTCATTTTCATATCGTATCTATGATCATAATATCCAAAATCTAATGCTTTTTATAAGTCTGAGCAGGCCATATTCAACAAAAATGAAAGATAGTAAAAAATGAGAGATAAGAAAATGTCTTTTTTCTATACAGTGTAATGATGATCGAGTCCTCTATTATTTACTTGTGGACAGTCTGAATCCCATTGAAATACTGGTTAGTTTCTCTGCATTAGTACGCTGGGACATTGGAGGTAAGGCCAATGCAGAAAAGTGTATGTTAATGTTTAATATGTTTATGAAGTTGAGTTTAGTCATGGAGTATTTTGACATAGGTTAGCATTAAATAGTAAAGTTGATTCTTGGTAATACACTAAAAGTCCAAGGAACGTTTTCTTGTTACTTCATGTTGAAAATGAATATTTTCTTGAAAGGATCCCTTTACTGTATATTATGTTTTGATGCATACTTTTCATCAATATCTTTCTGATATGGATTTTGTTGTGTTTCTTTTTTTTTTTTTTTTTTTAAGTCTAAGCAATTTTCATTCTTGAAAGCCACTTTATGCCTTAGCTGATAAAAATGCAGTAAAGTTAGTAATATGACGAGATTATTTTTGAACTGATTTTTAAACCAATGCACAGTAAGCTCATTTAAAGGTGGATTATTTCAAAATCCAAAAGTTTGGATGGTTTAAATAAAAATTGCTTGAATTCTATGGGAATCATAGAATAGCATATAGTAAAGCTAATGAATATTATGACGATCAGCTTAAGTTAAAAAGATGTTTGAACATCAGGTATAGACATAATTTTAGTGCTTCAGGAGTACAGTAGCTATAACCAAAAGAAATCTTAAAACCAGAACAAAACAACAACAAAAACAATGCCAAAACCTAATCAACCTGTTAAAATAACTAAGCTATAGTAGAAATATAAGCTCTGTATGTGTGTTCACTTTCTTTGCAAGATAACATATTATGCATTCTAAAACTTTTAAGAAGTTTTAGAGCATCTTTAAGTGACTTGGAAGATATCAAATTTACACATTCTTTCAATGCCTTGTTTTAGCCATGGTTTTCTAGTAAACAGTACAAATTAGCCATATTCTTTATCATCTGAATATTTTTAATGACTACATCTTTTCTGTTCATTATCAAAACCTATATACAGATCTCAATGACTGTAAGGTAGATATTTATTCACATAAATGTATTTGTATTAATTTTAACTGTTATGCCTTCCCCTTAATTGTGTTTTGTTTGTTTGTTTGTTGGTATTTCTGTTTGGTTTTCTCTCTTATCATAGCTACTAAACAAGAGGCTCCTAGTACTTCAAAGGCAACACTGATGGTTGAACATTTCTCTTGGAAATGTGCAGCTCCTGGGGAGCTTGTGCTGAAGATGCGTACATATGCAACCAAAGCTACTGTGTTAAATCTTCCTGTTGGGTATGTACGAGCCTTCATTTCTGAAGGCTTCTTTGTGCCTAGAGATTGAGAAGATTTTTTACTTTACATAGGTTTTATTTCCTAAAATGTAAGTTTTTGAAATATCAAACTGTTTGATAGCTAAGATTTGGTAAGACTGCAAAATTAGTAGGAATTTAAAATAATTAACCAAGCCCTTATAAAGATTTTGAACTTTTTGCTCTTGTTTAATAGTACTGAGCAAGACAAATCTTGTTAGTTTATATGTTTTAATACAAAAATATTTTGAACTAGAATACAATTTTTACTTAACATTATTTCTAACTAGAATGATTTTGAGATATTTATCAAAATGCAAAAAAAAATAAATAAATTAGGATTTTTAGTGGAACTGTGAAAGAATAATGCAAATGCAGAAGGTTCATAGAAATAGGATTTATGAACCATGAAAAATTCTGAGGGCATCCAAGAAGCCTTGCATAGCTTACCTCACATTCTAAAGTTATTTCAAAACTGTATTACTACTGCTTAATGTAATTTATTTATCTTTGTATGTAACTCCGTATATGTAGTATAAAGCATTGCCTGATTATTAAAATAAATAGATGAAAGGCAAAAGCCTTTGATATTTGTTAGTTTCTGAAAATTTTTCCAGTGAAAGATGGCATCACTGTATCTTGCCCTAAGCAGGAGGTTGCTGACTAATTCATTGAGGCCTTTTACATTTCCAAAAATAGAGACACCCCAAAAACACATCAAAAAGATGACACAAAATGTATTTGGAAAGTAATGATCTGAACTTTCAGCTTGCTTTTTTTCCCTGTTCTTTTAAGATAGTTTATCTTTCTTAAAATATAAATCAGTATCATGCTACATACTTAAAGTACAACAAAACGTACTTTAGAGCATTGATTGAGTATATATCAAATATGTCATATATTTTAAATCCCTTAAAACAACAAAAACAAATAAATAAGCATAGAGAAAAAAAACACACAATGCTAGCATGTTGATATTAAAAGTAGATATTTAGTAGAGCCTGCTAATTGTCTGGATGTGGATTAATATAGAAAAGATACATGTACTATTCTGATTGTAGGTTAGTTCTTTGGCACGCGCATTTCTTAAGCGTAGTTTCCAAATTTGCATACCCCTGTCCTCTATAAAGCCAAAATAAGTTCTTCTTGCACCTGCAAACTTCAAAGTTACTAGAGATACAGGCAATTCTAAAAGTTAAGCATCCCACTTTTGATTCTTTCTCCTCTATTCAGGCTTTCAGTAAACCTTAATTTGCAGCAGGTGTGGGAAAGAAATGGGCTTACTGACCACTCCCCCATTTCACTCCAAATAAGAAATGACTTGTTCAGCCTGGAAGGCAGATTCTTCCCTCTGTGTCTTGGTTGCCAGGGGGCACCTCACATTTCACTCCAAACAAGACAGGATTTAAAAAAATCTTTGGGATGTGGTTAGCAATATAACTCTCCTTTTTTATTTTCACTGCTGTATTGCTGTTTAAAACAAAGTTGCAGCTTTTACAAACCTACTGAGCTAAATGCCATTCTGACAATGATATAAGACCATGAAACTTCGCTATTTAATGGCAGTAGATTTCTCACGTATTTCAGAGGGACTGTAGGAAACTACTCACTGGAGAGAGGAGCTTGAGACCCCAGTGTTGTATAACCACAGTTGGAAATATTTTTACTTGTGATTGGAACCTATCGTGAGCTAAACAAGAATGAGATAGGCATAAGCCAATAACACATATTGAATTTTTGTGTTTTGCCACCTGAGTAGATAACGGTTGGATGGTTTGGCCCACAGTTGCTACACAAAGCCATCAATCTGAAAAGTTTATCTACCAAACATCTGTTATTTTTTTCTGTTTTTTTTTTTTCTTTTTTTTTTTTTTTTTTACTGTTGCAAACATGGAAATTATGGTCTAAGTTATTTTTTTGACCAGAACATTTATCTTGAATAAATATTGAATTTATTCATATTGAATAAATACTGAAATCATGTATTTTGATGTTGAAAAGGGAGTAAAATCTAATAAATAAACAAACAAAATAGCGACTTTTCTGATTTTACCTACAGCCTATACCTGGAATTTCTTGCAAAGTAATAAATTAGATATGCAGGATTTGAAGAACTAGAAAAAAATAGGAAAGGATTTCATTTTTGCCAAATGTTTGTATGAAAGGAAAAATGTAAGATTTACTATGACTTTAAAACAAAACTTTTTTTTTTTTTTCTTTACTGTAGGCGACACATACTGCTATTCACAGTAAGTTCTCCCATAGGGTACCATATTCATCTCTGTAGCATGGTGCCATGTGTTTTTGGAGAAGAGGATGCTGTGATTCCAAGTCTAGAAAAGGTATGCATAGCAAGAACCAGTCAAACATCATGCTAAAGCTGTTTCTGACTGTTATTTAGTTTTAAAGTGAAGTACTGTTGGATCTTCATTTAGTTATTATGTTTCAGTATGAAATGGATGAAAAGATAGAAGAAATATGTTTTATAACAAGTACTGAGTTGGATTTTGCAACAGCTGTCTTGTATAAATGTGGAAGCAAGCATCAGATAGTACAGTAGTTCACATCGAACAGCAGTGTGGAATGGAATACTCAAAATACTCTAGCTGACATACATATGTCAGAGGTTGTGTATAAGTACTCTGTTGGAGGCAAGTGGTAAAATACATGTACGAGTATTATTCCATATTCAAACGTACCTGTCTAGTAAATATAAATTGTCGCATCAATGAAATTTGTTTTGTCCCATGAGATCACATATTACTCACTGAGTCCCAGAGTAGCTTTTATCCCTAAAAATAAACAATTGATTCAAACAACTTTTCATTACTGAGATAAGAGGCCACAGAGAGTAATTATTACAGCTTTTGGTCTTTGTTGCATACATTCCAGACAGATATCACTGCCATTTGTATTTTCAAGATTTCTTTGGCAAGCGCTATGCCCAAATGTTTGGCATGGACAGATGGGGAGGGAGTGTAACTTCTAGAGCTCAGTTGTGCAGTGAAATAAAATTAAAAGATGAGTATAACAAATTTATATACCAATGTAGATCCTCCTGGCCAAGCTCTGGAAGTGTGGGATCCATGAGTGGACAGTGGGGTGTATTGAGAACTGGCTGGATGGCAGAGCTCAGGGTTTGTGCTTAATGGTGCTGAGTCTAGTAGGAGGCCTGTGGCTAGTGGTGTCCCCCAGGGGTCACTGTTGGGTCCAGTGCTATTCAACTTATCAGTGACCTGGATGAAGGGACAGAGTGCACCCTCAGCAAATTTGCTGATTATACAAAGCTTGGCGGAGTGGCTGACATATCAGAAGCCTGTGCGGCCATTCAGAGGGACCTGGACAGGCTTGAGAGAGAGTTGGGCGGAGAGGAACCTCATGAGGTTCTACAAGGGCAAGTGCAAGGTGCTGCACCTGGGGAGGAACAGCCCCAGTCACCAGTACAGGTTGAGGGCTGACCTGCTGGAGAGCAAGTCTGCAGAAAGGGATGTGAGGGTTGTGGTGGAAAGCAAGTTAACCATGAGCCAGCAGTGTGCCCTTGTGGCCAAGAAGGCCAATGCAATCCTAGCCCGCATCAGGAGGAGTGTGGATATCAGGTCGAGAGAGGTGATCCTCCCCCTCTACTTTGCCCTGGTGAAGCCACACCTGGAGTATTGTGTCCAGTTCTGAGCATCCCAGTACAAGACGGACATAAAACTTCTAGAGAGGGACCAACGTAGAGCCACAAAGATGATTAAGGGATTGGAACATCTGTCTTACGAGGAAAGACTAAGCAAGTTGGGCCTATTTAGTCTAAAGAGGAGACTGAGAGGGGAACATATCGACCTCTATAAATAGCTGATGGGACAATGTAAAGAGGATGGGGCTGAACTCTTCCCAGTGGTGACCAGTGATAGGACAAGGGATAATGGGTATAAACTGAAACACAGCAGGTTTTATTGCCATATGAGGAAGAACTTCTTTACAGTTTGCATGACAGAGTACTGGAACAGGCTGCCCAGAGAGTTTGTAAGGTCTCCTTTGGAGATATTCAGAATCTGCCTGGTTGCAATCCTGTGTAACATGCTCTAGGTAAGACCCTGTTTGAGCAGGGGGGTTGTTGGACTAGATGATCTCTGGAGGTTCTCAACCTCAACCATTCTGTGATTCTGTGAATCAGGGTCCTAATAATTGGATGTTAAAACAGCTCAGGTAAATTTGCAATGGTTATTGTAGCAAAGTTTAAGTGTGAGAAGCTGCGGCATTAAACAATGACTTTTGGCTAAACTATTCCCTTTACTTCAAAGTATCATTAGCAGGAGAGTGTCCACAGATTTGCACAGAAATTTTGGTGAAGATTAATGATGGCTTAGGCAGCATATACTTGGACTTTTTTTTAGGAAGACACAAATACTCATCTGTACCCTTTTATAATAGAAAAGATGCTGTGCATTTCAGATGACAGCAGTCATCTTAACACTGCAGTAGAAAGTTTATATGTGCATCTTATTTTTGAATAAATGTTCTAGAACTGAAGATATAGGAAAAATAAAATCCATAATAGATATGCATTATGCTACCTGTTATAATGTTATAATATTTGCATTTCAATAGCTAAACTCAGTGAAATTTTGCATGTTTTGAATTTTGATTAAATTTAAATTTTTAATACATAATTGATTTAATGGTTTATAAAATTAATAACAATCAGTTGATTTAAGAAAAATTTAATACTTCAACACAGAAAAAAAGTCTTTGTATACTATCACAGCCTACAAATGAAAGAAAAGAAAATCTTAGAACAGTCTTGCTAACAATGGTTGATTTTCTGCTCTTTCCCCAGGAGAGCTTCAGATTTATGGAACAAGCTACAGCTATTCTGAAAGCTATAGGTAATGTGATAAATAATTTCAGCAATAAGCCTGAACTTTCTGAAGCCTTGAAGGAGTTGAAGCTAGCTCACTGTCCTCCTGGCCCCCACGGTACTGGAATGGCTGAAGAACACTTCAAGGTGAACAAACAATTTTAATGAAGATGTGTCTAAAGGCTACAGAAGCCAGATAATGGCTTAACATTGTTGTCTACTTCAAACCAATAATTATACATTTAAAAAGGACATCACCTTAGTTTGAAATGTGGCATTAATTATTAAGTGAATGCATAGAAACTTGCAACAGTGTACCATATTTATCTTCTCTTAATATGAACACATTTTAATATGTGTACTATGTGCTCTAAATTTTAGCCTCCCGTTTTTTCAGTTTCATTAGGCACTCTTAGGGGTATGAAATATCAGCAATTTAATTTTATGACTTAAGTTTAGATTTAAAAAACAGCACCTGAAATGGAAAAAAAAAATCCAACATGGTTCCTTTCTGTGTCTAATATTGGTGGTACAGGAAAACATTGATACAGCATATGTTACTGTAGACAGTAATGAATTTTTGTTTCAGGCATGGTATTTCCAAGTTTATTTTGTGTTGTTTTGAAACTGCCACATTCTTGTTTCACTTTTATGCTGTGTGTATGTGATGAATTCAGTGGTCTTTGTATACATGATAAAAAAGTTACACTGTAGACCTCTGTACTGTAACTTTTCAATATTGTGGGGAAAGTGCAACAAAAACGTGATATAAGAAGGTATGCTAATCACCAAAGTACTGGAAAGTTCACACAGTTTAGATCATTTATTTTAGAAACTGAATAGAAGAAAAGGCACTATATTCTTAAAATTGATGATATTAAAACAATAGAACAACTAAGTCATTTTTTTGATGTAAAGGCTTGATACCAGGCTCAAAATCAGCAAAACAGGAGAGCTATAAACAGTTCCAGGTGCATCTCTTGTGAAAGAGCCAATTTTCATGCCACCTCTAACATAGACTCTCTGCATTTGAACTTGCATTTGGACAATGCATTGCACTGGACTCTCTCCCAAGTCCAAAAAGTCCTCTCTGAAATAGAAAATACAAATTTTAAATGTATTTACTATTTACTACTATGAAATGTGTAAAACTTAGGGACTTGAAGAACAATTCAGGAGGCATCTCTCTTCTCCCCTCACAAAAGCAGTGTATATATTTGTAAAGGAATAAGAAAAAGAAACAACAACAACAACAAAACATAAAATAAATGAGAGGCACTGAATTAGCCAACAGTGATTCATGAATGAAAAGATGGAACTAATCAATCTTTAATGTAAACAATGAAAAATGATTCTGAATATAAACACGTATTAAAGTAGTTTCTCTCTTTGCCAGTGTTAATTTTTTCAAAGGAAGTTTTTATTAACATTACTATACATAACTGGAGATAAAATGTTTCCAGAAAGCAGAACAATTTGGAAATAAGGACAATGAAAGAGAAAAATAATCAGATAAATATTTTTTCCATTGAGTTATTGCTCTGTTCTTTAATTCAAATTGAGAGACAAGCTCTGAAAAACACACTTAAAATTTTCTAATCTAGCTAGGGATGGAAAAAGGGACTGGATTTCTGCTTGTTAAAGAGCATCAGGGTGTTGAGAATAAAAACATCACTTTAGTCCTATAAATAAGACAGCAAATTTTCCCCTTTCATCCATCAGTATATTCTTACTTTTGATAGTGGCACCATTGATTAATTCAAGTGTGCCCATTCAGTTTGTCTCTGTTCTAAAACTTCTAATAAGAATGCCATCTATTATGACGGCAATTGTGTGTTCTGAAATCCTCTGGTCTGAGACAATCAGATCACTTTACATAAAACGATAAACTATTTTGGGATGATAAAAACATGCTTTACATTCTGTCCTGTACTTAAAAAGTCAGGTATGAAACAGGTTTGCTCTTGATTGCTGTCATGAAGCACTGTAGTCCCACAGTGAGGACTGATTTTCAGTTACTGTATGAGCGGAAGTTAAACATGTAATGAAAAAGAAACAGTTTTTGCAACTTTAATGAGAAGCTATAAAAATCAGCTTTTAAAAATGAATAATTCTCTGATAAATGTTTTTCTTCTTTTTGATTTTAGGTTTTCAATAGTGCATTTTGGTATTTGATTAAGTATGTGTTGGGCAAGAAGGTTCCTTACAGATATAAATTTGCCTTCAGATCCTTCACTTTGGATTTTAAAGACACTGAGATTTTTGAGGATGACAGTGTGTCTTCAGGTACTGGACCAGTATTTTTAATCACTTTGAACATATATGCCATTCTTATTTTGGAGGGAATTAACTCTTCACTAATCTTGTGTTTTCTCTCCTGGTTCATTAAGAATGAGAAATGGTTTGTTTCCTATGAGATGCCCAAGATTTCTGACAGATCTGATAATAGAACTAAACCTTGTGTTTGTTAAGCATGTTTATGTTTTATTAATTTATAAAATCACTCTTTGTCTTCTTTGATTTGCATTCGTTGGTATTAAAGAACACTTACAGATACTTTATTTTACCTGGTATACTGCAGATCTTGGATCTTTTTCAAATTATCACCTGAAATGAGTTTAAATAGCTACAGTGTACATGAAATGAAAGCGAGGGAAGGCTCAAGTAACTACCTTTACTGAAAGTTCTATTTCTTGATGGTGGATTGATTACCATCTCTCTCTCCCCCTTTCCTTCCTCCCCTTACGCCCCCCCCCCCTTTTTTTTTTTTTTTTTTAAGCCTTAGTTAGTTGTTAGTTTAGTTAGTTTGAATCCTTGATTAGTTGCCAAATCATTGTGTTTGCTGGCTAGTATTCTGGCTAGTCACACGTGTAGTGTGGGAACTAGCTACAGCACCATCCACCTCATCTCCAGCCTGTGATTAGGGTGTGTTAGCTATCTTAAGGTACTGTGGGAGGTATCATGATATTATAGGGAATGTGACAGGAAGTTTGGTGACACTGAATGGGGCAATAAGGTGCGCAGGCTTTGCTGGTTCCCTTTCCCAGAATAATTCTCTCATTGCAGGTTCTTTTCCTCATTTTATATGCAGGCTGGAGGCATAAGGATTTAGAATTAGGTTCACCTGGCAACCAGCTACATGGCTTTTTTCTATTTCCATAGACTTATCTTACTATATGTGTAACTTTTAAATCTATTAATATTTATTTTATTAATGTAAGCTTTATGTTTATGGCTTCATATCAAGACAAAAAGAATTAATCTGAAAAATTGGCATGAAGATGCATTTTCACCATTTAAAGATCATTCTTTCAGGGTTACTTAGCTTCCCCTTCTGCAGTTATAAACTTACAATATGAAGTCTTTGCTTTTGGTCAACAAAAAAGGTTATAACTTTCCTTTCATTAGTCATTTTATGTTAGAAAGTCAGTATAAAAAAAATCATTAAAATTTACATGAATATCTTTACTAACAAAATAATGTAATAAATTTTGAGAAAGCACCTATATTTGTTGATGCTTTAATGGGGATTTTCCTCCAAATCTCTCTTCTGAAGGTTATTGTTTTTGATATATAAAAGATGAAGAATCGGACAGAATGACTACATAACTCAATGTGTTTTTCAGATTTATATTCTAAGACAAGAGTAAAAGTTATAAGGGCCTGTCTATTGACATTTGTAACAATACTTGAAGTCGACAACATGTCACATTTTTCAATGATTTCAATGATTGTGCAACTAATTTCTGTATTCCAAAAAAAATCCAACCTTAAGTACTTGTCAACAATAAACAAGAAGGCATTTTTACATTAGATTTGAATAATCAATACAGCTAAAATATATGAAATTTTCATATAGCAAAGACCTCATACATGTTACTGAATTATAAGGTACAGTGTGGCAGATTATTTTTGTTTGTTTGTTTTGATTCCCCACCTAAATCATAAAAAGTGGAAGAAATGTGTGACAAATACAATTTTTGTTTGATTTCCTACAGTGTAAAATTTATCTTCTTATTATTTTTTTTTGCTTTTCCAGACCTAAATCACAAAAGGTTGGAAAGTGAATTGTTTCCCTTTGCCTTTATTTACCTTTGGATGTATATATTTTGCCCTGCTTAATAAAGATTGCATTAGAGTAAGCACATGCTTTTGTTCAGGCTCCATCCCAGAATACTAAATGGAGACAGCTACATTTGAAAAAGCATATAGCAAGCCAAATGGTGGGGAAAAAATAGGTAGATGGTAGCAAAGCACAGGTGACAATCAGTGTTTCCAGTTTTCATCCTGACTTGGTGTAACTTTTGACAGTTTATGTGAATAGGTAGTGAGGTTTTGTCATTTCTGTGGATGACACTTCAACCAAGTTACTGTATTTGTATATTTAGAAACAAATCAACATTTAATTGACTGTATATCCATATATTCTTTAGCCTCACAGATTAGACCAGACGGCCTCCAATGGTCCCCTCCAGTCTATATTATTCTGTGCTTACATGCTTCTATCTTATAAAAGTGGCTGTACCATGAATCTTGTTGAAGTCTGATCTGTACTTTGTTGAAGTGGTATTGTAATACCACTACACAGAGTGTTTCAGAGTCACTTGATATTAAAGAAGTTTTCTGGGGTTTGGAAATAAGACAATAATGAGGATTGATGATTGGAAGCAATCAATTTTATCAATGTTTGATACAAGAGATTAGATTGAAATGTGTGATCTTGTTGATGACAGCAATATCTTTTCTTAAGCTAGTTTGTCCTACATTTCAAGCAGCACTCTCTCCTCTTTTTTGTTTGTTGGTATTTCATTTTGGAGCAGTTTCCATCCCCTCTCGCTGTCTCACCCTCCTCACTGCATGTGGTTGCAGTTCAAAACTGGCCTCCTGGCACTGATTCCTTGTAGTGACTTGTAGTTCCCCACACTCTCTCCCTAAATCCTGGTACTGATGGCTTCCAGAATGCTAATTCTAGGCAAGGATTCCTTCACAGGGTTAATCAGTAATTTTTCAGATCCTACTGATTTCAGTTCCACTCAAAAACTGCTTGATAATACAAATTAACAGTCAGATAAATGAACTCCCAGTTTATCATAGATCCTACCCGTATTTTACAGCTCCTTAGGAAAGGCTGAATATAATATATTGAATAATGTTAGTGTTTAAATTATTACTTCATAAAACGATCAGATTGAGAGATAGAAGCACTTAAAATGTTACGAGGCTCTTTTAAGCTATATGCAGATTCAGGTTTTGATGCATCAGATTCTATTGGCTTATGTTTGAAAGGCTATTTTGAAATTATATTAAAGGATTTGGTTTTTAACAATACACTGAAATAGCTGTTTGTAAAAAGAAGTAAGGATTTGATGATTTGGTATTTGGCAGTATCATAGTAGCTGCATGTTAACTTTGTAATTACACAGTATATAGTGTCTATTTTTGTCATTATAGGAGGAAAATTTTAGGAGCCATATTTTTGTCATATATGGAAGTTTTATGCATAAACCACCATGTTTCTCTAATATAGCTCTCAAATCATTTGTTTATTTTTTCACTTCATAGCAAGCAGCTACAGGACTTCCAGCTTTAATGATGTTGCTCATTCTCTTACCCTTACTTCAGAGAGTTCTGAAGTTAATTCCCCTGGTATCTGGCAGAAAAGAATTCCCACTTTTGAAGAAGAAGCAGCGGCTCTTAAACTCCAAGCCATTTGGAGGGGGGCTTATGTGAGGAAAGTACTGAATAGCAGAAAACCAGGTGTGTCCTTTAAAATTACCTTTTTAAAAAAAATGTTTCATGTTTCATCTTGTTCAAATATTTACTGTAAAGATTTTTTTCCTAATTATACCTAGTTAAAGTGAACCAAAATGCAGTAGAACATTATAGTTCAATGACTAATCTCATATAAAACTATGAAGAGCGTTCCACCTAACCACTTAGCACATATGATTCTAAAGAGTAATGTAAGACACCTGCCGTTGATTTCCATAAGTATTAAAGTAGAATCTACTTTAAGATAGTTTTAGCTTAGAGCTGGGTTAAATGCTTTTTTTCTGCAAAAGCAAGTAAAGTTTTTAAGCATGCATATGTGTCCTTCTTTTACATCATTGCAACAAGTAGGTTTGCCTGTGTTTATCTAAACTATATTTTAACATTGTCATGTTGATTTGTGATGAGACATACAGTAGAAATTACAAGAAAATATGTATGGACACCTGTGATGAGAGAATCCTAAGGAAATTAAGAAAGTAATACATTTGGAGAGTTTCTTTTCATTCATATGTATTTGTGTTTTATTTTCTTGGTCTTTTGTTGGTTTGTTTATTTTAATGTGTATAGCAAATAACAATTTGAACTTAGGCTTTAAGAAATCTAAATGTCATTGGCAGAGCTTAGTATTTCCAATGATTTTAAACTGGGTTAAAGAAATGTTCTGATAAAGGTAGTAGGAAAATGTGGTTTGAGTGTACAAGTGAAAAAGTGAGAAAACGTGATTAGAGATGGAGAGAGAGAAAGATCTTACATAATTTCAGCTAAGCATTGGCCTAAAATACTTTATTTGTGTATTTCTGAGGACCATTATGGTTTGTTTTTCATAGATTTGAATTCAGAGCACTCTTAGGGGAGGCAGAAAAGCTCTGTTCAAGAGGACCTCCACAAACCATGACCATTGCAGTTCAGAGAACATAATGAAAAACTCTTACTAATCCTGTATCATGTATAATTCTATAAATTCTGGCATAACCATTCCAAATAGCATTATGATATTGATGAAGTATTTGGAGCATTCATAGCCTAACAAATCTAAATTTAGTCTTTCTAAGGCCATAACTCTGTATTTTCATTCTATTTGAAGTTGGAGATCATCATTAAAAAACCTAGTCAGATACCCAGTTTATGACAGGCCGTTACAGTTCTGCTGGAAACTTTTTTGTGAGTCACATTACCTACATTTCAGTGTCTTGTGGGCAATGTGTAGGAGAGACTGATAGTGAGTAAATACAATTCAGCTCCCAACAAGTTCATACAAGTACCTGAGGAACGTAATAGATAATCAGCAGAACACAGCATCAAAGGCTGATCCTGTGTTCAAAAGATGTTATGCTGATGCTATGCTTCATTCTTAGGTATGTAAATAGAGGTACCTTACATAGCAGTTGAAGACTTATGCTACATTTCTTAGTCAGCAATTCTGTCATCTTAGCTTGACTACTGTGTCCAGCTGCAGTGTCTGCAGTCCAAGAAGAAAGACAGTTGACCGGATCTGGGTAGAGTTATAAGGATCATGATTAAAGAAGGGTCTTATACTTGTATACTGTTAGTTTTGAATTCAACAAAATGGAAGATTAAGAATTACATCATTATAATCTGTAAGTATCCACATGAGAAAAGGATCAAGCAAACAGGTCTTTAGTGTGAGATCTGAAGGGTTAATGAGGTCTTTAGTCTGAGATTCAAAGATTACAAGTTGAATCCAGACACATTCAAACTAGAAAAAAGAGGTACTTGTTTTAAAATGTATAAGGTATTTACCAGATTAAAACAAGAGTTGTATTGGGTTTTCATCACTGAAAATTGTAAAATCAAAAATACACATCCAATTCAAAAAAGATGTAATTCTTTACATGTGATGAAACAGAATTTAATGTGTTAACTAGGCTGTTATATGGAAAGTCAGATCATAAAGATACCTTCTAGCCTCACAGTATATGAATGCCTGAGGATCTTGACAAAGAAAACTGCTCTGCTGTGAGATACATGGTCACATTTTACTAAGTACCATCTGCTAGAAATTTCTTCCTGACCTAGCATCATTGCTAGGGTTCTTTCTCTTGCATATTTACCTGCACCTGTTGATCTACTCGAGTTATCTTTCAAACTTGCAACTCCTCATCAGTAAATCTAGTACCGCCTTTCTCCCAAATTATCACCTGCACCCAGTCTTACTAAAGCTTTTCCTCTAAGTAGTCTAGTGTCCTATTAATTTATAAAAAGTGCCATTTGTAAATTAGGTGCTCTTGTAAGCTTTCACTTGTATTAACTCCTACAAATCCCAGAGCCTGAAATCTGTCCTTTTGATGATTTAGATTCTAGAGTTTTATCAAACTCTGTATATGAGTACCTCAACTCCTTTCTGTAATTTTCTATAATGTCTTAGCTTCCTCTGATTAACCTCTACACTGCTACATTTAATTGAGGTATTTTCTTTACAGTGCTTTACTGTTTTTTTTTTGATTGTTTGTTTGTTTTTAAATCATACTATTCTCCTTTTTGCCATTATCTATTTTTTTTCTCTTACTTGTCATTGTGGTAAAGTGTAACTTTTTCCCCATCCTCTTACTGTTTTTTGTTGTTGTTGTTGTTTATTTTGCCATTAATTGTTTATGCAATAAAGGAGGATTTCATGTAACTTTAGTCTTGGAAAGTTAAATGTTAGAGGTATAAAACAGTTGCTAGTCTTCATCTTCATTCTGCAGATGGAAGTAGACATCCTCAGATGGAAACACAGGCTGTCATCTGGGAGTTTTCAGGCATGGGTGGAGTGAATTATCCCCTAGAGCTGTTTAGTTCTCTTCTTTTTAACTTCTCAGATTGCCTAGGCACCTGCCTCTTAGTATTATAATTGCTACTGATAGTTAAACAGTGTGTTCTCTGAGGACAGAGATCATCTCATATCAATGCAATGTGTTATTGTAAAGGTCTGAAAATCAGAAAAAATTAGTCACATCATTTTTGATGTTGCAGGAGTAATGAAAAGTACAAAGGTGATGATAAAGGAGTTTTCCTCTATCAAAGGAAAAAGTAGTTATCAGCTCTGTGAAACCTCTGTAAAATTCCAAATAAGATCCTAGTGATTTGTAAGGAAATTAATTTGTGCAAGTAAGGTTTTTCATGTGTATTTGGCAGGTGTATATTAAAAACAATAAAAATGTAGGTGCTTTGTACATTTTTCTAACTTATTTCATTATTTGTAGGTACTAAAGAAAACACTATTGTCAAAGAAACCTTGCAAAAATTGTGGACTGCAATTGAGTTAAATTTTGAACAGTGTGCTGTAATACTGTTAAGGTAATGAAGTTATAAATTCAACTATTTTGTTGCTGCCAGTTCTGTAGAATTGCCATAAATTGCTGTTTCACAAAATAAATGTACTAAACTCTGTTGAAAAGGATGAGACACTTTCCATGAAGAACATGCTCTGCTTTATTCTATGTGCTTTATTTACTTGAATAAAACTATATCACTTCTAATCATTAGGTAAGGATGTTACTAGATGTTTTTTTCCCTACAGCTTGAACTAGAATATTGTCTGTATTCTTCTGTACTTTATTTTTTTTTAATTTAATATCCTGTAGGCTGTTTCATACATATAAATCTGATGCTGATTCTTTGATTAAACATCTATCCAGGTGATTTAAAGAAACCTTTTGATTCATACTTCTGATTCGTTTTAAGGAATCATGACTGACATTAGAAAGGCTATTTAATTCTAGCATAATTTATATCATTGGGGGCTCTGTTTGCAACACTTGCTTGAAAGAAAGTGTTTGTTTTCCCTGGTATTTAGTAACAGCTTTTGCAAAGATAGCTGCACCAATTTCAGCAGTGTTCCTTAAATCATTTTCAAGCATGACTGCCTTTGGGGATCACATATTTTCACAAAGTCCTTAAAAAATATCTCTGCAAGTGTTCACACGACCAATCCAGCAGTAGACCAGCTCTGCTAAGGTTGAGGAGTGAAAACTAGCAATAATTACTGGCTGTGCATACAAATCCTCACTTCATATAACTCAGCAATTTGAGGAACACTCACATGGGGTATATCTTTATTTCACCTTTTAGTCTTTCTAATTAGGATAACTATGTCCTGTTATAACCTTGGCATGTAGGTGGGATCAGGACTTTAACATTTGGAATAAGGCTGCAGTTGTAGACCTCAGTGTTAGAATGGCAGCATCTCTAAATAACCAAAGATAAGATGCAGCTGTTAATCTGCCTTCAGCTTTTTAAAACATATGGGACTGATTCTCAGGCATTGTCTTAGGGGATGTATTTGACTGTTAAAATCATGTTACTATGACTTTATATGTATTTCGAAAGATGATAATAATATACATATATATATTTTAAAAACTGATCTGAACTGAATTTACGATAGTAATATAGCACCTTGTCCAGTAAAGTTACGTGCATGAATTTCAGGAGTTCAGTGTTAGGGTAAAAGTTTCCCCCATACTCCAACCCCAGACATACCACAGTGCTGAAGCAGTACCATTTTACAATACAAACACCTGGTCTAAAACAAGATTAAGCTAGAGTTACCATCTGTTTGTCATTTTACATCCCACAATTCTGGTGAAAAACTCACTATATTTGTCCATACTGTAATTTTCAAGGAGCTCACAAATCTGAGGTTCCAAGATGCTTTTTCTGCCCAAGCATGGTGTTTATCAGTAGCAGAAGGAACCTTTGCAAAACTTTGTGGACTAAGATTTCAAAGCATCCTTTAAACTACTTCTGGCAATAGTTGGATCCAGTCTGTGGCTTACCTTAATTAAATGTCAAGGTTGACTGTTATCATTACTAAAAACATGGTTGTGAGGATAGTTTGTGTAATTTCAGTTGCTATCTAGGGATAACAAAACATCAAAGTACCATTGTCCAGGTTTTGTTGATAATATTTTAGCAACTGAAGGAGTTGGACATGTTTTGGGAACATGAACTTTTGATATTACAAATGATAAATAGAACTTTGTGGTGTCAGTTAGGTGCCACTCAGGTTGGCTCTAATTTCATAGAATTTAATAACACCTAATAGCTTATTTGCCTAAAGAATAACTTTTGAAGTTACCATTTTTAGGTTCCTTCCTATATGTAAGGAACAATTTTAATCACATTTTAAATTTGTTTGGTTTTATTTTTATTGCTGTCTTGTTCCAAAAACAAAACAAAACAAACAAACAAACAAACAAACAACACACACACAAAAAAAAAAAAACACAGAAACATGTTTTTTATTTTTTAATCTCATAATGATGCCACAGCTTTAAGATGACAGTTTAATATAAAGAAATGGAAGTTATTCTTATGGATATGTATGTTTTTTTTAATAAAAAACAACAACAACAACAACAAAAAAAAACATGGATAAACTCATAGATACAAATATTTGTATGTAAGTATCAGCTATTACAGGCTATTATTGAACCTAAAGAGCATGTTTTCTACCTAATTTGTTACTTTTTTAATGTGAATAACTAACAGAGAGGATAGTAGTGTTAGTAAAACTTTTAATAACTGATTTTATATTTATGGTCAGATGCAAACCAGTGTCGCTCGTGATTAATGTAAGTCAAAGTCAAGATATTTGTCCCCTCCTCATTAGATTTAAATGTTTATCTCTTTATCTGCTTTCCAGAGAGATGTTTAAAAAAAATTGTAAGTCAATTGAAAAGTTTCCTTGCTATGAAGATGAGTGGTGTAAGGTCTCTTTTGCTGACTATGCTGTAACATATGCTGATCAGCCACCAAATATTTGGTTTGTGATTTTTAGGTGAGTTTCACACAGCCTTATATGATTCTTATGAGGAAATAATATTGATACATTGTGTTTTTCCTAATCTTGTTTAAAAACATAATTTTAGGTAATTTTCCCTAAATTCTAAAGTATACTTCATGTTACATAAATCACTTAATTTGTGAAAATATTTTGAATAAAATTTAAATTTTATTTTATTGTAGGGAAATATTTATTGTCCCAGAAGATATGTTTATAGTGCCAAAGATGTATACCACTATCCCTTCCTGTAGACTTCATGTAGTTGATAATGACACTCTGGAAGAAATGCCACATGTCTTTTTCAAAGTGACACCTCAGGTTTATCCCAAAAATAAGGTAAGAGTGGTGATGGAAAGTATTTTAATAATGATTGCCTGAATTCTGTAGATATTTTCAGCTAAATTGTAACATTCTGCTTAGAAGTACACCCATATTTATTAGCAAGTTTAAACAGACTGTCAATGATCTTCTTCCATGCTAAGCCTTCAATGTGGAAAGAATAGTCTTAATTTTCTTTGGTTATTTTTGATCATTTCTAAAGGGAAGCGTGTCACCCAATTTCCCTGAGCTGTGCTAATCAAAGGCAACTTGGCTGTTGTGGCTGATGCTGTTCACCTGGCAGGATAACCTTGAAGAGTCGAGGATCAAACTAAGAATGTGGCACAAATAGCCTTTTATAAGGCATGCTTGCAATTATTAAATTACATGCTTCTTCAGGTGCTAATGATAATTGTAGTGCTGATGCCAAATACAGCTTTAGATGTGCTCCCCCTCAAAGCCTCTAAGAATCATTAGAATAATTTGCTCCTGGAAATAAATAAATAAATGTAGTTACATAATTATCACACCTTCCCTTCCTCCTGCCTTTTTGTCTTTAGGCTAATGACAATTTGCTCAGTCTTGCAAGGTACGTTTCCTACGCTCTTGATTACTTTCTCCTCTGGACTCTTCCCAGTTGTTTTCATTCTTGTTTATGATGTACAACTCTGAGCACACAAAGCTTTGCACCAAGGATTTACTGAAGGCCATACAGATGATGAGCAAAAAATGTAATTTATGTGTCTTGTTACTTTGCCTTATAAATCTGGCTGTGATGCTTTCCCTTTTTTCGCACCAACATTGTTGACTCATACTATTGTAACCCTAGGTGCTTTTCTGAAGAACTGAATCTTGTAGTTTATTGTTCTTGACTAAATATGTTGTATTTCACTATTGATTTTAATGTCTTTTTTTTTTTTGACTGTTTCACTGGTTTAAAATAACTTTGAATTCTTATTTTGTCTTCCTAAGTAGACAAAATCCTTACAAGTTACAATCCTTACATAAGCTACAATCCTTAGCATCATGTTATCAGTTAATTAAACATACATTTTCCCTTCCACCATCCACATTACTAACATAATTATTGAATGAAATCAGTTCCAGGTTTGGATCTTTGAAATCTCACTGACTGCAACCTTCTTTTGCAAACTGGGTCAAGTATATGTGCTTTTTGGATGTGGTTATCCAACATCCACTCTAGATTCCTCATTATGATCGCATTTCTATAGAATTATAAGAATGATCAGAGAGACAGTGTCAGGTGTCTTACTCAAAGCAAGATATATGATGTCTACTATTTCTCCTTCGTTCTTGTCATGTACTTTCCTATAGAAGGAAACTTGATTGGTATGTGACTTTTTTTCTGCTAATAATCTTTTTGCTTCATTGAGTGGGTTGCAAGTGGTTAATTTCGTTATTTATTTTGTATTTCCAGCCATTGAATCTACTTTGTCTGATAATTTTCTAGGCAACTTTGTCCATTTAAAAAAAGTAACATCATAGTTCTGTGTTCCTCAAGTGTGTTACCTTTCCTCCATCAATTATGAAATATAAATAAAAACCTCTGCGATTGTTTTATTCTGTTTAATTATCATTCAGTTCAGAAGTTCATCAGGCCTAAAAATGAAATTAATATAATCATTTACCACTTATTTTCCTGTTCTGGCCTGCCCCTAATAGTGTTACTTCTACTGTTAACTGTTAGCCACACTATCCATGGCTTATCTTTTTAGGGAAGAGAAGTTCATGTTTTGGCCTTCTCAGTCTCATCAGTCAATAGCAAGGAACTGATGTTAGTCTAACACCATAGAAGTATTTTTCTTATCCTTCTTTTGCAACTCATACTTGCAAGTACTTTCACCTCTGCCCCCAAAAGAATGAATTTATTTTATCTGGTGTTTGTAGTGAAAGCTGGCTGAATGTGACAGTTAAGACTGCTACTGCTAGAGGAATATGCAGGGCTGTAGACAAGCTCTTCAAGTTCTCAGAGCTCATTTGGGATCTTCAGAGATAGGGTGTGTATTCTACTGGGAAATAAAGTTCAGCTCAGAATTCGAGAGTGGCAAGTGACAGGATGGTCTCTGTGTTGAACACCACTTAGTGCCTTTCAAGAAAGTAATGAGGATTGTGCACAATCCTGCACAGTGTCCAGGATTGTGCATAGTATTACAAATAAGATCTTACCAATACTATGCAGTACTATGGTTTAAATACTGGAAATGCTCATTTTCCTATGCCATACCCCCACATGATACTTCCTATAATCCTTTTTTATTTTTTTTTCCATGCACTCAGCACATAACCTCAGCGATTCTGTCATTAGCTAAATTAAATGGCTTTTTTTTCCTCCTCCTATTCTTCCTTATTGAAGTCCTCTCCACTTAATAATTAGAGAAGGTATTTTAGTTATTATTCTCTCAGCTCATGACTTTAAATTTCACAAAATTAAGTGTGGTTAATATCAGTAAAGAGTGATTTTGATTTAACAATATTAAAACAGTATTGTACATGTATGCTGTATTTTTGTACTTGTTTTTATTACATTTCTTAATCACTGCTACGGAGTTTCTCATTTTGACAAGGCATTATATGATTGTCATAAAACACAGAATAAAGTGCTATTATTTTAATCTGTTACCTTTCTTTCTAATGGTATTTGGTAAAAAAATAATCAACAGTGTCATACATCAAGGAAGAAATTATACAGCATGCCTGTATTCCTAAATATCAATATTCATACAGTGTGTGCATTTTTTTTTTTAATAAACCTACCAGTTAGTTGTTCTGCTTGAAAACTATGAATCAGCAGCTAACAACAGAGTGAAATAGAAATTTTATCAGTAGATATTATTCTGCTGCAGAGTCATTCCTGGAATACATTCAGTCACTCTGAAATGAACTTTACGATATGAATAAAATCTGCAGACTAGCAATAATGTCTGTCTTCTTTCTGCACGTATTACAGTCTAGATAGAAACTAGTTACTTGCTTCACATTATTTAGATTTATTTATTTTTGTATTACATTTTCTTCTTCGCAGTCATTTTTTCCCCAATTGCTAGATTGCTAGATACAGGTTTTTCTTTTTATTCTTTGTTGTTTGTTTGTTTTTTTTTCTCCACTGTCTTTTTTATACACAAGTTTTCTGAACAGATCATAGAAAATGATAGAGAGATGAGCATTCTTCAATCTTCAGCTGAGCAACAAAGATAAGATGTTAAGAAATCATTACTGACAACATATTTAATTTAGAAAACGGAAGTCTAATTTAGGACATTGATCAGTTGTTTGTCTTGACTAGCTGTTGAAGGACATAAGGAAATCACCTTTTTTAATAGAAAAATTAATTTAGGTGATATATATTAAAAAAAGAACCCTTCTGATTCACAGGTATAGTGAAATGAAGCAAGAAATCTAAGTATGGAATAAAGTCTCTTGGAGATTTTTAAGAATGAAACATAAAGCAGATAGGAGTTATCTGGGTATATTAGTTCACTTTCTCAGTAGTGACTGATGATTACTTGGTGTTCCTACCAGCTGCAAAATTCAGTTATTTTGCTTTCTAATTGCTTATGTTATTCAGTGCTTATTTTTTTTATTTTTTTAAATCTCAGTTCTACATTTTCTGCATACTTATGGAAAACATGAAGATTTTGGAACCTTAACTTTATAAATATGATTAAAAATATATATATATATATATTTTTTTTTTTCATGTACATCATCCTGTTAGAAAGCACTTGAATATCTGGCTATATCCCTCTCAGTTTCGACTTTCACTTATTTAAAATGGTGAAGATTTTTAACTGTGTGCTTAATTACATATTTAAATGTGTGAGTTCTTCTGAATCGTAGTTTTGAATGGTTGCTATTACTGAGTAGTGATAACGGTTGTAAAGTGACTTACAGTTCACACAAATTAAAATAATGAATCATTTCTTTTACATTCATTCTAAAAAATTCAGAAGCCTTGAAATTGTAACCCTTTATTATTTGACAGTCTTGAAAACACAGGCCTCCTTATGAATTTTTCAAGATTTTTTTCTTTTACGATTTTTATTCATTTATTTATTTATTTTACTGGAAAGTATTGATTTCTTTCAATGAAAATTTAGCATAAAACCAAAAAGAGAGTGAGAACCTTTCAAAGAAATTTCTCTTGGGCCACTTCTTGGGTGGAACATGAATTTTTAGTGTTTGAAATAACAAGTTGGCATAACTGGTTTGAAGAATTTGAAGAAGGGACTTAATTCTGAGTTCCCTGGCTACATAGCCATTGGCCATTTGACTTATTATACCCTTTTTTATTGTCCTTGCTGTTTAAGTGGTAACACTTATTTTGTTTGTTTATTTTTTATTCTTTTGATACAAAATAAAATCAAGTTCTGAGACCTTATAAATTACATTCTGGTTTTCTATATTCCTCTTCTCAGGATTCATAAAGATTAGGTAAATCTGCATCAGGTCCATTGTTGAATTTTTTATTATTTTTTGTTTATAATGCTAAAAATGCTTTTATATTAAACCAGCATTTTCATAAAAATGAGATTAATAACCTGATATTTAACGTCTCACTTGAAATAAAATTATTAAAAATGGGAACAATATTAATTTAGCCTTAGATTGAACCAGATCTCTATATTTCCATGTAGTAAATTGTATTCACCTTTACTTTCACACTACTTCTAGCAGCAAAAATGTCTGGTTTATCAGGGAAATAAGTTATTTTCATGTTTACATTCTATGTTTATCTATGCTTTCATATATGTGAGGTCTGCTAGCTTTTGCTAAATGTTTTGTGCATGAATTGCCAAAATTGCTGTTTTTTCATCTTCAGCTGTGGTCACCCTTGGAGTTAAAAGCATCTGCAGTCTTAAAATTGCTGTGCAGTTTTCAAATGCATCGACACTTTAGACCACACTTCTTTCTTACGTTTGGCATGCAGACAAAAACAAACAGGTTAGCCTTTTGAAGTAATCTCTTAGCAAAACCATGGGGAATATTTTACCTCTGGTACATCCTTTAGCAATTCTTTTAAACAAAATGTGAAATTTCATATTCTCCTCAACATAGCATTAAAAAGAGAATGCATCAACTTTTCAAGTCACATTACAGTCATGTATTAATGGAGTAATGCTTTTTTTTTTTTTTTTTTTTTTTTTCTGGAAAGAATTCAACTCTTGTATCTTAGCCTTGGTAGAAGTCACAGTCTCTTTTCCTCTTCTCCAAAATAGCTCTTCCTTTCTTCCTTGTCTTATTCCACCCCACTTGAGAGGGGGAATATCTTATACCTTGTAATTGCTTTTATGGTTAATATTCTGGAGTAAATAAAGGAGCAAGTCAGTTTGAATTTGACAAGCTCATGTGAAATATTCTTCCTTATCAATATGCCTCTCAGAAGTGATATGTGCCAATCTGAGTTGAAGTCAGCCCTCTTTATTGATGATTAGAAAAGGAGTGATGATATCAAGTCCAAGTGCTGAGAGTTTGCAGTTGGGAAATAAATCACTAAGGATAGAATTTCAAAAGTGTTCAACTGATTTTTCACTTTATTCCTTTTGAGTTTGATAGTTGCTTCTCACTGACTACAGTGGGAATTGATTTAAGCAGCAGGGAATCATTTAATTAAAAAAAAAAAAAAAGAGCTTTTAAAATAGTTAGTTCAGAAGTGGAAAAAAAAGGGTATTGTTCTATGGAGCAGTCTCAAATGATTTGAGTCATTTGGCATAGTTCTAATGAGAAATAAAAACAAGAACAATAAAAAGAGTCCTAATTGTTTGAACAGTTCAAGACAGCTGGAAAACATAAACAACTGCAGAGCCAGGATGTTATATGAGAACCTCTCATAGCAGCAAGAAAAGAAACAAGAAATCTAAGAAGTCAAGTAGTTTGAAGAATGCTCTTATCAATAGTACAAACTAAGCTTTTTTTCTCCTTTTATTCAAAATTTATAGATGATATTGATTAATAATTTCAAAATTAAGTTTGCCAAACTTGTTGATGCTGGACCAGAATCTTTTATTTTTTTGTTTATTTTTTAAATTATAGTATTTCTACTTAAAATATTTATTTATCATTTATGTCTAATTAAAGATGCTGTAATTTATGTTGTGTATTATAAGAAATAATTACCACTTTAAGAATGTAAATAATTAATTTAAAATTCCTCCTATGCTTGTGTTGTTCACAAGAGTCTGTACTTCATCATTTGTGTATGTATCTTTTGTTTTCTCACTTTTTTTTTTCACAAACTTCTTTGACTATTCTTTTTGATTCTCATGTACTACTTTCTATTTCTTCTTGATTGTCATCAGGAGTTTCTTAACTCAAGTCTTACTACCTCTAACACAGTTTTACAGTCTACATTTGTCTTTCAGTAATTATTCTTTTTCACCTTCCATAGGTACACTAGCAAACTGAAAGTTTTGCTCTCTTAGGGCAACTAGAAAGTTTTCCAAGGATTTTTATTTTATTTTACACTAACACTATGCATTGTCTTGTCTTATGGCAACAACTAAGTATGGTAATTACTTTAATGCAAACTGTCCCTAAAGCCTAGTTTCTGGAGAATATCTTTGAGAAGTGAAACTCTATGACATTTCCCCAGCAATAGAGCAGTGTAGGTCTGGTATAGTTTGTTCTGTTGTTGATCATGTCCCTCCCCAAAAATAAGACCAAGTTTGAAGTTAGATGATATTGTATTTGACTTGCTTTATAACTTTTTGCCAAGTATAAATTCCCGTAATAAGAGATGCTTAGTTAGACTACAATAAAGCAATAAGATTATTGCTTATGAAGCACATCTTATTACTCTAATAAGCCTAACACAAACGGTGTGCTCCAAGTAGTCATAGACTGCATTTTCGTTACTGTAATAAGTAAAATGGCTTGTTTTCCCTCTTCAGAAAGGATATACGTTTATGGCTGAAGCACGTACTGGTGACCTGTCCATGGCAGCTGGAAGATGGAGGCTCCGGCTCATCGGTTCTCATAGTCCACTCCCGTTCCTCTCTCGTGAGGCTGTAAATAACATCTTTTCTACTAAAGAAATTAAGGAATATTACATACCCAATGACAAGCATATAATGTTCAGGTAAATATTGAGAGAAGAATGATTACATTCTGCCTTTTACATGGACTATCTGTGATAGAAAAGTATCTTCTTTCCTCATTCTTAGAATAGGAAGGTGTTAAAACAAGCATCTCAATTTTATGGTCCATCAATACTCAATACCAACTTTAACAGATCATAAATGGAAGTGTTTTCTGAAATATTGCAACTGATTAATGAAGAACAGGTATGAAGTACACAGACTATAGTTCCAAGATTGTAGTAACAGTATTCTGCATTTCTCTAGGCTCAATCTTGAAATCTTATCCATATATCATTCCACGTTACTTTTGGGGATTAAACATGCATTAAAATTAAGATTTTGCAAGTGGGGAGGAGGCATAAAGTTTGGTATATTTTTCAGCTTGTCAAACAAAGCTAGAAATAAAATTCAGAAACACAACACTGTTTTCTGATTCATCTGATCAATTTCCATCTTGCAGTGCTGGTAGAAGAGTTTCTACACGCTTTAGAGGAGCATGTAGATTGCTTTAAGAGAACATATTCAATCAGAGCATCATTATTTAGTTTTTCTTAATTGTGTTTTTTTTTTTTAATTATTATTATTAATTAGAGGGCTGTTTGTTGTTATTTGTTTGTGTTTTTATTCTTTTGCTGGGTTACTTTTTAATTAAAACAGTTCCCTCATCTGCCTAACTGTATTTTTAAATAAATTCTAGTACAGTAGGAGGGAGAATGTGTATCTGGACATTTTATAAGGTAGTATAAAAAATAAATGGCAAGACCACCCCATTTTTTGCAGCCATCCACACTTGTATTGATTATGGATTCACTGCACTAAACTACAGTACAAGAATTTTAGCCTATCAGATTCTAGGAAAACAGTTAGCTACAAGTTCAGTTTTAAATGCTTGTCTCCAGCACAGAACAACATTCAGGTATTTTTCAAAAAAAGATCTGGGACTGTTGGTCATGTTGCTGTGTCATTTTTTTTTTCTTTTTTAGGTATTCAGTAAAAGTCACAGCACCACATATTACCACAGTGCAAGTACAAACCTCTAAATCAGATGTGTTCTTTAAACTACAAGTCCTAGATAATGAGGAAGAAATTGTGAGTGTCACTGGAAAGGGCCATGCAGTCATTCCTGCTTTTAATTTCTTGAGTAATGAAACACATTTGAGTTCCAATGGTGAGTATTGTATTCAGTATTTGATGGTTTTATTCACTATGGCATATATATTTTTACAGTAACTTTAGATAACCACAGAAAATAGAATTTTCCACCACTTTTTCATGAAATCCCTAGTGGCTTTGTGATTGAGTGAAATCAACTGTATTCTTGAGCAATGGATAGGAATCCTTGTCCCTCAGCAACGAGGAGAGATACCAAAACAATTGATTGAAATAAGATGCCCATCCTTATTTTATTCTTCTGGGGATTGGTCTTATTTTGTAACTAAGTAGAGTTGACTGAATAATTGAAGTAGTTTCTCAGTTCTGAAAATTTCATGCATATGTTTTCCTTGTCCTAGAGAATGCAAATATACATTTTTTTCAAGATCTTGCCTTTATTTGTTTGATCTTCAAGGTCAATGTTTTGTTTTTGTTTAAAAAAAAAATGTTGCCCAAGTTACAGCTCATGGTGGAATATTCATAGATTATACTGAACCCTATCATTTGAGTGCACCATCTTAAGCATTACTCCTTTTAGCAGAAACACATGTTATTGGCTTATCCACCATATAAGCCAGAGTACAAACAAAAAGAATAAATGAGATTTTCTTAAGGATAAATACTGTCTGGTTTTGACTCTGCCTCTACAGCAGCTACATAATGTTCATCATGGAAATGGAAGTCACTGAAGGAAAAGCTACTTGCTCAAGACTTTCAAATTTATTAAAGGTTCATATTGTCAACACTTTATGACAGCAAGTGAGATACTGAGGAAGTTATCCCTTATGGGAGCATATGAATTTAAACAAAATTTCTTTTAGCCCAAATTTATTTGAAATAAACACCCACCATTCCGCTCATTTTTTGCCTGAAAATTTGAATCTGAGAAGTTTATTCACTAAAGGTGTACTTTCTTTTATTTATTTATTTTTTTTCCAATTAAATTTTATTGTTGTTCATTATATTGCAGTCTTGTCAACTTGGCTCTTGTTCATGGTGAGAACTGGTCTGTGTTCAAAGGTCATCTTTCATAAGTATGTTAAAATTCACATATTTGATCAAATGCTTTGGAACTAGTGATTGTACCTAATATAAATCCAGAGGACATTAATTAAAACTGACTCTGTGCAATCCAGCAAACCAACATTGTGAATATATACTCTGTGTCCAAAGTTGGCAGCATATAAATACCTGGTGTAGGGGACAGGGAGAGAAAGAAAGTAAGCTAGGCTCTTCTCTAGTGATGCCCATTCACAAGAAAAGAGGCAGCGGGCACAAACTGGAATATAGAAATGTAAAAGTAAGCATTATAAAAGTTTTTGTTTGTTTGTTTTTACTCTTAGAGCAGTCAAAGATTGGAACAGGTTGCTCAGAGATGATTTGGAGTCTCCAACCACAGTAATCTAACCACAGTTGGAAGTGGCTATGAGCCACCTGACCCTGCTTTGAGAAGGGGATTTGAAATGGATAATTTCCAGAGGTTTCTTTCAGTCTCAGTCATTCACTGGTCCTGTGATAGGGGCAGTCTCATGCGTTGTATTTTTTTTTCCTTCCCTTTTTTCTTCATGATGCAAAATTAATCCAGTATTCTTGGATATTATGTACAACTGAGCAGGTACTCATTTCCAACCAGACTGAATAGAGACAACCTTCAGTTTGAGATTATAGTAATGCTTTGTTTTCAGGCCTATGGTGGAGCAAGACAACTTCCTGCACACTCTAGAGAGCGTAGTTAGCTTATCTAGGTGTCTGCTTTAATGCTTCAGTTCCAGGCTTTCAGAAGTTTAAGTTTTGCCAAACTCAGTGTTCAAGAGCTATGATCAGATAACAGCTGTTTGTTACTGGCATTTTTATGGTTTGATAACATTAGGGCTGGGGCATTCAAGAAGCTAGAAAAGAAACTGTATTGAAAGGTTTTGTCATCTAAAATTATGTTCGGCCAGTTGATTGACATTTGAGTTCTAAGTGGTGCTTAATTTTTCTGTTCAGAACCAATAAATACAACTTAATGAGATATGTGATTCTTAGGTGTATTTTCTACAATTGTCCCTGCAATACTTTGGTCATTTTTAATGTAAATGATGCATGTTCTACATGTTTCTGCTACATTTATTGTATCTAGCAGATTTGAGATCAGTCACTGTTGTGACATATTTTTTTTTGCCTAATCTTCATTTGTTTTAGTTTTATATACACTTCACTTATTAAGACTATCAATTTTACTAGTAATATTGTGTCATATTTTGAATTTTCCACTACATCTATAGTTTTCATTTTGAAAATCTTCAAAATCTTGTAATCTTCATAAGCATTACAAATTCACTTAAATAAAGCAATTGCTTATAAGCACTCAGGTCAGCTACTGTACTCTCCATGTACACCACTATGAACCAGCATTGTAAGATTAAATTCTTAAGTCCTTTTATGAAGAATTTTAAACAATGAATCCTCTGTAAATCAATCAGTTTCTGCCTGTTTGAGCATATTCAGATCCTAAGGCAAAGACAAAATGTACAGATACCAGATTATTGCTTTGCTAAAGCCCAAAATAGCATTGTATTTCATGTGTTCATCTTCACTATTTTGAACTGTGTAGTTTTGCAACTTGATGCTTTAGGAAAAAAAATAAAAATCTAAATTTCCAATGCTTCATGGGAAAATTAAGTAATTTCTTCATGTTTATGAAACACGCATCTTGCTATTTCCATTAAAGTGAAATTAAATGCAACAGCGAATATGCTCTTAAAATGTAATTAATCAGATGACAAAGTAAGTATTTAAAAGAAGTCACGGAGAAACCACCATGTTACTCTGACTGAATTACCATGGTAATCAATGGTTGCTTTTGATTACTGTTTTTGGATGTGGGAATGGATTAGTAAATTTAACAGTAAACTGGTGAAAAAAGTAGGAAAGGCACAGGATAGCTGAGATTAGGATTAACAGTACAAATACTTGAAATAAATTGCCAAGTTACCCTCAGTAACATGAAGAAAAAAATTCCTTCAGAAAACCAGCTTGTTGACAAAGATCATAGTCTGAAGACTGGAATAATTTGAAAGGCACTATCAGAAGAAAGAAGAGAAATGGGTTCCAGCTGATGTGGGAAGGGAGAGGATGGAGCAGAATAACTAACGGGGACATCTTGTCTTTGCCACTGCAAGCAGGGGAGATAGACAGGAGGAACTTTTCAAAATATCCTCAGAAATAATACACGCACATTAGGCTTTTATTTCAGCACATAAGACTAAGAGATTCAGTTACAGTAACATGCTTGAAAATAGGAGTGTTGTCATTTCATGTTCATATTCAGAAGTGGAGCCACTGAATTCTAACTGGAAAAAAGTAGTAATGATTTATTTTCTTTTAATGAATTCTATTTTTGCATGTTTTTATAATGTATTTGAAAGTGAAATTAATATTATGATGCCATTTAAGTGTGTGTGAGTATGCAGAGATGCATCATTTGGAAGGAGAAACTGTGAGGTAGTGACTATTTGCTGATTTTTATTATTATTTTTACAATACTACACCATGTGCTTTAACATTGAAGTTCTCTTCCAAAATATAGGCATTCTATATATCACAAAGTCCACCTGTTGTGAAAATGTTCCAAGTCTTTCAGATAATCAGAACAAACAAACAAAAAGATTATGAAATGTACACAGTATAAAAAGTGTGACAACATCACATTACCCAACCTGCTGAGTGTGTGTAGGTGCAATTTATAGCACTCTAAAAGCATGTTTCTTTACTGTTGCCAGAAGTTTTAGGAAATTATGCCCTGTACAATAACAGAATTGGAACCTCCATACATAATGATGAGAAATTCAGGTAGGGATTCGTACAATGGATGTACAATACGAGATTCATACTATTGGTATCCACTTGTTCTCTTAAAAAAAAAAAAAAAAAAAAAAAAGAGAGAGAGAGAGAAAGAGAGAGAGAAAGAAAAAAAAAAATCCAGAAGGCACTGCCTAATCAAGGTAGGTGTGAGTTCCTTTTAGTCAGAAGTTTGCTTACAAAAACCGAGATGAACAGATAGGTATGCAAGAGGAAAATTAATTTGATGTAACAGCACCACCTGGTGACAAAGGCTAGAAGTGTTATTTTGCTTGTGTATGCTTTTCAGGGAATTTTCCGGCCAGCATGTGGTCTCATGTAGGATTACATCATTCTAAACTGAGTTATCGTTATGGTAGGATCATTCCCTTGGCAAACTATCATAGAATTATTGAATGCTTACGCTCTTCAGGTTTAGGAGAGTGAAAAGAAGAGGACATTGAGGCATTCCTGAAAGTTAATTACAGCCTAAAGAATATCACCTCCCTTGAATCCCATTTACCATAACACTTAGAGGTAGGCTTCTCCAGAGGACAGCTGCAGAGCTCCTAAAACTTAGAAACCACTCGCTGCAGAGGAGCTCACCTCTGTTGACTACAAGGAGTACATTTATTTGGCTTCGCTACTTTAAAGCTACCTTTTGGTAAATTCTTTGCACTATTGCTTAATGCCAGCGCTCAAGCGGGCATTGAAGATCATTCCTTATTAGAAATGTTTATACAAATATTGTGAATGGTAACTTCAAGGCAAGTTATCCAATTGGAAAAAGTCTGTATGCAGAATTATTCTTCCATTTGCAGTCGGGATTGTTTCTTTACAGTAGAAAAGAATACTTTCTCTGAGATCTTTCTCTGAGATTACACATTTGAAAACACAGACTAAAGTTATGGGAGGATAAAACAAAAACAAACATGAGAGTATATATAACAATAAGATTTCTCTGTATATGTCTCTGTATATGGCTTTTTAGAATATCAGATTGAGTATTAAGCTAGTGTTATTCATTTTCACCTGCATTCAGAATTCCTAGGGTTATATTTTTCTTCCATCTGTCACAAGAGGTGGGTACAAATTTTACATAAATCCCACAGTAGTCTTGAGTTCTTTAGCCTGAGAAAGAGTTACCTACTCTTGCACACTTCCCTTTTGAAAGATTTTAATTTTGTGTGAATGTGCACAGGTTTAAATTTTCTGGACTAATACTTCTGTTATAGCCTTTATTTAGCACATTCCCGGTTTCACAGTTTTCCCACATCAATACCTCCTGTAAGAGATCAGGATATAACTTTATAAAAGATAGATTACAAATAGTTCTATACATCTTTTCAAGATTGGCTTTGTTTGAGCTGTCATCTATGACCTTTGTGCCAGGTTGATGTAAGAGACTTCTGTAAGGATAGCAGTTGCCAAAACTGTGGCAAATGCATCCCTCCCCTCCTTCTGCAAATTTACACAATTTATTAAATTAGGTTAATTGGGTATCCATTAAATAGAGTATGAGGCTATCCATATTATGTAATATATAGCACAGTGCTGTGATGGTTAGTGTTGGAGAGGAGTGTGGATTTTGGAGGGAAACAAATTATAAGCTTTTTTTATAAAGAGTAAGAACAGTTGGTTATACAGTCTTTCAAATTTCTTACTATGAAGGGGTTTGTGGTTTGTATGAAGAATGAAATCAGGATAACAAGCATAACTTTAATTAGAACCTTATGATCACAATGCAGCATGAGAAAATTGACTATAGTAGTAATTCTTTGTATAGTTTCTGGTGGCATCTGTTTACTTTATACTAATAGTTCACAGAACTTCTGGAAATTAACACTTACATTTCTAATCATCTTGCAGGAAGTAAAACCCAGATTATTCAAAGCATTACAAAGAAGGATTCAGAAACTGGTGCATTCAAAAAAAAAGGTCATATTTCAACTCCAAAGGATACCAAAGCTTCTTTCAAGCTGGGACCTTTAAAAGAAGGTTTATATACATTAGAAGAAGAATCCCTCCTCTTGGAAAACTTTGAAAATAATCATGGAAGCCCACAACAAGTAAGAGATTTCAAATTACTGGAATTTAGTGGGGAATTCAGTGAAGAGGTATTGATAATTCTTTTAGTGCATGTGGAGATCTGATATCCTGAGGCATGAATGAGGAAACCAAAATTAAGATTGTTGTTAGATTCTGAGTGAGCCTGTGGAGAAAGGATAATGTACCTATATGAATAACCAACTAACAAGGGGTCATTTTTGTTTTCAAATCAAGGAGGTAGATGTATTTAGTCCTCAGGCATTCTTCACATACCAAGTTAAATTCAAATATAACATGGCTTGCAGCTAAGAGACAAAAAAATACCAGTAACAAGTTAAACTTCTGATGTTTCAATGCGACTTTTCTTTGACATGTAATGTAAGAAAAGGCCAGCTTTATTAATTCTGCTGCAGAAGCACCAATTGCCAGTCAGCTGAATGCTTTAGTAACACACACACATGCTTCTTCAGCCTAGAGTTGCTTAGAGAGGGATGTCAAAATTGTGAATTTCTCTTAACTTTACCTAGTATTAGTTTCTTAGAAAATAATATTTTGTTTTAGCATTGCTTGTTTCTCTGTTTCCATGTTTCTCTATGGTTTCTTCCTGATAATTGAGTTCAATTGCAACAGAATATTATAAGAAAAATAAATCATTGATAACTAATTTCCAGTATTTTTTCTTTGACTAAATACTGGCTTTAAGAGTTGGAAAACAATTTTTTAAAAGTATTGGGATCATTTCCTGTTCAGTGTAAAAAATGTTTCAGACAACCCACTTACCCAGCCATCTCTACCTCACTTTGTGATATTATTGAATGCTGGTATTAGTGCTCAAAGCTCTGTAGTAGGTCTTAAAATGAAAGAGAATTCTTTGTCTTAGCACATGGCATACACAGGAAAGTAACATGGAAGATTTAATGGAATGTAGCTCCTTATTGTATAGTCCAATTTAGTTTCAGTTCATTAAACACATGAGTAATTGTTTAATTTCACAGGAATTAAAATAAAATCTGTGGAATTAACACTAATTTTTTAAGCTTCTTGTGAATACTGTAATGTGCAGGCTTGTAAATTAATCATGTGTTTCATTTGCTGAGTTCAATGGCTGCTACTTTACTAACCTACAGGGTTTTTAAATACTTTCTGTAGTTATGTCCTCAGCATGTTAACATATTGCATTTTCTTTCACAGTGTCACAAGTATATCATACAGGCATTAGTGTTATATAATAGTTGGTCACTTACAGAGAGTCAGTTGCTGTTTGTTCAGACAGTGAAAGAAATGGAGAAAAATGAAATCAAAGGTACGTCACCCTTAATACATACTCAGATGCTTTATGTTACTGATTTTTTTTTAATGTATATTGCTAAAAGCCTAGACCATATATTTCTTTTATTCACTGTTTGAGTGAAATAATTAAGCAATAATCTCTTTGTTCTGAGGTTTATAGAACTGGAGTTTAGTTGTGTGATTCCATACCTTCAATTCAAAAATGATCAAAAATTCAAAAAAGAAATCAGAGGTTACCTGAGCTTCTTAGAGCTCAACTTTAGGTAGGGTTCTAGAACAGTTGCCAAAACATGTCTGAGAGACCAATGAAGTGGCACAATGTCCTGACAGACTAAATCCAAATATAGAAGTTTCTACTGAAAATGGAGATGCATGCCTGCTAATAATTTAAGAAAATGCACTAACAGGAAAGGACAGAAGGCCTGTTTTCAGGATATGTATTACTTCTGTACAGCCAGGGACAGGTCCCAAGAATATGCTTTGTATTCTAGCCAAGAAGGGGATGGAGAAATTGCATAAATATTCTGCAACCTTACCCCCCCCCCCCCTTTTCTTTTTCAGGGACATAAAAAACAACACATATTAAAAGTATTTAGAATATTAGTAAGTATCTTAGAGGCTATACAAATGTCTCATATTTTCTTCTTTTACCACTGATACTGAATATTTTAAACCCTAAATATTGTAAATGAAAATACATCTTGCTGGATCCAGCAGCTGGATTGAGGCTGCTGTAGCTCCTTGTCGCCAGCTCCAACCAGTAGGGAGGCTGAAGTTGTATTCCCAGCAGGCATGTGTACACAGAACATATGGAAACTACATATATAGATGTATATACACGTGGCCAACCATATAGATCATGGACAGGTGCTCAGAGTGCTCACGTGAACACAGGCAGCACCAATGGCCTTATCCTGCTTCCTTCTCTGTCTGGACAGAATGGAAGTCTAGTGAGACTATACATGTATAAGTAGGATCTTTCCAGCACTTGGGCTTATACACCTAGTCTGGTCCCTGGATCCCAGCCTCTCCAGCTGCTGACATCTGAAAATACATACCCTTGAGGCTTCAGCTGTACACCAGTTGCTGGTACAGACTGTAGTGTGCACACATGCAGCTGGCCAGGTCATCCCAGGTTCCAGTAGCTGTGCTTTCTTTCCTGGAGATGCACAGGCCCTCCTGCATCCAGAACTGGCCCTTAGAGACCCATGAACCCCTTTGCTCCCAGCCCAGTTTGTCTATTCACTCACTGGTCCAGCTTGATCATATCTAGCAATTACATGCTTGCTTGCAAAGCAGCACTCTCTAGTTGCTGCACTGCAGACAGATGGGCCCTCTGACCCATGGTCTGGCTCCAGTTACACCCCCATCTGTACACATTTACATGGTATCAACTCAGGAAAGTGTTAGAAAGTAATTCAGTAAGAAGATAAGACAGACTGCACAGCTCAGGCACGAGGCACATTTGGACAAGTGTGCTGAACAACAAACTATTGACATGCAGCTGTCAATTTTTAACCTCTTTCTCTATTTTCCCACTCTTGTTCCTCCCCAAAACACCTAAATCCATCCCTTTATCCAATTTTGGTTCCTCCCTTAAACATCCCATGATAAATCCTGTAGTATACCAAACTGCTTTTTTTCCCCACATCCTGTAATGCGTTCAACCCCTAGGCTGTAACCACCTGAAATGGGAAAGGTGATATGGATAGCTGCTCTGCATGTCTCATTGTCATGGATTCCATGCCTGGACGGCTCTTGGGAGGAGCCTGGACAGGGTGTTCCTCAGAAATCCTGAATTTGGGGCTGATGGCTCCTGGGAGAGATTTGGGAGTAGCTCAACAGGGTATTTTCTGCGCTGCCCCTCCTGCCACTGTCTCTCTGAGCTGTTTTGCGGGTGTGCAGATGAGCTTTTATCAGACAATCTAACCCTATATAGATGCACTTACTGGTTAGAGAAGCTACAAATGAAATGGGATGTTACAGATTTTTATATATTTTTTTTCTTTAAAATGTGAATTCATCAGTCCATTTGCTTATGAATATCTCCTATAGTTCAAAATAGTCTAATATCAAAGCATAATTTATGAGGCATTCTTACAAACAAAAAGCTTAAAGCTACCACAGTAATAACTACAGCAGTAATATTTGTGAAAACTTGCTCTCAAAAATGCTGTTTAGAGGTTTCTTTTGTCACCAGGTTTCTAGCATCTTTTTACCTCCATTATAGTCTTAATTCTGGAGCTACTACTTGAATCTTGTGTCAGAGGGAATATTTCTTTCGGTTTCTGGCATTCTTTTGCCTCCACCCCACATTCCCACAGGCACCAAGGAAATGTATTACACTTCCTTGTTGTATTTCTTTTAGAAGAGTTCACATTAGTTCCACCTGTTGTAATCTAGTAATCTGTCACTCTGAATGAAGATCACCATGCAGTCTACAAGATATAGAAGTTCCCTAGAACAGTGAAATTTCAATTTTTGTTTAGGTCATCAATGAATAAAATCCACACTGCATATATGCAGTACTTTCTGGGCTCAAAGCTAACTATTTATACTGCTAGCTGATGTGTATAATATATTTGGTGGAAGAACTAAACTGTAAGATGAAGTTTCATCATCGATTAGAGTCTGAAGGCATCTTTCTGTTAAGATGATTAGAGTAATGTTTGCAGAGTAATATTGACCTTATAATATGTTGTAAGAAAGCACAAGATTTATATTGTCTAATACAGCCAAACACGATACCATCTAAATGCTAACTGCATCAGCATGTATGTAAAATTCTACTAAAAGGCCAAAATGAAAATCTGTTATTTCGATTTTCTAGTTGCTTTGTTGACAATTGTTTCAAATTGAAAATGTATTGTATTTGTTTATAAATCACATTAACTGTTTCAATATCTGTAGAATGCATCTCCCACTATAATATCTTTAGGTCAACCTCTGCTTGTAAACTCATGCGTTCAATTTCGGTTTAGACAACAGTAGATTTATTATTTGTTAGCCACCACAGCTGACAAAGTACCAATTTCATAACTCGTAAATTCAGAGTTAATGCCTCCGAAATGTGGATTGATATCTGACTTTTTGGTATGGAAAGTTATATCTGCTTGAGTTGAAAATGGGACAGATTACACTGTATCGTGAACACAATAATATTTGAGAGGTTGTGCCTTACAGACGGATTCACAGACAGCTATTTCAGTAGTTATTTTACCCTCTTAGTTTGTTGTTCACAAAATTGCATCCTCTTGCATTGTGTTAAGCTTCTGACTTGGCTACAGCTTGTTTTTAACATACCAGCCATGCTTCTGGTGTCTATCCTTTCCTACAACTGCCACAATGATCTGTAAAACTGTGGGTCAAAGGAGGTCACAATCTCTGATTTTTTTTCGCTTTTTTTTTTTCTTTCTTTTGCTAGTTTTCAGCTGATACTACTGAAACTTGTCATTAACTTGAATAGTATCATGTTCAGTTCCTAGTGGCAGTACTCAGTCATAATTTCCCTTCTCCATTTTAGCTGATACCTTGACTCATTTATAGTCAAACAGAGTCAAGTCACAGCCAGCGTTAATGAGATTTTTCTATTTGGGTTCTTTTTAAATAGAGATTTCTGTGTCCTCCAATAATTGATGCCTTTCAAAGTAACCAAAATCTATTTCACAGTTCAGATTAACTGTGTGTTTCTGTTTATATAAGAATACCAATTGATTGTGTTCTCATGGAATAAAAACTAGATTGCCCAAGCCACCAACAGTTTAAAAAACAACACATACCAACACTTCCTGTATTTACTACTTAGCATTTATTTTATGTACCCCTATTAACAGCAATTTTTAACTAGAGTGCTTAGTATAGGTAGGTATTTTGGAGTAAACAACATTTAATCTCTGAATGTTTTTCTGATGGTGAACCAGTTTTCAAATTAAAGCAATTTAATTTGCTGCCAGCACCACTTGTCAAACACACAATTCATATAATAGCAATGTTGGTGCTTAGCCAAAAAGACATCTTCTCACCATATGATTTTTAAGAAAGCTGCAGTGAGCCAGGTGGAAAATTCCTGCAACAAATCACAATTTCAGGTACCGCTTTTTCATGTAAGGCAACAGTGCCATCTGGAGTTAGTTTTGTATTAAAGCTCATTCGTCACTGCAAAGAGTATTTCTGCTTTGTATCACCATTTACCAGTTTTTTAAACTAGGAGACTCATACTACTCATTGGTATTAAATGCTTGTTAGGAACATTTGTGAAGAAAGTAAGTTTTCCAGCATACAGGTGTTGTGATGATTTTTTTACTTTGTCTTTGTTGTTTCTCTTTTCTTTCTTCATAATCCTTAATACTGAAGTTGGACAATATTTGCAAGTAGAACTGTTAGCAAAAGGTATTTCATGACTAATATATAGTCATATTTATTATTTATGACTATTATTAATAATAGTCATATTTATATAGTCATATATTATTTATAATATATATATATATTATATATATAGCATCTTATAAAATATTTTATTAAATAAAACTTTGCACAAGTGAAACAATAAAAAAACATTAGCCAGGATAACCCAAGTAAACAGAAATCAGAAAGTGCCAAAAATATATATTGATTTTTATCTACATCTCTTCCTACTCCCTGGGATCTGTTAATGGTGCAAGACTTCAGTGGAAAAATTGTAAAACATAAAGTCTGGATTCTTATGCAAAAGGGAAAAAAAAAAATTAGAAGGAAATCTTGCAACTGCCAATACCATTTTAAGTTGATTGTGTGAGCAAAAATATTTTAAGATTTGTTTTGTATATTTGATTTTCAGCCACTTTTGGGAGGAGGGGGAAGATGCCGGGAGGTGTTAGATTTTACTTTTGTTGCAGTAAGAGCAGATGTTTTATTGTGCAACTGTAGCAACCCAAAAGTTGAATCATCAGTGGGGGCTGAATACTGACTGCAACACATATTTTAGATATAGCCCAAGTTACCTCATCAGTTTCAACTGTCAACTAGAGCAGTCTGTCTATCAAGCTAGCATAGTAGGGTGAGATCAATTGCCCAAACCAGGCAGGAAAGGCAATATCCTTTGGAATATAACCTTTTTTTCCTCCAGAGCAGCGAAAGTTTCTTGCACTTATTCTGTCTTCCCACAGGACAACTTGCTGTCTCATTCTAGGGCAGAATTTTGTGAGAAGTTTAGCAGGATGTTCCTTTCTTCCTTTCTTCATCTCTTTCCCATCTTGCCTGTCTATAGTAAGTAAGTGATCACTTCCCTGGTGTTTGATGAAGCAGATGAAAAAAAATAGACCACTGAGAATACATGATGGCACTACAGTTTTAAGACCTGTAGTCAACTAAGCCATGCTTTAACCTCCCCATACAGTATTGGTGGTTTGCTTCTGTTCTGGTGCAGCTTTACTGCAACTTAAGTGTCTGGATGAGCCCAACTTTAAAAGATCCTTGACATTTCTATCTGTCCAGAATCATTTTCAGGGTCCAGTCAGAGACGGGAAAAGCAACAGCTGAGATTCTCAGTCATTCTCCAGCTAAACCTAAAAGCTTTCATGGGACATGTAACAGTCCTTTCTGTTAACTACTGTATAATCCCACTAAGTGCTTACAGCATGTGGGAGATACAAGAAAGTATTTGTATCTCAATCAGAAGTTACGAGTTTGAGACAGGAATTCTTTGGTGTAATTATTCAGCTTGTTATAGACAGGACTCTAGACTGGATGTCGCTATGGTCTCTTCTGGCATTAGAGTAAATGAATCTCTGACAAATGACTGTAAAGTTCTAGAGAAGCTAATTTCAAAAGTTGCTACCAGCTGTTCGTCATCACTGTCAATTGGTGTGATGCCCAAACTTTCCTGTGCGCCATACATATACAATAACTGCCACTGAGAGTTTCTGATGATTGATGCATCTCTTGTCAACTGAAATTCAGCCATGACCTTTTACTTTCTGTATTCTCTCTCTGCCTTTCTGCTTTTTGCATCCCAGTGCAAAGCATTTGTGTAGTTTTGGCCTTGGGAAAAGCCCCAAGGAGCCACTCACATTCTCCCTTACGGCCTGAGTGGACTGCAAGCTCTATTGCCCGACTGCAGTCAGTGCCCACTCCAGGAATTTCTGGAGGATGATCCCCAAATCAGTGAAATCTGCTGAGGGAACATGGACAACACAGTCTACTGGTAGCTAGCTGTGAGAGCTCAGCTGAATCCCGTCCTAAGACCCCACACTAGAAATTAAAACAGAATAGCTCATTTTAGCCCTGTCATTTCATATGCTCAAATGATATATATTGAGAAGTTAGTAATTAAGTCCAGAACATCAAAATATGAAATTTCAGAGTTGTAAAATATTTATAGAATCCAGACAAAGCTTGTGTTATCCAATGCAATAGATATTTTTTGTCTGATATGATTTAGCTAATAACACTGAATGTCTCTTGGTGTTTGCATAAACAATAAATAACTTATCTTTAACAAATAATAATTCACTGAATAATGCATGTGCACTAGTCTGATTTATGGTGCTAATATGTTATGATAATGTGAAATTAAATGGAAAGACACTTGTGTAATGATATAATTTCAAGTAACATTATCACTGTTTTATATTTGCATTTCCTCTGGAGTTGTTTTAGTAGCTTCAATATTTGTAGAGACTGCTTTAAGTTTTGATTTCCTTATTTAACGTATGCTTTGTTTGCATTGAATCAATTTATGCTTAGCGCTTTGGTACCATTGTACATTATTTAAGGAGATACATTATTTGAGGAGAATAGAATGTAATTTATACATAAACACACGTAATATATATTTTAATATACATATGTAATATTATTTACATTTGCATGTGTAGTTACTACATGTATGTTATAAATATGCTTGTATACATTTCAAATTTACATTTTATATTTCCATATAAGCTCAGCCACAGCATTGCAGATCTGATCCAATGCTCATTAAAGCCAGTGGAATATCTTAGTGGACTTTGGAGCAAATCAAGCAGCACTTTGATTTGCCCTCCATGGAAAGAGATTAGAAAAGCATAGCATTAAGTGAAAGGTGCCTTGTTATTATTTTCAGACTCTAAAACAGTTACTAATTTCCTCTTTTTCAAAGAGAAATTGCCTGTTTAATTTAATTGATCAAATCTAGGTTTTCAGCCATTGTTTTAATGTTTCAAGCACTATGAATGTAGGGTGAGACAGATTTCAGACACTGATCTTTAATCTTATATTGTTGTGGATCCAGTCCAGCTTGTTTCAGTTGACTTGTTCCAATGCTATTAAATCTGTATTCTATTGCAGAATTCATTTATCCTTTTTTATTTTTTAACAAGAATATGGCATGCAAAAAGTCTAGTTAATAGCTCCCCCCGGCTAAGACAGTGCAGAATGAAAGTGTCACAAATGTCATTTCTCAGCATCTTTACTTCAAACACAGGTCATACAATGAGCACATACTTGTGAAGATTAAATAACTAATCCAAAAATTTGTCTGACTATTGTCTGACTATTCTCATTATTATTATCGTTTTAATTTTCCCTAGTATGCATCGTCTCAAATATGTTTCTTTGTTTCAAGTTTCTTACGTTTTGGGGTGTGGTTTGATTGTTCATTTGTCTGTTTTGTTTGTGTGTGCTTCTTCCCTTCCACTCTTTCAGGTTTACAGGGATATGAGGTAGTGAGAATGTTGGCTTTGACTACTTTGAACTTCTCACCTACCAGGTGCATTGCACTGATAGAATTTGTATGAGACTATATAAAATAACTAAGAATCAGATTATTATACTGTAGATTGCAATCTCCTTTTTGGACTGACCCATTGACAAGGCAACAGTGCAGGGACTCTGGTAAAATGACCATTAAGTGCCATTTAGAACAAATAAGGCTGTCAGAATACAACCACCTTGTAAGTCTATTCTTAAAAATTGTTTTGTCCCCAGTTTATTTCTTATTCCAATAATTAATTATACTATAGTACTTAACAGTATCATCTAATTATTTGGCTTTTCTTTGTCTTTCCTCTTGCTGTTCTATTCTGTTATTCCATCCTGTATGTTATATGGGGAAAATACATTTATGGATGACCACGGTATCCCTCAATTCACTGTGCATCGTAACTACATGTGAACAGCACATGGTGAAAAACATGAGGAGCGCAGTTTTCTTCCAGCACTCAGTAATCTTGAAGGACAAAGGTCTGCAAGTGTTCCTAAATCAAACAGAAAATCAAAAGAGAAAGCAACTGAGAAGACAGAAAAGGACAAGTCCAATAAAGATAGGGGATCACTTGTGTCTCTATTTCAACCTGAATGTCAGGTGAGAAAAAATTTAAGAATTTGGATTTGTTGAAAGTGTAATATTTATGCTAAGTATTTTCTGTTCTGTTGATCAGAATTGCTAGTACTTTTAGTGTATCTCTTGTGTTTCTCTATGCCCTGCTTTGCCAACTTCTTACTTTACACCCAAAAACGATTGAATTGCACATGTAAAGGACAGGTATCCTCCATTTAGAGATGTGATGTGCTCATTTCTTTACGTGTAACACAACCACTGGCAGTTTCTTTTGAACATCTAGTTTCTGTCTCTGCTGAAGTTTTATTAAATTCCATTAATTTGTCATCTTGATTTCTAATTAGTCACTTGTACTGGTTTTCATGGAACCCTCAGGGAGATAAAATAGGTCTTTTCCTTAGGTTAGTTCCTCTCTTACATGTTACAATTGTTATTAGCTTATAGATTTACAGTGGAAGAAAAATCACTTACCTGCTTGTAAATTCTTCTCATCTGTGGTAGGGTAGAATGTATTGTGGTTGACCAACCTGTATGCATGTTTTAAAAGTAATAACTGACTTTATGGATTGCAAACAGATTAATATAAGGTGAAGAAGAAACTGGCAGGTCTTCCTTTAATAGCATTGCCTTCGCTGTTTTTTGGTCATTTGTTCATTTTCGGCTGCCTCATGGGTGGTATTTCAGTGGGAGAACATCTCCATTTTTTTTTTTTTTGTGAAGAAATTTCTACTACATTGTTTTGTTGAATAAAGTTATTGCACAGCAAGCTTCCTTATGATTCATATCCACACCTCATCATATTGAGTTCAGGAACAGTGCCTTAACCCTTCTTCCAGAGCAGTCAGAGTGGCTGCATTTGAGACAGTTAGCCACATAAATGTGATGCAGTTCCAGGCTGTGTCAGATTTCTGCCTTCAGCTCCAGTGTTGGGGTATGCTACAGCTGCTGGGATGATAGGTTTTGTGAGCTCTTCAGTGCGTCACAAAAATAGATGCAGGTTTCAAGAGGAGACTGCCTGCTGATTAAGAAGATGTCTGCCTTTAGTCATGAAGAAAAGCTGAGCTCCTATCTCTACCTCTGAATCTTGGGCTTCAAGCTTCTTGAGATGGTACACTTTTGAGAAATATTTGCAGCACTGTATTTTATTTATTAGTCAGACAGCAGAATAGACTCCTACCCTTTGAGCACTACTTGCATCCTATGGTTCTGGAGAAGCTTGCATTAAAGTAGTTTAGAGAATTTGGGAAGTGACTGGAAAGAATCTGATGCCAACAGAGATAGAGCAAGATACATTTCTACAGAAAAATCCAGGTTAAAAAGTAATAAGACTTCTGGGGAAAAAAAAAAAAAAAAAAAAAAAAAAAAAGCGTGGAAAGAAGAAAAGGAAAGTAAGGGAAGGAATGAAGGAAAAAAAACTTGACAGGGAGATAATTACATGGAAAAAAATGTTCAGACTGTTGAGAAGAGCTGGGAATGTAAAGCATGCTAGATTAGGGGTTGGGCAAGGCATACAAACTAAGGCATACCTTAGAGTGGCTTGTTGCAAAGCAAGTTTCCTTTTCCTTTGTCAGCCAGTTTTTGTTTAGTTATGCAAGTCAAAGTCTATCAATGTATAATGTATACCAGCTGTGAAAATTACAAAGGTACAGAAATACAGTTTCATTCTAATAGTAGTAATAGATTTATATTTATAAATATGTTTACGGTACTTCACTTTCAGCAAGATGCTTTAAACAAACCGTACTGGACTTTACGTCTAGTTAGTGAGCAGAGAGAGGCAGAAGTTCTGGAGGTGAAGAAAGACACCCAGCGAGCAGATGAGATCAAAGCCATGAAACAAGCATGGGAGTCTGCAGAGCCAGGAAGAGCTGTCAAGGTAATCAGAGAGCAATCCTTGTGGTAATGTGTCTTCACAAGTTGCAAAAACTGTTGTGACAGCTGAGCAGTTACCAAAACTGAGACACAAGTTCTTGACTCTCCTCTTCACCACTTGGTGGAAGATGGGAAATTTTTTCACAGCCGAAAGTATCAAAAGTGCTGATGTGCATGACTTCTGGCAGGAATCTATATCGTCTACTTTAGGCTTCTTGAGATCACTGAGACTTTAGTTTCTGTTTTACTGAACAGAGAAAAGATTCTCCTTAGAACACTTGCTACCTCTGCACAACTGCAAAGCTGCCACTTGTGGCAAGCTGAATGTTTACCATGAACAGATTCTAGTGAGAAATACATTGCTATAAACATGCCAGGAAGATTCCTGTTGAAGAACTGGCACCTGGCCATATCATCAATCTAATTGTCTCCTACAACCAGGATTCCTAAATTCCTTCCGGGTTGCAGGTACCCATGAGCCTGTACATGCCACTGTGTATTAATCCACCATTTTGGAGAAGCAATCCTAATTCAGATGTATCAAATGCAGCTGGGCTCTTTTAACACAACAGTGTTAAAGATATATCTCAGAAGCAAAACCTCATTCATGGGTCTTTCCAGTTACATTGGCAGATTTTCTCATTTTTGTGTATGCAAAGCTCATACAATTTTCTGACACCATTTTATTAAATTCTGATCTAAGGAGAGATGCATTTCTTTGTGGTTTTGGTTGGTTGTGCTGGGACTGAAAATGCAAGCACTGCTTCCTAAAGATTAACTGGAAATGACTCCACTTTGATGTGACCACTTTGATGTACCCACTTTGATAGACTCTTCAGAATGCTGTTCTATCACCATTGCCTCTTTTTTTTTTTTTTTTTTTTTGCTCTGAAAATCAACTGAATTACAGCTAAAGGCTTCCATTTTAAAAGCTTCTTAGGTCTATGGCAATATTCTAAACCAGCTATGATTATGAAAATTACATGCAGTAGTAAATGTGCATAATACAATGAAAAAGGTTTAACTTGGGTTTCTGCTATTCTAAGTAGCTTCTCTTCTTCATTCTTCTTCATCACCTGTCCCCAGCATCTGTTATCTCAGGAGTCACATACCTGTTGACCCAGGGAATTAGATGCCTGACTCCAGGCTGACATATGGCTCCCCTGTTCATTCTGGCAATCTGAGCTCTTAAGAGAAAGTCCAATGAGTCCAAGTCACCTTCTGAAAAGACAAGCAGAAGTGGTGATGCCTGTATTTAGCATCAAAGATAATTTAGCCTGAGAGGGTTTGCACTCATAGATCCCATTCCTCAGGATGAAGCCCAAATCACCAAGGTTACAGGAGCTCCTAGGATGAAGTACTAGCTCCGTAAAGAGATGCAGTGAGAGGGGCTCTGACTATGCGTTCGGCTATGAGGAAACAGACCCTGTTTTCAGGGGCTGATTTTCTTTTTAAATCCACAGAGTATTTTAAACTGCCTGGAGGTCAGGGGTTTTCCGGTAGTTCACTGCATCTTTAGTGTACATACTCCGTGTCTCAGGACTCATTTAATAGGAATCCTAGCATCTTTTATGTTTCCTGACCCAGGCAGAGTTGTATACTGCATTACTGACAGCATAATTTTCTTATTTGGGATATATACTAAATATAAACAGTATTCACTGAGAAGAGTCAAACCCTTCAAAGTGTGCTGCCTACTTTCTATTTTGCTGAGCTACCCTCTCACTAAGGTTTACTTAGAGGTTCTTATTCATATACTCAAGATACACTTGCTTTAAATTTAAGATAAACTCTAAATACTAGTGTCAATTTATTTCCCCTCTATGCAACGCATTAAAACTAAAAAAATAAAGGTTCAAGAACATTACTAGAAAAAAAATGGATCTTTAACGTTGACAGGTTATTATTTCAGAAAAAAAATGATCTGTAATTATGGCTTGAATATGACTCTAACATAAAGCATAGTCCTCATATTTATATTCTTTTTCCACCAAGTACCTCCTTACATTATCCATGTTGTCTGAGGAGATGTTTTCATAGATCAAACCAGTGAAATATACTCACCAGTAATAATAAATTGGCATCATATCTCAGCATGTGCTGGATTCAAAGATTTACTGTCCTATTGATTGCATATAGATTCCTACTTTGAAAATTCTTTGGGCTTTAAAGTATGCAATAAAAGTCTTATCTGGATTAAAACTTTGTTCTGTAGGCTTTTCAGGAACGCATGAAGTTTATTAATAAGCATGCTGCAAGAAATTCAGAGGAGTCTGTAGCTGAGACTGACGTTGCCAGTTTAACACCCAGATCAGAAGAAAAAGGTAAGGGTATAACTTTCTGTAAGGCGTGTCATCTTGATTTTTGAGCATTGTAATTTTAAGATGTAAAAGGACATTATCACTTGAAAGAAAAATATGTCTAAAAATTAATGTGGTGTAAACACCACAGTACAGGTTTTTCTGCTATGGGTTCTCAAATATAGCCTGTACATAGCACAACCACTGTTTTAATGTACAGTGTGAAATTAAACAGTAGGATTTAAAGCATTCTGCATAGGTGATTGAGTTCCTTAAAACATATTTAATGTAAATAAATGGAGAGAACAGCCCCTTCAAAGGAGTCCAAATGCACAGTGGCATGCTTAGTCTCTATCTTCTCTGTCCCCTCTGTTTTAATTGTTATATTGCACCAGCTGCAGAATACTCCTACTGTGCTAGAATTCCAACACTAAACAAAGCTAGCATTTTTGGAAGCTCAGTGCAAAATACCTACTCCCTCAATTCCAAGTTTGGTCCCAGAGCTTTTGTAGTATATATGTATAGAAATGTATGCAATGTATAGAAATATTTTTTAGAATGTTTAGCAGCTGAGATTGCATATCACTAAGACGCTACTACTTCTAATGCACATTTTATTTGTTTTAATGTTTGTGGACAATGCTCTGGAAGTGAGGTATCCAATAGTACATAAAACACATACAGAACAGCACCAGTTTCCCAGAAACCTGCACAACAGTTGTCTAATTTTTCTTAAGAGTGACAATTTCTATGGGGTCTTCCTCTGTATTCCCCAGTAATTATTGGATGCTGATGAAAATCTGAGCTAGATATAAGGCTGCAAGTCTTTTTTTTTTTTTTTTTCTCCCCTCCGCCCCCCCCCCCCTTTTTTTTTCTTCTCCTGAGAATAATGCTGTGATCAGGTCATCAGATTAATAAAGAATAATAATACTCAGTTTGCTTATGACAATATCTGGCCATGGATATTTGCATGGAACTAGAATTTGTGACTAGTATGTAACCTGTTAAGATTAGTATTTTGTTAGTCAGGTAACTAATCCTCCCAGGAATGTTTCAGAACTTATGGCAGAAATAGTCTTCACCTTATGCTATTGACGAATGCATCAATATTTACTTTTTGCATTCCAGAAGAACTTGAAAAAAAATATTATTTTATTTAACTTATTGGGTAAGAACTTCAAAATTAACAGCTGTCTACCAGGTTTTTTGTTCTAAACTAAGCATTTGAAGTGCAATGCAATGTTTCATGAATTAGAGAGGTGATAACCCAGTGACTTTAAGTTGTTACGGTTCAGTTCCCTAGTGTGTGGGAAAAGTCAGTAATGTTCTTGAACATTTCTGTAATGTTCCATGTCTTAACGAGAGTTTTCAGGCTTTAGAGAGTAATTTTCTGATGGGCAGTGTCTGAAGTACTTCCAAATTCTGTGTCAATTTCCTACACTAACAGAGACGTCTGGTATATTTGTCTAGGTAAATGCAGAGGTTTACTTTTTTGTTGTTGTTTTTTAATGCTCAGAGATCTCTTTCATATTGTTGGTAAGAAAATATTAGTAATATCTTTAAATATTTCAATTAATTAATTGAATAAATAGGTTAATAAGAGAGCTTTTATGGAAACAAACTACCACAGGTGTCATTAAATCTTATCAAATTTTATGGGTTTTTCCACCACAGCCAGATGAACTGAAAGAAGTGCTGGAATAATCACAACACAGCTGAGCACAGTGACATTCTTAATATCATATGTATCCCTGTATTGTGAGAATGCTACATTAAAGCATAACACATATACTATCCATGTGATTAAAAACATAGTGACTGCATTCTTACAATTTTAAATTGTCATGGGAACTTTTTTCTTGAGATTGCTATTTTCCAAACAAAACATATGCCCAAAAGTAAATATATTTTTTAAAATATAGCCAAGACTGAGCAATCAGATTTTTATAGATTTTTTGTTTATGAAAGTGATCCCTTGCTTATTAAAATTTATTCTCTAGGCATTTTAAATTGGTTATTCTTGTTTATATTTACACATGACTCTTTCATGAGTCATTTTGATTTAGCTAAAATACATGTACAAATTTCACTCTAATATTTTTTTTAGCATCTTTGATTCTATCATAAGTATCAGAAGTAAAAATGCAGAAATATTATATCACCTCCAACCCATATTCTCTATTAATAATTCATTTTGCTGAGCCAAGAGAGGGGAAAAAAAACTATATTACAAATTAGATGGACCTGCCTACCATAACTGAACAACTGTTTTAATCTGTTTTGCTGTAGGTTCTTTTTCTCTTACCTCAGAAAAGAGAAAATCACAAGAAGCTATTGACCCAAGTTTACCAATACAGCAGAAAAAATGGAAGCCTCCAGACCTTAGTCCTTACATGAGGTAAACTACAGCAAGAAAAAATTGCCAGTGAAACAAAAATGAAAGACTAAAGGGTTTTGTATATATAGGAATTAGTAAATGCAATAAAATTGTTTAAGCACTTATATCTCATCCATGTTTTTATGCCATATAATAGACGTGAATTTAGACTTAGTCCTTCACATCACTGATGTAAGCTACAATTCTGTCACATACTTGTTAAAGTTGTTGTGACAATCCTGGATCATGTTTAATCTGTCCTTCACATCACATGCACAGAGTCACGCAGTAGTAAATGTAGAGTGTAGATGGTATCTTGATAGTTTTCCACTTTGAGTTTCCTGGCATAAATGTTTTTTAAAATCAGAAAATCAGTGCTTTCCTACATACTAATATAATTTTTGCCTTTTCTTTTTTTAATGTGTTGCGTGTCAAAGGAGTAGAATTACTGCATTGCGTGTAATGAAAATGTGACATAAAAACCTGAAGGAAATTCATATGCATGCAAATATATTTATTTCAGTGATCACCTTGAAAGAAATGCAGAGGAAGTTTGTCATGATATGATGCTAGGCTCAATATATTTAACAAATGTGGTTTAGTTAATGATAATAGTTAATAACTGAAATATATATATATTTTATATATACATATATATACACATATATATGAATAAAGCATATATTATATGCTTTATTCAAAATAATTATTTTTGTTATTGCATATGTCAATATGAACCTGTCTAGCTGATATGCATGCACTTGCATATTGGCTGTGCTGCAGCCAGAAACAAGTTCAAGCACAAGTCCACCTGTGTTCATCCTGGCATTTATGCAACTGGTTGATTTGCAGAAGGTCTTAGACCTGTTTATTGCCCAAATTCAATTTTAAATTGAAAGGGAAACTGGTGTTATATTGAAATGAACAATATTAAAACAATAGAAAATATGGGAAAAGATCTTCCATAAGTTTGAGTTATGGAACAATTTCATTTGTCTTTAGCTCTTTGACTTTTACACTCATCATTTAAGTCAGATAAGAAAAATAAAACAAATGTTTCAGTGCTGAATTATAATACCAAAAACTTCTAAGATATTTCTAAAAAACTAAGATATTTCTTGCAAATTAAAAATGTGTAACATGTAGAATTTTTTCATATGCTCAAAGATGAGCATGATTTTACCAATATTTTAAAATAGACACTCATGCATAAGACCATGCCTCACCAATGCACTTCCTTATTGGTGTTAAGTATAAGAAGGTGAAAGGTGACTCCTTAACCATATCTAACTGTACAACAGTTATTTTACATTATGTAAGGCAAATATATACATACAGTTATTATGAAAACTATACAGCACCCCAAACTGTATATGAAATGAGATTAATATATTTGTTTTTCCTTTAGAAAAACAATGTCTGAATCTGTGCTAAGAAATGAGTCTATCATTCAACAGCGAGAGACACATAAACTGGAAAAAATCAACCATTTTAGGGAACTTCGAGAGCTGGTTTTGGAGCAAAGAGAAAAAGAGCAAAATGCTAGAGCTTTATTGAAGCAAAATGTACTTGAAATGTATGAGAAGCTACAGGTAGGTTTGCAAGTTTACGCTCCTGTAAATGTTACTCTGATATCCACCATTTGCATGAATATCTCGATCAACAATTCTCAAAACTTTTGCATTTCATATCAGTAATTAGAATTAGTGTACACGTTTGAAATTTCACTTGAGCAAAGGTTAAAACTAAAGTCCATAGGAAACCAAACAAACCAAACAAACAGTACTACCCAACATCATTAATATTCTTAATATATTCTTGTTATAGTTCTTTGCAAAAACAGAATTTTAGGCCTATCACCATAACAGTATAGTTTAAAGTGAGAAGAAATTGAACATTTGATATATACAACCAGATGTACATTACATAAAGCATCTCTGTTTGTTTATTTTGTAATGTTGTGGAGTTGCATTTGTGGGTTTTTCAAAGTAATAAAGAAGATAATTCTTGCTCCTAATATGTCCTACAGCAAAGATAGAGAACACAGACTTCCAGGAATATACGTGATGTCAACAAATAACTGGAATTGTTAATACTTAAATCCTGGTATCGCTAGTGAAGGTTCCATTGCTAGGATTAACTCAACCAATTCATCACACATGAAATTGGTACAAATATCCTAACAAACTTGGCTTAACTTTTGATTGTCAACAGGAACAAAATGTACCTTTGATTGTCTGCAGGAACAAAATGTGTTGTCACACAGTGGTGATACAATAACCACTAACAATCAGCTGGTGACTGTTCAGAGTTCTTAAAAGTGGCTAAGAGACAATAAAATTAATTTTAGATTAAACCAACTGTTTAATTTAAATAACTTGAAAACACCTCCTTAACAGGTACCCAGCCAACTTTGTTTATATTACTTAACAATAAGCCTGCAAGGAGCCATAGTCCTCTACCGGTGACTGATTGATCCCTAATAACAATGTGTCCACATTTTCAGATGTTGCTATGATTTTGGATGCCTAACATATATTTTTAGGGAAAACATTTCTAGAATAGTTCGTCTGCTTTTTCAAGGAAGCATGTACATTTAAGATGTTCCACAGTAGTAATCTGAGTTACTTGCAAATATGCATATTGTGCTGATTAGTAATTTTACAGTTTTTTTAAAATGTAGACCGCAGAGAAGTATATAAAGATCTCCATGTATACCCATTTTCCAGGATGGAAACATAATGGAAAAAAGTTTTTAGAAGTGTCCATGTCCTACTTGGCCTACATCTCATTGAAGGCTGATGTGATTTAGGCTCCTTGAGTTTCTTCTGAAAATGAGACATGAGCTCCTAAACCATTTCAGTACTTCGGAAAACTAGGTTTAAGTTTTTTTGTTTTGTGGAATATAAAAAATAAGTGTGTTTATTTTTGTTTGTTTGTTTTTGTTTGTTTTGTTTTGTTTTTGACTTATTTAATACAACAAAGCCAGTAAGTAACAGAAGCAGGACTAGACCCAGATGTGTAACCAGTTTTTTGCCCTACCTTCTTCCCACACAATTAGCATATTGAACCAGCAGTTAAAAATAAATAAATAAATAAATAAAAATTTCATGACTTTTCTCTTTTTTTTTTTTTTTATGGTGAAAAGCTTGATATATAGCTGTGTCCCTGTGACAAATAAATAACAATACATGTCTGGGCAACAAGAAAAGGAGAGAGGCCCTCCGTGTACTTATACAGTCAGAAAGTGAAATATAACTACAGGATGCAATTGCTTGTGATAAAATGCAGATTCATGTGTTGCTGTCTGGTTTTGGCTAGGCATCCTTAGATGAAACACGAGGCCAAGTTCACAGCATTCGGGAAGAATACAGAAGCAAGCTGCTAGAGGCTGAACGCAGAAAACGTGAAGAGCTGGCAGCTCAAGAAGCAATCCTGCAAACAGAGCAAGAGAAGAAAAGCCCAGATGCACAGAAAAAAAAGCAAGGAAAAGGATTAGGAAAAAGAAAGTAGTTGATAGTACTACTGAATTGTACTTAACTCTTTGGGAAATAAAATCTATATGCAAAGATGAAAGACTAGTTGCTATTTTCCAGTGTTTGTGTCAAGTATGTCACGTTTTATCTCTCTGACTGCTGCTATCAAAAAATTGATTTAGTATTCTCTTTATCAAAGTGTTTGGTATTTCGCTTGTCATAAATGGTACTCAGAACTATTAAATTGTATACTTTTTACTGGAAATACATTTTGCAATAAAAAAATCATATTGCATTCAGAGTTTTCTCCCCAAATCATGCTTTCATTTTGTTTTTTTCAAACAATCAAAATGGAGCCAGTCAAGAATGAGCCAGAGTTGGAACAGTGAATGTAACCTATCAGTCTTGAAGTCATTTAACTTGGCAGAAACACGAGCTCCTTAAGTGAATGACAATTTGTGAGTTTATAATAATTAAATAGTGGCATACCACATATCTCTTATGCAGACGTTGGAAGGCTTCCCAAAGCTTGGTTTTGTAGACACTCACAAGCTATCTGTGTACTGTAGTATTTTTTCCCTTTCACATCTGGCATCATTCTCGGAAGTGGTTTTGAATCTCACAGTAGTTCTCTGTAGTGGCAAGCTCATGGTACAGCCAAGGCTTGTTGAATGCTCCCTTAAATCTTATTACTCTCTTTATGTTTCCTTAACTATATTTTTCCCATGGTGGCTTTGCACAAAGTCATTATAATAAACCATCAGCTGGAACTTAAAAATATTTCTTAAAGGTAGAAACAGTGTGTGTATGAAATGGCGTTCACAGGCTTTCTGTATAAAGTTCAAAATATTTCCCTTCAGCTCTTGCTTTGATTGGTGTAGCATTCCTAATTTTTTTAATACTGTCATCAAATACAAAAAAAAATACATATTTTCATACTCACTAGGTAGCACTCTGTAATAAGAGAGAATGGTCAAAACTTTTACAATGGAAAAAACTCCTTCTAGACCAGATGGAGCTGTTATAAATGGCTTAAAGAACTTTCTGTATGTAGTCACACACCGAAGTCTAGGAAGATTGACTGCCTACATGTTGTATATCTACAATATGTCCATTTCATTATCTAGGTACATGAGAAACTGAGAATCACCTATTTAATGTAAATCACAAGAAATGTTATCCTTTGTGTCCCATCCACTGATACTGGATATCCATTGCATTTTAAACTAGCTTTTCTTTTGCATCTTAATGACGTACCAGATGTTCAGCTTCTGCTGGTTTTGCTCACCTCTGTTTTATCAGTACCTTACTGCCTGGCTTGAACTTGACTCATTCCTCTATCAGTCTGATGTTTGTTCTTTGTACATCGTCACACCTACACACCTGCTGTGATGCCTCTGCCTCCATTCGGCCCCCTTCCTCCCATACAACATAAACTAAACTCACTGGACTGAGTTTTTGTGTTTGTTAATAAGGAATTGACAACACAGCCCTAAAATTGCACTGATGATTTTTATTTCAAAGAGCAGGAGCTAGCTTTTGCTTTGACCCATACATGCTGCAAATGAAAAGCCTGTCAGTCTTGTGCTATAATTGCTCTGACTTTGTCCTCTCTATTTTGGAATATAGGCTATACTGCTTTATAATATTCCATCTTGTTTCCATGGCAATAGCACGTGTTGGTTGTCTTCTTATGTGAATCTCTAATGAGCTTCTGTAGAGGAAGATCAAGCTGAAGTTCTGTTCTTGATGTCACTGCAAGTGCTATAATGACATTCTGTTGTAAAAATCAATCCAACACCAGAAGCCAGCATAATCGACATCTAAATGTCAAAAATTGCAGCTAATAACCTGCATGATCACAACAGTTATAAACTGACTGAAACTTAGACACAGTGTACTCAGATCTACAATATCAAATCTAGTTCTGATGTTATGCGCAATGCTTAAGCTTCATAATTTCCTCATTTTAAAGAAGTTATGTGGCATAGGCAGAATCTGCTGTGTCTTTAGTGGCTCTTTTGTCAATTCAACAATGCAGGTATGATGAGGGAGTTATTGTCATGCTATTTAATTGCTTGTACTTTGGAGTATGTACTGTTTTAAGAGAAGCACAGCAGCCATGTTATTAAATACTTCTGCACATTCCAGAAAACCAAAATATCCACTTACATTGTAATGGAGCCTGATAGTCAAAAGGCTTTTTTTGGATTGTGCCAAAGAATTCAAAAACATTGGACCCAGAAATGAATGAAATTTCTAAAACCTCAGTTTTACATCAACACTACAGCTCTTTACATTATGACATTACATTATTACATTGCAGGCTAAGTTAGTGGGCAGAGTTGAACAAAATTTACGATAAAATGTGCCTGTATTTCAAAGAAGTCATTGTTAGTAATTTAAGGAGCTATCATGTTTAGTACTTTACTTTAAGAAAAACAAATAAGTAAAAGTATCAGCTGTGTTTAAAATAATATGATTTTTGCCTCCAGTTTGTAGCCCAAGTTGCCCTAAATTCAAACCATGTGTGTTCACATGGATAAAACACTTTTGTCCTTTTGCCCTTTAGGAGTAAGAAGGCTTTTAAGCATCATGATATTGAGAGATCTACCCAACCTCTATATCAAAGGAACTTATTGCCTATATTCAGTACAAGAAATTGCTCAAATCCTATTTTTACATATTGCTCCTTTAAGAAATATATCATATTGCCTCAAGCATTTGTATTTTCTCTAGGTTTCCTGTAATAAAAGCTCTGGAATTGGTCCTGTTTATACTCAGCTTGGACATTCAGAGCTGGATTTGGTAAAGGCATAAGGGTAAGTTTTAAACTGCGTTCTTTCTTATTCAGTAAAGGACTTCAGCAAAAGACTGGAACATGGGGTCGAGCCCTTTACAGAACAGAATAGATAGGAGAAGCATTTCTGAATCAAGACACAATTGCGTGATCTTTTATGACAGTCTTTTTGGAAGCACAGTGGAGGAATGGCTGCATGAAAGCATACTTTACCAGGTGCCTGGCATCTTCAAGTCACAGAATAGAGGGTTTGAGGAGCTTTGTTTTTATTATTTATTTTTTTTTTATTTGTTAGCAGTTTCATTCTAACGTTACTTACAGAAAACAATCCTCAAGAAATTAGCAGTTTTTCACTTACGCAACCGCTAATTTTTGTACATGGAAGAGTCTGTATACGAAGAACAGCCTGGATATCTATGTTGATCTCTAAACATTGTAGTTTAATTGTCTTGTGAGTTGGAGATCTATGTGTTTCTCCCCTGAAATGCCAGATCTTATTTTTGAAGAAAAACATGGCAACACCCATCTCTGTACATGCCTTGAGTACCTCCAGCTCATGAACCAAACACAAAACTAGTTCAGATCTCTGTGTTTAAAATGAAGTCAGGAAAGCTCTCAGTACCTGGTCTTTGTTGAGGATGTGCACAAGGAGAAGCAGTTTCAGGAGTCAGTGCAGTGGCATGTGAGACTTGAGCCTGGTTCCCTTCCTGTGGATCAGCCAGGAAGATCAGCAAACCTCAGGAGAGCAAAGTTTAGAGCAGTTCTGGAAATACTCTGCAGTTATACTCGGTGATGTGCTGTAATTTTGAATCAGAGATTCTTTAGAGCAGGGGGATGCGTTTAAGGCTCTGCTTAGGGGTTTGTTTTATTTTTGTAGAAGTAAAACAAAAAGAATTTGTTTGCTGTACCGATTCCTGATACCCATTTCTCATGCACATGGTGCATAGACCGTTATACAGAGGAAAATGTTTAGACATTCTGATCAGAGAAAGTTTTATAAAGTTTCAGAGGCAGTTACAAAGTGATGTAGGAACCTGAGAAAGAAATAAAGTCCTTGACTGATAATTCAGAATAATGAAGATTAACTCCCTAATGAGTTAATCACAGTAATAATTCTTTCTAGCTGTGTTCTGCTAGGCTTTAGCTGTTTTCATTGCTTGATCCTTTACTTTTGACCAGCTATTAGTAATGAGAAAGGATCTTTTCCATTAAATACATATCTAAAGTTACTTTTTTAACGCAAGTAGCTTCATTAATCTTCAAATGACTTGTCCCATCTGCTTTGCTTTAATTTGGCTGGCATTTACACAGTGAGTTACAGACCAAAAACCAGACCATGCCCGTTCCAGGATGCCTCGCTGCTGAGACAAGCAATGTGCTGTGAAATGAGGCTCAGTTCTAAGCTGCCAGCCTGCTCACCCCAGCAATGTGCAATTTACCCGCTATGTAAGGTCTCATTTTAATTCAAGGAAGAGATACAGCATTTATGCACATGCACAGCATTTCCTCTCCAAAAGGCAAGAAAAGTGTCTACATATTTTGTCTGGCAGAAAACATAAGAGAACAGCTTTGCATAATCACACAGCAGTTTGCAGAATAAGAGAAATCTCACTTTCAGAGCTCTTCTTTCCTCTCATTCATTTCCTGAATCAGCTCTAATAAATTTACCATCCAGGTAATGTTTCAGTGACTTAAATTTTCTTGCAGAAAAACAAGATGCTATTGTAGTACCTATCTCAGAAGAGAACAAAGTCAGGAAAGAAGTAGGAAATCAGAAAAAGAGAAAAGACAGTCCGTATGGTATGAAGTGAGACAATAGCATAAGGGAAAGGTGTTCTGAAGATGTTGCTAGCTGAAATAACAGAAAAGAGAGGTTTGTGTGTGTGTGTGGGGGGGGGGGGGGGGGGGGTTCAGGTAAGTCTTAGCACCTCAGACTTCTGTGATAGTAAGAGCATGATTAGGGATGATGGTTTAGGGATTAGCAAATTCATCTGAGATTGAGCTAAACAGAGACAACTGTAGCCAGGACATGTTGCTTTGTGTCAGGCACACTCCTCTCTGAAACCTTGTGTGTGTCTGCCCAGTACCTGCAGCTCTTCCTACTGTCAAGCACCAAAATGTTTCCTCTTTTTGGACACAAGAGGTGTTTCCTTGCACATGGTAGCCCCAGTGGTTGCAGCACAAGCCATGAAAAGCCACAGCCATGCTTCTGTCCCCTCAGCAAGGGTTTCTGTATGAGTGTGCTCCACTCAGCTGGATATCACAGACATGTTGCTTGGCTCCCCTTGAGCTGGGGCCACTGCTCAATGCTCATGAGACCAGACACAGAGAAGTCCAAGGGAGAGCCACACTCTGAATCAGAACCAGCTAGCTGAAAAACTGGAACATGGGAGGAGAAGAGAGCACCTGCATGTCCAGCGATGTTGTTAAGGTTTAACTTACGAGTAAGTCAGATTAATGAAGTGTCTTGCTAAAAAGAGAACATTGTTTTGTGGCC